ACAGCTTTTACTTTGTACACCGTCGCATGAATAATGGATCGTGGGGGTAGGGGTTTTTTTTTCTTTTCTTTTTCTTCTTTTTTGTTTAAATATCAGCGCATCTTTTAGCTGGGTTTTTTTCTCGTTGCCTTATATTCCACGAGCTGAGAGAGAAATCTTTTAAAGTAAGATTTTGTTTTTATTTGCATTTTTAGATATTTTTCTGTTTTTTGCCCTCTTTTTAGAAATTATTCGCAATTCTTTTTAAAAGTCACAAATAAAAAGTATAAACAATAAGTAGTACAAATCAGTTTAAGTCAGACGAGACGATTAGAAATTGTTTATTTGTACTTTCAGTAGTAAAATTTATTTTAAGTCAGACAAAAAGATTAAAAATCTTGTGATTATAGTTTCAGTAGTAAAATTTATTTGAATTCAGATAAAACGGTTAATAATATTTTAATTGTTAATTCAGTAGTAAATGTTATTTTCAGTAAGGCAACAAAAATTTCAGTTTCAGTAGTAAAACTCATTTTTAGTCAGACAGAAGTAGTTAATAATTAAAATATTTTAAAAAATCCTAGCTTCAGTAGTAAAGTTTATTTAAAGTCAGACAATGCGATATAAATCTATTTCAGTAGAAAAACTTATTTCTAGTCAGACAAAAGAAGTTAATAATTAAAATATTAAATATAAAATTTGCAATGTTGGTTTTTGACAGTTTTTTCTAGGAAGTTTAAAATTTCTCTCAATCTGTTATTGTTAAAATCTCATTTTGGAGACACATTTATTTTTCACCGATAAAATTTTATTCTCACTATTGAAAAATTGTTTTCCATTAAAAGAAAAAAGTATTATTCGAGAATAATTTCTCAAAAAGTTGAACAATTTCCAAACTTGAGTAAATTTATAATATTCGTAGTTGCCCCAAGTTTATTGCCCTTTTCCATATCAGAAAATGAAATCGGAAGGATTCCAGGAGATTCAATAAATTTAAAAAAATACCTCTCTCTACTTGTGACAAAAACCAATTTGCACATTTATTAAATTTAAAAAATAAAAAATATCTTACATTCAAAAAATTATTTAAAACAACTAAAAGTACTAAAAAAAAACTACTAGTCAAAAGTTTCTTTACGCTAAACCCACACAGATGTGAATAAAAAGAATAGAAATTATATGCGTAAAGAAATTGAATAAAAAAAGAACTGTCAGAGTATTTTAAACAATGGGAGAGTACAGAAAAATATTCACAGATTCACTCGGTTGGAAGTTGCCTTATAAAAAAAAAACTTTCTCAATATATCTTTTTATGAACTTGGAAGAAGAGAAAATACAAAAAAAAAAAAAAAGACAGAAAAGAGTTTAAAGAGATGAAAATCGAATGAGATAGATGTCAGGATTCGCTTTCCAAAGAAAGTTCAAGTAATTAAAAAAAAATATATATCTCTCAATGTGTTCTTGTCGACATGACGCTTCGGTTCACAACGTTTTCACAAAGGTTCCGTTTTCAATAGAGAAGATTCGCGAGACCGTATCAAATTTGATGAATCTCGTCGTCATGCGAATGATCAGATTACGAATGGGATGAACGATCTTCAATCGTAGATATATTCTCAGCAATCCACTCAATGATGCTGTTTAAAGTCATTAATGAATGCGCAAATTAAAAATTCCCTTTTTTCTCAATCATACAACGTTATATATTCTACAATGAAAATCACGAACAAAAAATATCCTTCAATGTAGGTGCAAATTTTTTTTTTTTTTTTTAATCGAATATTGAGAATGAATTTTTTCTTCTCTCGTGTGCACAGTGTTAAAATAACATAATTAGAATCTTTCATTCTATGAATAAATGAATCACTTTTTTATTCACCGATTCAAATATGGAATTTTTGAATAAAAGCCGTTTTACTAAGTTTTATTCATCATGATTTTACTAAATATTACTAATTTTATATTTTGTAAATTTTCAATAGTTGATTAGTAATTACTGAAAAGTTTAAATTAGTGACTGACCTCTTGCTTTTAAATAAGTAAATTTTACTGATAGTTTTTTTAAGTAAATTCCCTTTTTTACGTATTAAACTTTGACTGCTGACAATTGTTACTAACAATTGACATTGTTTATAATTTTTTTCTCATCCAACGTTTTTCAATAAGCAATTCCTCCAAAGTTATCTCCCCCCCCTAAATTTTCTTTTCTTCCTTTTTCAACAGAAATTGACGTTTTTATTTTTACGCTTTTGTCTGACTGGAAATAAGATTTACTACTAAAAGTTTAATTTTACAATTTTTAATGGTTTTTTCTTTTCTAATAAATTAATAATAAGCTTTTCTATGGAAAATACAAGTAAACGATTTGTAATTAACTTGTCTGACTAAAATTGAATTTTACTACTAAAACTAAGAATTCTTTTATATATTCAATTTTTAACTGCTTTTTCTGACTGTGAATGAGTTCTACTACTGAAACTACAATTATTCAATTTTGAACTGTTTTTATTTAACAGAAAAAAAATTTCACTATTGAAACTACAATTCAAAGATTTTCCATCGCTTTGGCTGACTTAAGATCAATTTTACTACTAAAACTGAAAACCTTTTTTTATCTATTTTGTTTTCTAACAGCTTTTGTCTGACTGACGGTACCTTTCACTACTGAAACTAGAATTATACAATTTGTAATAGTATTTGTCTGACTGAAAATAAGTTTTACTACTACAATTAGAATTTTTTATTTAATAGTTAATTTATTAACTACTTTTGTCTGTTTTAAAATAAACTTTACTACTGAAACTAATAATTTTTTTGATTATTGTAATTAATAACAAGTTTTGTCTGGCTGAAAATGAGTTTTACTACTGAAACTACAATGAAACAATTTCTGATCTCCTTGTCTGACTTAATATAAATTTTTCTACTGAAAATAGGATTTTTTTAAATATTATAATTATTAACTACTATTGTCTGACTGAAAATGAGTTTTACTACTGAAACTAGAATTTTTCATTAAATAGTTCATTTATTGAATAACTACTTTTGTCTGTTTTAAAATGAATTTTACTACTGAAACTAATAATTTTTTTGATTATTGTAATTAATAACAAGTTTTGTCTGACTGAAAATGAGTTTTACTACTGAAACTACAATGAAACAATTTCTGATCTCCTTGTCTGACTTAATATAAATTTTTCTACTGAAAATAGGATTTTTTTTAAATATTATAATTATTAACTACTTTTGTCTGACTGAAAATGAGTTTTACTACTGAAACTAGAATTTTTCATTAAATAGTTCATTTATTTACTACTTTTGTCTGTTTTAAAATGAATTTTACTACTAAAACTAATAATTTTTTTGATTATTGTAATTATTAACAATTTTTGTCTGACTGAAAATGAATTTTACTACTGAAACTACAATGAAACAATTTCTGATTACATTGTCTGGCTTAAAATGAATTTTACTACTTAAACTAGGATTTTTAAAAATATTAAAATTATTAACTACTTCTGTCTGACTGAAAATGAGTTTTACTACTGAAACTAAAATTTTTCATTAAATAGTTCATTTATTAACTACTTTTGTCTGTTTTAAAATAAATTTTACTACTGAAACTAATAATTTTTTTGATTATTGTAATTATGAACTCGTTTTATCTGTTTTAAATGAATTATGCTACTGAAACTAATAATTTTTTTATTTATTATAATTATTAACTACTTTTGTCTGACTAAAATGAGTTTTACTACTGAAAATAGAATTTTTCATTAAATAGTTCATTTATTTACTACTTTTGTCTGTTTTAAAATAAATTTTACTACTGAAACTAATAATTTTTTTGATTATTGTAATTAATAACAAGTTGTGTCTGACTGAAAATGAATTTTACTACTGAAACTACAATGAAGTAATTTCTGATTACATTGTCTGACTTAAAATGAATTTTACTACTTAAACTAGGATTTTATAAAACATTTTAATTATTAATTACTTCTGTCTTACTAAAAAGTAAAAATAAGTTTTACTACTGAATTTATAATTAAAATTCTTTTAGTAACCTAAACTGACTAAAAGTAAATTTTACTACTGAATCTATAATCACAAGGTATTTTATGTTTTTGTCTGACATAATTTTTACCTTTTTTTGTGTGACTTTAAAATTAATTTTACCACTGAAGGTAAGAATTTTTCTTGAATTTTTTTTATTAACTATTTTTGTCTGACTGATAATAGATTCTACTACTGAAACTACAATTTTACAATTTCTGGTTTCCGCGTCCGACTTAATGAGAATTATTTTAAACATTTAAACAATTTAATTGCATGAAGATAAACTGTGTTTTAGTAGAAAAATGCCAAATTTGTCAAATTAAGTAGTTACTACTGGTTTTAGTCAGACAAATTTCCAATTTATCAAATTAAGTAGTAAAGGCTAGTTTTAGTCACACAAATTCCAAATTTTTTCAAAATAATAATGACAGGTTATCAGTTAGAGAAATTATAATTTTGTCAAATTAAGTTGTAAAGACAGTTTTCGATCAGACAAATACTAAATTTTGGTAATGTAACTGATAAAGTCTAGGTATAGTCAGACAGGATTTCTACTAATGCTGTCATTTCAAAAGAAATGTTAAAAATTCGCCTGTATTAGAATTGTAATAATTAATTAACTTCTAGTATTAATTAGCAGCAAAAACAAATTTTAATTATTAAAAATTGAGAGAAGTTGATTTAAGTAGCAAAGTAGCATTTTTAGCTAGATGCAATTTTAAAAATTAATTATGAAATATAAGGTTTATTGAGAAATTCGGTAAACACAAGGAATAAATATTCTTCTTTGTAATATATTACAAGTAAATATAATATAGTTTTTAATAAACATTTATCGAATGAAAAGACAAAAATTCCACTCATGAGAATAATGAAAGAGAATCATCATAAATAATAATAAAAAATTTTTTTGCAAAGAGAAAGAAATCGCATTAAAATTGCTCTTTAAACTTACTTTTCAGACGCACCACCAGTTCTTCTCTACTCATTTATAGAGCAGACATTACAGCCTGGACCAGCAGTGTCGTTGAAGTGTTCAGCCGCAGGGAATCCCACCCCCCAAGTTTCCTGGGCTTTGGATGGTTTCCCTCTACCCACCAATGGAAGGTAATTCGTCGATCTCTCCTTTTTCGAGTCTTATCTTAGAAGTAAAGTCCCTCTTTCTCAAATAAAGTGTGTATATATAGAGAGAAAGAGAGTGAGAGGAAAAATTGAAGAGAAAAAAAAAAGAAATATACTCCCAAGAATATATATATACTATATAGTATATACCCAAGAGAATTTCCGATTATTCTTTCCAAACTCGAGGAAAAAAATACGAGCGACATAAAAACGAGATCTGGAATTTCTCGGTAGCCACAATTTATAATTAAAACGTAATTTCCGTCGACAGTATTCTTTGGTAGCATCTGGCTGCCGTTGGAGGCGCGTTGCAATTTCATTTTCCAATTTCAATTTCGATGAGTGAGAAAAAAAATGGAGGGGGTTGGGAATAAAAATATTTAGCTCCGTATGAAACTGGTAACATATTGTGGAATAAATTTCGTATATTCTCTAATGGATTCTATAATTTTTCGTCTTTTTATATATTTGTTCAAAAGATGGATTAACTGTAAATTGGTTTCTTTTTGAATGTATTTGACGAGGAGAAATTGAGTCCAGTTGTCCAAATAGATAAAAATTTAAAGATTTTGTTTACTTAAAAGAAGTTTTATTTAAATATATTTTAGATTTTTTTTACTATCTACTTTTCTTCTTAGTAGTTTATGAAGAAAATTAGTAAATTTTGCAGAAAAAATTAAGTTATCTATTAAAATAACACAGTTTTTCTAAGGATATCAAATTGAGACAAAAAATGAATCAAAAATGTTGCGAATCAACGTTTTGATTCATTTTTTGTCTCAATTTGTTATCCTTAGAAAAACAGTCAAGTAGTAAAAATAGATTTAGTCAGACAGAACATTTAATTTAATTTTTCAAAGTTAGTACGCGTTTGAAGGATTTAAATGAGTAGTATAAACAAATTTTAGTCAGACAAAATGTTTAAAAGTGTTAAAATAAGTGATTAAAACATTTTATAGTCGGAGATTACAGTTTTTATTTATCAGAGTATAGAGAATAAAATTTATAAACTCTTAGAAATTTGCAAAAATAATTTATTTTTTTTTATGAAATATTATCTATGTGCTTGTGATGCAATTTCGCACTCTTAAGCCCCAGATCACGTGGCCCTTCATTGACGCGAAAGTACCTTACAAGAGTTTCCTGAAGGAGTTTCGGGGTCGTATAACCATTCTTGAAACTTTGCCCTCTGCAATATCACGTAATTTTCAAGCGGTAATTGCAACCGTTACTGTTAACGTTACTCAATTTAACAAGTGGGGAAATTAACGCTCCATCTTTTATGTGCATCGCAAATTTTAATTAATTAAACTCACATTTATTTCTTGAAGAATTCCCTGACAGTTGTGGATTACTCTCACCGGCGGGATTAATGTGACGGGCAGACAAAAAATACGGCAGCACATTTAAATTCGTCTTTTATTCCAGATCTTATTGCATAAAAAAAATGTTACTTAAAAATCCTCTTTTTTTATTATAAAAAAAATTATTATATAATGATAATCGAAATATTTAAAATATTAAATATTCTATGAATTTTCTTTCTCAAACACAATTTTTTTAAGGATATCAAATTGAGACAAAAAAATGTATCAAAACGTTGCTTCGCGACTATTTTGATATTTCTTTAAAAAAAAAAGAAAAAAAGAAAAACTTGGAATTAAAAAAAATTCATTTGATATCAACTGATTTGAAAAAGAATTTCAGTTCAAATTTTCGAAAATATTTCAAGAATTACCAGATTTATTATTTTTAATTAAATTCCTTAAGATTTTGATAAGAAATTATTTTTAAATTTTAATTCTTTGAGAACAAATAAGTATTTAAATATTTATTAAACAAAAATTAATGAAATTTGAAAAAATTTAATTTAGAAATTAGGAAAAAATGAGATTTTTAAAAAATCATAATTAAAATTTTTTGTGAATATATAATTGAATTTATAAAAAATAATTTTTAAATATTGAAAAATTGGAAGAATAGAAAATTTTTTTAAATTTCATTAAAATGAATTCTGTAGTTTAAAGAATTTTATTTTCGCCCTTTAAAGTATTATTTTTAAATATGAATTGTACTTTTTTTAAGAATTGTAACTAAAAATTTGTAAAATAATTGAATTTTACACCAATTTTTAGATTTAAATAATTCAATTATCGTTGAATTCTACAATAAGAATTGATTTCAAAAAGAATTTCTGAAATTTTAGAAAATATTTCAAGGATTGCAGTTCTAATAATTTTAATTAAATTCCATAAGATTTTGCAAGGAAAATATTAAAAAATTTTAATTCCCTGTAAAGAAAATAAATAAATATTTCCCAAAAAAAAATTTTTCCAAGCAAATCATTTTTCCCAATATTTTATTTCACAAAAAAAAATAATCCAACATTGTCCACCAATCCGTTTGAACTAGAATTTATTTAAAAAAAATTTCAAACTAGAATTTACTGAAACTATTATTTTTTCAAACTTGTTTGTATTAACAATCACTTGGACATTACGTTCGAATGTGATTATTTACTACTAATTTGGCAATTTAAATATAAATTTTGGAAAAAATATAACATTGGAGAAATTTTTTGGAAAAATTATTTTTTGTGAAAATACAGCATTGGGGAAAAAATATTTTGGGATAAACTGTTTTGGGAAAAGTTTTTTTTTTGGGAAACAGATTTTGGGAAAATTGTCCACCAATCAAATTTCTATACTAGAATCAAATAATCTGCATTTAAATAAAAAGATTGGATTTGAAACAATAATTTCAGTATTTTAAGCAAATATGATTTAATTAAGATAACAATTATTTGATAAAAATAAATATTTATTTCATCACAGACAATAAACTATTTATTTGAATGGATTACAATTTTTTCAGCCTGTAATTGTAAATTAAACGTTATTGTTAATTGTGACGATAAACAATTTTGGTTTATAGATTTGTTATAGGTCAGTACGTCACAGTTCATGGTGATGTCATTTCTCATGTCAATATCAGTCACGTTATGGTGGAAGATGGTGGTGAATATTCATGCACAGCTGAAAATCGAGCGGGTAAAGTGACGCATTCTGCACGACTCAATGTCTACGGTAAATATTTATACAATTACTATATATATATACCTATATATATATATAAATGTTTAGAAATTCTTAATTAAAAATAATTCTCTTCCTTATAATAAAAAGAATATTTCAATCTTTTTATTTTCTCCCTTATATTTTAAAACACGAGACTCAGGTGCTTTAAGTATTTTCATTTTCCCTCTAGTGCTTCAATATTGTTTTATCATCCTTTACTTGGATTGACTTTAAATTTTTTCCATCAATTTTTTTCTGTTTAAGAATACGACCCATTAACTTTGCTTTTTATAGTGGGAAATTCGCTTTTTTTTTAATAGTAAACTATACAAGGCGTTTGCGTTTCCTACAATATCGTTATAAAACTTTTTCATTTTCCATCCATTTAAGCTCTCATGAGACTCGCGAGTCTCTATTTTTCAATCTACGACTATATAGAGGTTAAAATTGTTCTTTAATAAACAAAAAATTATTTATTTTTCTAAACAAAACATTATATTATATTATTTTACTACACAGAAAATTATTTATTATTATTGCGCTAAATAGAAAATTATTTATTTTTCCTAAACGTAAAATAATTTATACCTCTAAACAAAAAATGATTTTTTTATTTTATTTAACAAAAAATAGTACGCAAAAACTGTTACATTTTTTTTTATTTTTGTCGATAAACTTCAAATTTAGGGAAAAAATGAATTTTCAGCAGTAGAAACAAATTGTAGTCAGACAAAATTTTAACTTGTAGTCAGACAGAAGTGTTAAAAATATATTAAAGTATTTAAATCGACGAAAGTACATTTTAAACAGTGAAATCAGTAGAAGAGATAAAATTTAGGTCAGACATGAAAAATTTTGTGACATTGTGCGCGTTTGAAACATTTAAATTAATATTAATAGTAAAGATTAATTGTATTTTAACAAACATTTTAATATTTGTTTAAAAAAATAGAAACGAATTACAAGTTTGCCTGACTAAAACTAGCCTATACTACTTAATTTGACAAATTTGGAATTTGTCTGACCAAAACTTAGTTTTACTACTTATGTACATGTTTAAAATATTATCAAACTTCTTTAACATTATGTCTGACTATATCTAGACTTTACTACTTACTTTGACAAAACCTTTTATTTGACTTAGCAAAACCTGTCTTTACTACTTAATTTAAAATACCAAAACCTGTATTTACAACTTAATTTAACAAATTTGGGATTCATATGTATACTTGAAATTTTTCTAACCAAAGTGTTTAAATTTCTCTCTGCTTGAAATTGTCTGCTTTCATTCAAATAAATGCTTTTCAATTTTTGTCTGACTAAAGTCGATTTTTACTACTGATTTGACTGTCAAAAAGGTATTTTTAACACTTCTACTAATAGTGTCACCGCACTGGAACAAATCTGCCTGACAAAGACTATTTTAAACTACTTAATTTGTCAAATTTAAAATTAGTCTGACTAAAATTTTATTTTACTGATAATTTGAATACATTTTGTAATTATTAATCAATTTGTAAATTTCTGTCTGGCTCTCACTTACTTTACTACTTTAATCAAAGGTTTCAATTTTGGCCTGGCAAAAATTTGCCGTTACTACTGACACAGTAGTTCACGGTAAATCGTTAGGTGTTAAAATAACACCAAAATGGATTAAAATAACACTAAATTGAATTATTTTAATCCTTTTTGGTGTTATTTTAATACCTAACGATTTACCGTGTTTTTATTACTTAATTTGACAAATTTGTTATTAGTCTGACGAAAATCTTTATTTACTACTTAATTTGACAAATTTAAAACATGTCCGACTAAAATTTGCCTTTACTACTTAATTACCTACTACTAGAAAAAAAATCGTCTACTAAAAATAAACGGCTTTTAATTTCTGTGGTCTGACCGAAGTTGATCTTTAACTACTGATTTGACTATAAAAAACGTATTTTTAACACTTTCACTGAAAATGACACCTTTATAATAGTTCTTCCTGCCAAAAACTACTTTTACTATTTAATTTGTCAAATTTTACATTAGTTTGACCAAAACTTAAATTTACTGCTAATTTCAAAAGTTAACATATAGGCTTTTACACTTTTAATGCCTTATTTAAAAATTATAAACTATTCTTTTTTACTATCACCGTCCTTTACGACTTAAATCCACGGTTTTCATTTTTCGTCTGACTAAAATTTGCCTTTACTACTGACAGTAGTTTTTATAACTTGATTTAATTAAATTTGTCATTGGTCTGATCATAACCTGTATTTACTACTTAATTTGACAAATGTGGCAATTTTCTGACATTAACCTGTCTTTATTACTCAATTTGACAAATTTCAAATTTGTCTGACCGAAAATTTGTTTTACTACTTATGAAAAAATGTTTAAAATACAAGTAGAAAAAATATATTTTAAATTTTGTAAAAGTATTTTACAATTTGGAGGAAAAATGCGACGAAGCGAAATTTTTTATAAAAAAAAATACTAAACTTTAAAAAAATTCTGTAAAATTTATTATAATTATATCAAATATCAAGAATTTCAATTAAATTTTAATCTAATTTTACTAAATTTCATATCATTTGTTACACGGTAGTATTTTTTATATCAAAATTTCGGTTTGTTGAACTTTTCCCCCAAAATTGTCAAATATTTTTACAAAATTTAATATATTATTCTTTTCGTGTAATAAACTTTTCAAAATGGATTTTTTGAAACTTTTGATTTTCTAGTGTTTACAGTTCTTTTTTTATTGTTCACATTTTATAATTATCAATCAGTTTGTAAATTTCCGACTAGCTATAACTATACGTTACTATATTTAAATCAAGGTTTTTAATTTTTGTCTGGATAAAATTTTTCGTTACTACTGACAGTAGTTTTTATTACTATTGACGAATTCGTAATTAGTCTGACGAAGACCTGTCTTTACTGCTTAATTTCACAAATTTCAAACTTGGCTGACTAGAATTTGTCTTTACTACTTAATTACTACTAAAAAAAAAATTTTTTTCTACTAAAATAAACGGTTTTTAATTTCTGTCTGACCGAAGTTGACCTTTACTACTGATTTGACTAAAAAAAACGTATTTTTAACACTTTTACTTAAAATGACACCTTTATAACTGATCTGTCTGACCAAAACATGTCTTTACTACTTAATTTGACATAAATTTGTATGTTGTCTGATCAAAACCTGGCTTTACTACTTATAATGTTTAAATTCTTGAAATGACGATAACGTTGAGTAGAAAAAACAAACTTTTACAAACAGACATGTTAAACAAATGTTTTTTTTTTTGTTAATTTTCCGTAGGTCTTCCCTACATTCGCCTCATTCCGAAAGTAACAGCCGTGGCGGGTGAAACCCTCCGTCTAAAGTGTCCAGTCGCTGGCTATCCGATCGAAGAAATAAAATGGGAACGAGCCGGACGTGAACTGCCGGACGACCTACGTCACAAGGTCCTTCAGGATGGAACCCTAACAATTTCCAGCGTCCACAAGGAAATCGACACCGGTTCCTACACCTGTTGGGCCCGAAATAAACAAGGACACAGCGCGAGAAGAACCGGTGAAGTCGCCGTAATCGGTAAGATCTCTCTTTCATTTCCAAAGTCTCATTTATTTTCAGATTTCCCCCCCTCCCCCAAAAAAATTGGTCTCCAGAGCAGATTTTCCAGAATTCGAAGATCTTATTTTCAGAAAATCAACTCGAAAGAGATAGAAATCAACATTCAAGAGATAGAAAATAAATCCCCCTGGTGAAAAATCACATTCGGAGACGTAGCCAAATTCGGACATTATGCTCATAATGTGCTCACAAGGTGTTCTTGTTCTTAAATTTCAGTTCCTCCTAAAATTAGCCCATTCACGGCAGATCGTGATCTTCATTTGGGCGAACGAACAACATTAACGTGCTCAGTGACAAGGGGCGATCTTCCACTGTCGATATCGTGGCTAAAAGATGGCCGCTCAATGGGACCATCGGAACGTGTCACCATCACCAATATGGAGCAGTTCAGTAGCATACTGATGATTGAAAGTTTATCTCCAGATCACAATGGCAACTACTCGTGTGTGGCACGTAATATGGCCGCTGAGGTATCGCACACGCAGCGGCTTGTGGTTCATGGTAATCCTCCTTTAGGCCCCGAAAATTAAAGCCCGACACCCTCGCCGCCAATTATTATTATTATATATTGTTGCCAAGTGAAAATGCCTTTTCAAACGCATATATATTATCTCTTTCGAATCTTATACTTCTTATATATATATATTTATTATAATCAACATTAAGAGAGCATTCGAGTCGAACGCAGTCGAAAAAATCACTTTTCGATACAAACAATGAAGTAAAAAAGAGATTCTCTAAAAATATTATAGATAATAATAATAATAATAATAATAATAATAATAATAATAATAATAATAATAATAATAATAATAATAATAATAATAATAATAATAATAATAATAATAATAATAATAATAATAATCTATTTGTTAATAATAATCGTTGTATTCGGGTAATCTGTTCGTAATTTGAAAGTTAGTTGTCTACGTTTGCTTTTTGTTTCCTAATATTTTTAACAATTTTTCCTTTTAATGTTTTGATTCTAAATTTTAAAATTAATGAAACTCTAATTTAATGCTTTGAAGATTAAATAATACGAAAAATTAATTAAACCAAATTGTTTTTAATTAAAAAAAATATTCTTTTAAATATTAGGTATTTATTTTATAATTTTCAATCGGAAATAATTGAAATCTTATAAAGAAATTTTTCCAAATTCAAAATATTTAAATTTCTTGGGACAAATTTAATTACTAACTAAAAATAAGTTAATTTTTAAGGAGAAAATTTTTTAAAAAATAATATTAAAAATATTTAAATTCTTATAAAGTTTTTTCAAAATTTTTGAAAATCATTGAAATTCTCCGAATAATGTTATAATTAACATTTTCTTTTAATTAATCAAATTCTTTCGAGAAATTTTGTTAAAATTTTTTTTTAACTAATTCAATTCTTTCAAGAAATGTTATTAAATAAGAAAATAATTGAAATTTTAGTAAGAATTTTTTTTAAATTCTATTAAAAATAAGTGAATTCTCAATTTCTTATAAAGAATTTTATCAAAATTTGTTTAAATAATTGAATTTCTGCAAAGAATTTGATTATTTAGAAAAAGTATTGAATTTTATAGAATTATTTAATTAAATTTTTTTTTTATAAAGAATTTTATTGAAATTTTCAACAACAAAAAAAATTCTTGCAAAAAATCTAATTAGTAACTAAAAATAAGTTTATTTTTAAATAAAAAGAAAATAAAAAAAAAAAAAAGAAAAATAAAGAGATGAGATTATATTAAATAAAGAGAAAATTTAAATAAAATAATTTTAAAAATGTTGTTAATTATGAAAATAATTTAAACCTTGCTAAGAATTTAATTAAAATTATATTAAAAATAAATGAATTCTTATTAAGAATTTTACCAAAATTTTTTTAAATCATTGAATTTCTGCAAAGAATTTGATTATTTAGGAAAAGAATTAAATTTTATCGAAGTATTTAATACAATTTTTAAAAATAATAAAATCTGTGTAAAGAATTTTATAAATATTGTTTAAAATAATTAAATTCCGGCAAAAGCTATTATAAATTATAAAAATAATTAAAATCATGCTAACAATTTAATTAAAATTTTCGAAAACAATTGAATTTCTTCGAGAAATTTAACTAAAATTATTTATTGAAAATATTTCAATGTTCATAAAGAATTTAATCATAATTTCTAAAAATAATTGAATTCTTGCAATAAATTTTATAGAATAATTTAAAACTAATTGAATTCCTTGAAAGAATTTTTTTAAAACTTGGAAAAAAATAATTGAATATTTTTAAGGAAATTAAAATTTTAAAAATTTATTAAAAAGAAATGATTTCTCGACAAAATTGTTATTCTTTATGATAATAATTGAATTGTTTTTAAGAATTTCTATGAATTTTTTTGAGAATCATGATGTTTCATTAATAATTTTAATGGAAAATATTGAAAGTAATTAAATTTAATGAAGAATTCCTTTCAATTTTTTTAAATATTCGTGTTTTTCTTAATAATTGTAAATAAATATTTGATTAATGAATTTTATTAAAATTTTTAGAAAATAATAAAATTCTTCTCAGAATGTTATTAAAATATGTAATTGAATTATTTAGAAAGATTTTCTCTTTTAATATAATTGGATTTGGTAATAATTGTAATAAATAATTTTATTAAAATTATTGATAAAAAAAAATTAAATTCTTTTGAACAATTTTCTTAGAATTGTAAATAAAATTTTTATTATTAAATGTTAAATTAAAATTTCTTGGAAATAATCGAGTTCTTTACAGAATTTTATTACAATTTTTCAAATAAATAAATTCATTCGACAAATTTTTTTAAAAATTGTACTAAAAATAATTGAATTCATGGAAAGATATTTATTATTTATGAAAATAATTTAATTGCTATAAAATATTTTCTCAAAACTTTTGACAATAATTTAATTCTATAAAATAATATTTTTACAATTTTTTAAAATAATTGAATCTTTTCGAGAAATTTTATTAAGATTGTTTCGAAAATAATTAAATTCTTGCGAAGAATAAGAGTTCTGTCTTACCAAAAATAATTTATACTACTTAATTTGATAAATTATAAATTTGTCTGACGAAAAATTAATTTTACTGTTGAAGTAAATATTTAATATGCTCTTTTCTACTTCTGATTCTTTATTTAATAATTATAAACAGTTTTATTTAACTAGACCTGTCCGTTAATACGTAAATCAATTTTTTTTCAATTTTTTCTGATTAAAATCTTTCTTTACTACTGATTTGACTGTCAAAAAGGTATTTTTAACACTTCTATTTAAATAAACAGCTTTCTAACAGTTATGCCTGACTACTAGTCTCTACACTTAATTTAACAAATTTTAAATTTGTATGACCAAAACTTTGTTTTACTACTTAAGTTGAGGTGCTCGACTCACTAAAAAAAGCACGTCCAGAGGTCAATTCATCTCAAAGATATTTTTTTATTTCGAAAAAAAATGCAAACGAGACAAAGTTTCATTAATATTAAAACCTTGTTATATGAATACGAATTGAAAAATTTAGAGTAAAATAATGAAAAAAAACCGAGAAAAATGATTTTTTCGATATATTTCTTTTTCTCCGAAATATCAACTCGAATGTTCCCTTAAAAAAAAATTGGCTCTTTTTAAGCGTTACATGGAAGGAAATTATATAACCCTTTTGCATGTTAAGATTCTTTAGTTTGCCTGATAATTGATTATCTGTGAATTAATATGGGAAAGCAATTTTGAGCCTGATAATGCTTCTATAGAACTTAGACAATGTGTACATAAGTCTTTGCATCTTTTGTCAAATTACACCGACAATTTATTTCTCGTTATTCAATTTTTCAATATATCCGAAATTATATATTGAATGTCTTTATAATATCTTTATACATTATATAAACCATTTTTTCTCTATTCGATTGTTTAGTTGAACGCATGTTTGTTTTTAATACGAAAATTCGAATAATATAGTTCTTTCGTTCCCGACAAAAATTTGCGGATTCTTTAAAATTAAAATTTGTTTTTTCTCATGTACAGCTACAAAATGTATTTATTTAAAAAAAAATTTTTTATTTTCATTAAAAAATATTAATAAAAAAAAAATTTCTGTTCATTTTTTTATGGTAAATTTTTATATTTCGGGTAAAAAAAATTTCATTCTGCTTTTTTGAATTTTTCTTTTGGAAATCAAAAAAAAAATTAATAAATTTTTACTTCCATGTAACGCTGGCCTCTTTTGTGTATATATACAAACGCACTTGTATATGTATACAATTTTATAAGAAAATACAGTCACGTTATTCTTGAAATCAAAATTAAATCAAAATTTTCTATTAGTAAAAACTAAAAAATTATAACTAATAAAAAAACTATATTTTACTGGCACTATTAACGTAATAGTATCAAATTTGGAACAATTTGATACCAAAAATTTGGATCAAATGAAAAATTTCAAAAAAATCCAAATTTTTAGCAAATAAATTTGATCCGCACTTTAGTATCAATTTGATACTTTAAAAAAAAAAAACTGGTGTAATTTTTACAAGTAAAAAATCACGTGACTTGATTTCTTGCATGATTCAACCCATCTTGATCTTTTTAGAGCTAATGAGCCGGAAACGTTAGTATTGTCCTCTCTGTCTATTAAATTTCAATTCATTTTCGAAAATAACGCTCAATGTTCGTTAAAAAATAATAAATAAATTTTAATTCAAAAAATAATTAAATTTTTAATCGAAAAATCGTTAAATAAACTAAAAAAATTGAATACTAAATAAATATAAATACTTATAAATAAATATTAAATAAATTCAGTACAAATTTTGATCTTTTAATTTAAATTTCGAAAAAAGTGAAATAAAAAAATGAAAGGACAATGGAGACGTTCTAAAATATCAAGACCGCTTGACCTTGAGTGATTGAATTTAATTGAATGAATGGAAATTTATATATTTATAAAAAAAGGCGGCAGGGCTTTTGTTCGAGGTTGGGGCCACCCTCTCTCTCCTCTACATTGCTACGTTACTGCCTCTAATGTACATATTATATATATTTAAAATATTTACATCCACATTTATTGTATTCATATATAAATATACATGAACGTACTACTACCGCTACTACTATACTATATAACTATTACTATTACTACTACTATTACTACTACTGTTACTAATGTGTTACATTATACATATATATATATATATTTTTTTTGTATATAAATATATAAATATATGTTTGAAACGCGCCCTAAGGATAGGAACCTCCAAAAAATAAAAAAAAATTATAGGTTATATTCATATAACTTTTCAATCTCATTGATTAGAGATTCTTTACGAATTTCTTAAATTTCTATTTTACTTTTTAATTTTTAAATCGATTTTCATTGATGATTTTTGGTCACAACACAGTTTTTCTAAGAATATTAATTTGAGACAATAAACGAATGAAAACGTTGCTTCGCAATATTTTTGATTCGTTTTTTGTCTCAATTTAATATTCTTAGGAAAAGTGTAAAAAAAATTGAAAAATTTAAATTCGTCCGTCTGACTATAACTTGCAGTTTCTACTTAAATGCATTAATTTGTAAATTTTTCTGTAACTGTAAAACTATTATTTATTTATTTCATTTCTCGCCTGACTAAAATCTGTCTTTACTACTGTTTTTGTACTTTCTACACTTACACTTAAAATCTCGCATTTATGACATTCATGGCTGACTAAAGGTAGTCTTTACTACTTAACCTGACAAATGTTGATCCGTCTGGTTTTGTTTAATTGTAATAGTTAATAAATAATTTGCATAATCGTCTGACGAAAACTGTCTGTTACTACTTAAATTGATCATTTTTAATTTATGATTCACTAAAATTTGCCTTTACTACTGAAAGTAGTTTTTATACCTTAATTTGACAAATTTGTTATTAGTCCGACCAAAACCTGTCGTTACTATTTAATTTGACAAATTAGTTTGTCTGTCCTGAACCTGTCTTTATTACTCAAATTTACAAATATTAAATTTGTCTGACTAAAATTTGTCTTTACTACTTAATTTTAGCTACTTAATTTCATAAATTAGATGCATTTTAAATTGTTGTCTGCTTTAAACTGTCTGTTACTATTTAAATTAACAGTTTTCAACAATTGTCGGACTGAAATTGGTCTTTACTACTGATTTTATTAACAAAAACGAATTTTTAACATTTCTATTGAAATAACAACATTAGCACACATCCTGACTAACTATAATTAGATTTTAGTATTTACTTTAACAAAGTTTGTTATGTGTCTGACCGAGACCTTTCTTTACTACTTAATTTGACAAATTTGGGAATTGTCTGACTAATTATAGACTTTACTACTGAATTTTACATTCTACTGCCAAAAATTGAACTTTAGCAATTAAATGACACATTTATGACAATCCTGTCTGAGTAAAAGAAGTCTGTACTACTTAATTCGACAATTTTGGAATTTAACTGACCAAAATCTAGTGCTAATACTTACTTACATGTTTAAAATACTAACAAACTTGTAAAACTAGAATTAACGAACTTAATTTGTTTAATTATAATATTTTACAATTAATTTGTCAACTTTGTCTGACTCAAACAGTTCGTTACTACTTTATTTTAACGTTTTGAATTTTTGTCTTGATAAAATTCACCATTTATGCCGAAAGTAGTTTTTATTTTTAATTTGACAAAATTAGTTATTAGTCTGACCAAAATGTGTGTTTACTACTTAATTTGACAAATTTGAAATTTTTGTGACTAAAAACTACTAATTAACTTTTAAAACTTAAAAACTTAAAGTGATTTAAAAATGTTCTTTCTGTTTGTTTATTTGAATAATATATAGTCGATTTGCAAATTTACCAAACTTTCTTAAACTTTCTTACTTTTGCCTGACTAAAACTTTTTTTTACTACTTAATTTGGCAAATTTGTAATTCGACTGACAAAACCTATGTCTTCACTATACTAACTCTGATATACTTGAAATTTGTCTGATAAAAAATTCTTTTCACTAAGACTTAATTTCCTAAATTGCTGTAAATGTGTCTTTACTACTGTCTGACTGAAAGTAGTCTATACTACTTATTTTAACAAATTTAAAATTTTTCTGATCAAAACTTAAGTTTACTACTCATTTACATGTTTAAAATACTAGCGAACCACTTAAATTCGAATTGACAACTTTAAAATCTACTAACTGTTTGATTGTTATTGTTTCCTATTAATTTGTAAATTTTTGTCTGACTAAAACTGTCCGTTACTACTCAAATCAACCATTTTCAATTTTTGATTGACTAAAATTTGGCTTTACTACTGATAACGACTACTGGAAAAGACTTCTTTTTAACATTTCTACATAAATGACAACATTAATAAACACCCTGTCTGACTATACCTAGATTTTACTACTTGCGTTGACAACGTTTTTATTTGACTGAGCAATAATTGTCTTTACTACTTAATTTGAATAAAAAGGGAATCAATTTATAAATTTCCGTCTGACTATAACTAGTCTTTACTACTTTATCTGATAAATTGTAAGTTTGTCTGACCAAAATTAGTATCACTACTTAATTTGTCAACTTTGGAATTTGTCTGACCCATATTCTTTTCGTTTTAATAGAAAGTAGTATATCTTCCACATTAACTTTTAAAAAAGGAATAGAAATTAAGAGTAATTTATAAGTATAAGTTAAATGAATTATAAAAACATAACCTATAATTTTCAACTACTGAGGTCCCTTTCTTGAGAGCGTGTCACTTTAAATTATGATATATATTCATATAATATTCTTGCATGTATATATATCTATAATATATACTTGTATATTATATATTATGTTTACATATTATATGTTTATATATTATACATTTACTTATTATATATTTACATAATATATATTTATATATCATATATTTTCATAATATATAATTATATATTATATAATGTTATATTATATAATATACATTATTATATAATGTTTACAAATCATATGTTTATATATTCTATAATTATATATACTAGCTATGAATATAATTATATATTTGTATACTATATATATATATATATATATATATATATATTTGTATATTACTTTATATATATAAACCTGGTTCTTTAAACGTTTTGGTGCCATCTTTTTCTCGCTCTCACGTATGGTTCTCTCTTCTCTCTTGACCTTTTCCAGTACCCCCTATAATTGAGCCATTTACCTTCCAAGAGGGACTTTCCGAGGGGATGCGGACGCGGACGGTGTGCGGGGTCGCGGCGGGTGATCCGCCCTTAACCATTTCCTGGCTAAAAGACGGCCAAAGTCCCTTTCCCCTGCCACCGAAATTGGCCTCCGTCGCTAATATTTCCCAATTGGATCCTTATTCGAGTCTTCTGAGTATTTCCAATCTTGCGGCCGAGCACTCCGGTGATTATACATGCGTCGCCGCGAACCCCGCCGCCGAGGTCAGGTACACGGCCAAGCTCCAGGTAAAAGGTAACTAGTTGATCGCCAAAACCCATTTTTTTCCCTGCTCCAAACAATCATTTTTTGTCTATAATCATCATCATTGTCATCAATTTTTTTTTTCGCCCAAAAATCCAGAAAAAAATTTCCTATAGTTTTCTTCCTTGTATTTTGTCATCGGAAATCCTAGATCCTCTTCAACGTTGGTATTTTTTTTTTGACTGATATTCCATTGGTGAATTTTGCTGATTAACGCACAAAACACACATTTATATATACATAATATTTAGCAATGCTGTGGTTATGAACTAGCAATAATTTGTTTCTTTATTTTCGTCGCTGTATGTCACCCTGTTTCTTCTCCTATTAATGACAGTTGCCAGCTTCAGCAATAGCCGATGATATCGTATCTACTTTATTTTAGAGTACACTGTTTTTTCTTTTTTCACTTTTTTCTTTTTTCCTTTGGTTTTTAATCAGCAATATAGCTAATATAGAAGGTATTTGGGCTCCGCGAATGTAAACACGTCACTATTCATATATTTACGGACTGGTGCGAATTTCGTCGATGGAATGCTCTTTATTTTTAGTGAGAAGAATCTTTTACTTATTTATTTTATTGAAATAAATCCTACTCTCTAAATTTGTTTTCGTAAAAATGTTCCAATTAATTAGTGACTTACTGTTTGTTTTTGAATTTGTGAATTTTTTGTCGATTTTCCTATAAATTTTTGAATTTTATATTTTTTTCTCAGTTTGAATACAAACATAATTTACAATTTCATAACAAAATTTACTAAATCAAAAACAAAAAGTCAGTCACGAATTTAAATTACTCTCTAAATTTGAATTAGTAAAATTAATGATTTACTAATTTAAATTAGTGACTAACCTTTTTGCTTTTAAACAAATAAATTTCAATAATAAATTTGTAGAAATAAAACTTTATTAATAAAAGTTACTAATTCAAAAAAGTAAAAAGTTAGTCACTAATTCAAATAAGTAAACATTTTTACTAATTCAAAATTAGACAGTAGTTTTTTTATTTTATTGAAATAAATCCTGGTCCTTTTATTAAGGAATTATTATTACCAATAACGTAACTTTTATAATAACATTAAAATTTAAATATAATTTTTTTTTTATAGTTTTATTAACAATAATTTTAATTAACCTTCAAATTAATATTTGAAGGTAAAAAATCGCAACGTTGGAGATTGGATCTCTCTTCCTTGTAAATTAATTCCTTTTCTTTATCACCTGATCTGATCATGCTTTCACCAACACCACTGCCACCGTGTGTATGTATCCTTTTTCCAGATTGTTTTATAGTATATTCTAAAAATTCTACAATTCACAGATTTTAAAATTTTTCGACCAATTTACACTGGAAAAAAATAATTCAGGATTCGTCTGACCAAAACTGGGTATTACCACTTATTTATGTTTCAAATACTATCAAACATCTTAAACTTGGATTGACATCCTGCCTGACTATAATTAGACTTTACTACTTACTTTGAGAAAGTTTTTACTTGACTGATCAAAAACTGTCTTTACTACTTAATTTGAAAAAGAGAATCAATTTGTAATGTTCCGTCTGACTATAACTAGTATTTACTACTGAAATCAATGTTTTCAATTGTTGTCTGACTAAAATCGACCTTTACTACTGATAGTAGTTTTTATTACTTATTATTATTACTTAATTTGACAAATTTGTTAATGGTCTGACCAAAATCAGTTTTTACTACTTAAGTTGACAAATTCGGGATTCGACTGACCAAAACAATTTTTTACTACCAACTTTGACATACTTTAAATTTGTCAGACTAAACATAATTTTCGCTACTTAATTAATTTGACTAAAGTGGAATTTGGCTGACTAAAACTTGCCTTTACTACTTAATTTGACTAAAACTAATTTGCATATTCACGGCTAACAAAAACTGTCTGTTACTATTTGAGTTAACAGTTTTCAACAATTGTTGAACTAAAATTGGTATTTTCCAATTTCTATTGAAATGCCAACATTAGTACACATCTTGTCTGAATATAACTAGACTTTACTACTTAATTTGACAAACGTTGTTATTTGTCTGATCGAGACCTGTCTTTACTACTTAATTTGTAAATATGTAGTTTCTCTAACTTAAAATTAACATTTTCATACTTTTTGTCTGACTAAAATTTGCCTTTACTACTCAAAGTAATTTTTATTACTTAATTAGACAAATTTTTTTAATGGTCTGACCAAAATCAGTTTTTACTACTTAATTTGACAAATGTGAGATTCGACTGACAAAAACTAGTCTCTACTTACTAACTTTAACATACTTAAAAGTTGTCTGACCAAAAATTATTTTCGCTACTTAGTTTCATAAATTAACTAATTTTTAAATTTTCGTCTGCTTTAAACTGTCTGTTACTACTTAAATGAAGTTTTCAACAATTGTCTGACTAAAATTGGTCTTTACTACTGATTTAATTAGCAAAAACGAATTTTAAACATTTTTCTTGAAATGACATAACATTAATAAACATCCTGCCTGACTATATCTAGACTCTACTACTTAATTTGACAAACTTTTTTTATTTCACTGAGAAAAATCTGTCTTTACTAATTCAATTGAAAAAATTGAAATTTGTCTGATTAAAACCTGTCGTTAAAGCTTAATTTGACCAATTTATTAATGGTCTGACCAAAAACCTGTCTTTACTACTAACTTTGACAAATGTGAAGTTTGTCTGACCTTACCTTGTTTTTATTACTCAATTTGACAAATTTCAAATTTGTCTGACTCAAAATTTGCTCCAACGTAAATTAAAACTTTGCTCCAACTCAAGGGAAACTTTCCCAAAAGCTCTGGGTAAGCTTACCTGAAGCTTGCAGTAAAATATACATTTTTGAAAATTTTAAGATTTTTTTCAAGTGTTATTCTATAAATTTTGTTCATTTTTAATGATCGAGCTGAAGCAAAAAGTCACGATTTAACTCTAATAATTATAGTTATTTTTTAACTAATTCAGAATCAAAGAGTATTTATCCAATTTGGACAGATAGTGAAATAATTTAATTTTTTTTTTATAAAAATACCTATTTAAAAAATCGATGAACCTATAAAATAGAATCTGGTAAAAGGATAAAAATTCCAATATTAAATAGCAAGTCAGAAAGAAACCTTTCTCCTGAAAATTCTTTGAAACCCAAAAACACAGTGTGTATTACATTTACGTTGCTTTGGCTCTCTGGGAATGCGTCGATATCTCGTGGACCCCGAGGTTTGCTTGACTTGACCGAATCATATAAGGTAACAGTTTTTTGCACCTTCTTTATTTTTTTAACAACATTTTCTCTTTCTCTCTAATATATCTCTCTTTTCAAAATATTGTATATATTTATAAATCCTGGTGCGTATTTTTGCTAACACGGCCTATTCACAATTTTTTTTCGCATGTTTTCAATTATAATGTCAGTGCACGTTTATTTTTATCTACATATATATTTATAGGAATGCTCTTTTTTATCTTCAAAAATACAATTTTTTATATTATACAAAATTTTTATTGTAAATTATTATTGATTGTTGCTTTTCGATAATGTATCTTTAAAGCACGATTTTTGTTTTTGTTTTGAGTAAACAAAAAAAAATCACATATTGACAATCGTTTCACCGACCCTTGGCTGGCTCTGCTGGACACAATTGGAAGAGAACATTTTATTCTCTTTTGCATGCTCTCTTTTCTCTCTCTTCCTCTTTTTCTCTCTTCGTTTTTTTTATTTTTGTTTATTTCCATCTTTTTTTTCTCTTTTTCTCCCTTTCTTTTTCACTCTGGCTGTATGAATTTTTCACACTCTTTCTCTTTTTCTCTTTACAATCACTTTCTCTATCACTCACTCACTCACTCTCTTTCTCTCTTTCTCTCTCTCTCTCATAGGTCCTTTTCTCTTTTTTATATTACTCCCAATGCTCGAATGACAAGGCGCAATTCTTTCGCGTCTATTGATTTCCAATTGAAATTTTTTCCTACTAATTTTCTATAGAGAGTCATTTTTTTACATTAGTCTCTCAAGCCTCAAATGGATAATTCCTATGAAAATTCGATTATTGAAATTCAACTTCTATTTGAATTTCTTTCAATATTTTTTTGTTTGCTCTTTAAATAATAATCTAAATTGAAATTAAAATATCGTACATGTGAATAAAGATATTTTTTCTTTTAAATAATAAATTGAAATTCAAATTGGAATGTTAAATATAGTATAAAATAAATGAGCCGAATTTATAGTAGAAATGTAGTATTTGAATGAATTTATAGAAAGGAATTTGTGTGTACTTTGATCAAAGATTAAAATTTAATTTATCATATCTGTTTAAAAAGCAGTATTATTAAATTCCATCTCGAATTATTAAAAGATAATTTCATCTCGATTTATATATGGAATGCTTTAATCATAATTAAAACATGCATAATTTTAATAATACTAAAAAAGGAAGAGAAAATAAAAAATTTTAAGTGAGACAGTAATGATTAAAAATAGATTTAATTACATGACGCCTCCTGAAGATGGCGCTAGAAACTACATTTTCTAACTGACGTTGATTTAAAATTGTATCGTTAATAATTTTTTTTTACTTTTCAAAATACTAATTTTGTATCTTTTGTCATTTTTATTCTGAAATAAAGTAATTCTTAGATTGAATTTTATTAAATTTTTTTAAAATAATTTAATTATTAATAATTGAATTATTTAGAAAAATTTTATTCATATTTTTAAAAATTATTGCATTCTTTACTCTTTAGAGAAAGTTAATTAAAGAATTTTATTCCCAAATTTTTAAAAATAATAGAAATATTTTTAGAAACGTTAATTAAATTCTATGGAAAATAATTAAAATCTTGCGAAGAATTTTATTAAAATTCTTGATAATATTATTGCTTCGAAGAAAATTATTTTAAATTTCTAAAATTAAATTCAATTCAATTCATTCGAGGACTTTAATAAAAATTCTATTGAAAATAAATGAATTCTTATAAACAACTTTATCAAAGTTTTATTGAAATAATTTAATTGTTTCGAAGAATTTTCTTAAAAATTTAATGTTTCGATGAATTTTAATAAAATTTTTGGAATAATGAACTGTTTCGAAGCATCTTATTAAAATTTTTCAGTATTAATTATTTCGAAGAATTTTATTAAAAGTTTGTAAAATATTTGAATTTTTCCGAAGAAATTTATTGGAAATTTAGAAAATAAATGAATTCCACCGAAGAATTTTATTAAAATTTTTTTAAAATAGTGGAAATATTTCTAAAAATTGTAATTAGTTTATACATAAGAAATAATTGAAATCTTTCGAAAATATTGTTTTTAAAAATAATTGAATTTTTTCGAAGAATATATTATTAATATTTATTTAAATTATTCAATTCTTTCAAGAACTTGAATAAAAATTTAACTGAAATAAATTAAAATTCTTATGAATAACTTTATTATTCAATTATGTCAAATATTTTTTTTTTAATTTGGAAAATAATTGAATTGTTCAGAAGAAATTTATTAAAATTTTTGAAAGTAATTGAATTCTTTGAAAGAGTTTATTAAACATCTTTTTTTTTTTGAAATCATTGTAATATTTTCATCAGTTTCTATTAAATTATACGAAAAGTAATTAAATTCTTATAATAGAACTTTATTGGATTTTTTTTGGAATTAAAATAACTGAAAATAATTGAAATTTTGAAAATGAATGCAATTAAAATTTTTTAAAATAATTCAATTGTCTCGAAGAATTTTATTAAAATAAAATGTTTTTGAAAATAATTGAATTTCTTTAAAGAAATTTATAAAAATTTTTGAAAATAATTTAATTCTTTAAAAAAATTTGAGTAAATTTTTTAAAAATAATTGTTATATTTCTGGTAGTTTCCATTAAGTTATACTGAAAATAATTGAAATCTTGCAAAGAATGCAATTATAATTTTTGAAAATAATTCAATTGCTTGGAAGAATTTTATTAAAAGTTTCGAAAATAATTGAATTGCTCCAAAGAAATTTATTAAGTTTTCAGAATAATTGAATTCCTCAAAAGAATTTTATTATTTATATGAAAATAATTGAATTCTCTTTAAATATTTTATTAAAAATTCTTGAAGTTAATGCAAATTTGTTAATTTGTTAATAACTGAATTTGTTTTTAGTTTTAAATTTCAAAGTTGATAGAATTAAATTGAAATTATTTTTAAAAAATTGAAGATAATATTTCAAAATCAAAATAAAAATTGTGTCATAATAATATTAAATTAATTTATTTTAATTGCATAATAAGAAAATTATTCACCAAAAATTAAAAAACGAGTATTATTAAAAAGAAAATTGAAAATTTCTTTAACAGAAAGTAAATTTGCCTTGTCATTCTGGTATCCTGGCAAAATTCAGCCATAGTAGTCTAGTAGTACGTATATTATCTAATATCACAATATTTGTATTTTTATAAAACTAGTCGTTAGTTGCGAAAACAAATATATATTTATTCGGCTTTCCTCGAAATACATCCTTCGCGCTCGGCCTTTGTCATTAGAAAAAATAATTCCTATTTTTTTTTTTAAATCACCCCTTTTGCGCCTATAATTTGCCTTTACAATTTTTCTTTTCTACTTAATAAAAATTTGTATTATTCACGCCAAGTAAAATTATAAGTATACATAATATTTATTTTTCCTTTAATGTATATTAATATACATATATACATATATATCACACGTTTCACAAAAAAAAAATAGACGATACATTTTCGTCTTGTAAATTCTTGTTAAATTTCCCACTCTCACAGTATCTTGCTTTATGCAGCGTTCTTTTTATCTCAACACTGTAAAATGTAGAAAATCCCCCTAACCCCCTCTCTTTCTCTCTTCGCCCATTAAAAAACAAAACCCTTTCTACCTAAAAAAAAATATTCCTCACGGGAGGTCTCAATATAAAAAAATAAATTTGTTTTAAATTATTATTTGAAAAATATAATTTATTTGATTTCTCTGCAAAAAAAAAAATTGTGGAAAAAAATGAGATCTCTCGTGAGAATTGAACTTCCTATTTTAATTTCCTCCCTTTCAATATCTTGTTCCAAAAAAGCATTAAAACCTTCACAATTTCTCATTATTCTCTCTCTCTCTCTCTCTCTACTTTATAAATTTCTCCAAAAAAAATTGAATTGTTTTTATTTTCTCATTAAATTTTTCGTATTTTTGTATATAAATTTTTTCAAAATTTCGATTGTTTTTCTTTTATTAAATTTCATTGAGAATGAGAATTAAAGAAAATGAAATATTTTTTAAAATTAATGAAAATTTTTTTTTGAAACGAGCTTGTCGTTGGCGTTATTTATTTTCAAATTTGTTCGTTTTTGAAAGCTTAATTCAGTTTCTTTTGTTTGTTCTTTGTTTTATAATAATTCTCCCCTTTTTGTATGCCTATGAGAGTGTTTAAATGGTATAAAAAACGAAGGGATGTAATTTTATTCATTTCACGCGATTCCCACGCTTTTAAATCCTTTGTCATTGAAAGAAATGGAAAAAAAAGATTCCCGAGTCGAAATTTAGACCCTACTTAGCCTCTGAAAATGTAGGGCTTATTCAGGTTTAGCAGTCGTAAAGTAGGGTCTGATTTCAATACAATTTTTAAAAACTAGACCCTCCTTTGACTCCCAAAATAGGCTGAAATTTGCCAATCTTCCATTTGGAGAAGCAAAGGAGGGTCTTCTTCTAAGAAACCTATACCGTACTTTTATACCTCGTAGACCCTACTTTCATACTCCTAGACCCTACAATTAGAAAAAGAAAAATTTGAAGATTTGCCCAGATTCAATTGAAGCACTAGGGATGAGTAAAAGTGGAATTTTATGTGTTTTATAGCGTCTATATACACGAAGTGTATATAGACGCTATAAAACACATCAGTATTTATGAATTTGGAGTACTTTTTGCATTTGCAGTGTTTCAAGTAATGCATTAAAAAATAATTCAAAATTTTCTTTTAGAATGTAGGGTCTAGGAGTATGAAAGTAGGGTCTACGAGGTTTAAAAGTACGGTATAGGTTTCTTAGAAGTAGACCCTCCTTTGCTTCTCCAAATGGAAGATTGGCAAATTTCCGCCTATTTTGGGAGTCAAAGTAGGGTCTAATTGTATTAGAATTAGACCCTACTTTACTACTCCTAACACTCAATAGACCCTGAAAATTCAGGGTGAAAGTAGGGCTTAAATTTCGACTCGGGTTGTTCTTTAAATCGCTAACGACCAGTAAATTTTCTTCTTCTTCTTCTTCATTTTTTTTTTTTTTGTTTTTTGAAGAACCGTGATGGAATTTTTATAGCGGAGTGATCTTATTTTCAGTGCCACCTCAATGGATCGTCGAGCCAATTGACGTCAGTGTTGAAAGAAATAGACACGTGTCATTGCATTGTCAAGCGCAGGGTGTGCCGACTCCTACGATTATTTGGAAAAAGGCGACAGGTAAATAAAATTTATATAAGTATTCAATTTGTATATATATATATATATATATATATATATATATATATATATATATATATATATATATATATATATATATATATATATATATATATATATTTATTGTAAATTTATTCCTGCAATATTTAAAAAAAAATTATTATTTTATTATTTTTGATATTTTAAACATAATTCAATATTATCAGCCAAAGAATAATTCGTCCGACAAATTGAAATTTATGAAATTAAGTAGTGACTTTCAGTTTCAGTCAGACATGACGTTTAGAAAGATGTAATTTTAAGTAAAAGTGTTCAAAATACGTGCTTAATAGTCAAATCAGTAGTAAAGGCAAATTTTAGTCAGAGCAAATTTTGAAATTGGCTGAAATATTTAAAATTTGTCGAATCAAGTAGTAAAAACTAGTTTTAGTCAGACCGAACGTTTAGAAAGTTAGAATTTAAGTAGAAGTATCGAAAATACGTTGTAATAGTCAAATCAGTAGAAAAGACAAATTTTAGTCAAACCAAATTTTGAAATTGGCTGAAATATTCCAAATTTGGGGAATTAAGTAGTAAAAACTAGTTTTAGTCAGACGATACTGTTATAAATACGTAATTACAATGTAGAAGTGTTAAAAATACATTTTAAGAACTGAGAAGTGTGTTTAGCTTTGTTATGACATATTTTATTCAGATAAAAATTGAAACGATTGATTTAAGTAGTAAAGGTTGTTTTAGTCAGACGAAGAAAGATTAAATTGTCAAGTAAAGAATAAGAAGTAAAAACAACTACATTGAATATGTAAATCAGTATAGTAAAATTAACCTTTCGTCGTTTAATTTACAATTTTAACAAATTAAGTAGTAAAAAATAGTTCTAGTCAGGCAGGACGTTTATAAAGTTGACATTTTACGTCGATAGTAGTATTATAACTACTTTTTTACCATAGTCAAATCATTCAATCAAAAATCGAAAACAGACAAAAAAAATTGATGGTAACCTCGAGAATAGAAAGAAAAGAATTTATCGAGGAGACAATCAATTATTATTCTTAATATGGACCCTTGGGAATTTATTGGTTATTAGAGAAATGAGTGCTTATACCATTGCTGGTATATTCTCCTTTATAAATGTCTGACTATCGCTCGGTATATTCCACTTTACTTATTGGACGCGCTAGCAAGTAGAAATGGTCGACTACAGTCAGACGGAATGATCCCACAGACGTAAACCTCGGCGATTTATGAATTCCATTAGCGCTCACACCACAACGATAGTTTTATATATATACATTTCTCCTCTCCGATTGAATTTTCGCAGTTATCTCTTTTTAACCTTTTGCGAATGAATACTTTTTTCTAAATACCCCCATTCTTCTTTTTTTTTCTTTTTTTTGCGTCTTTCTTCTATTTTTCTTGATTTTCAATCGCCCAGAACTCTAAAAATAAATGAAACTCGCGATAGCGTCCGTGATTTATCTAGTTATAATTTTCTTCTCTTGCTGCGGAGAATTTAGTACTCTGGTCAAAAAAAAGTTAATTTATAACCGGTCGAAATCGTTCTCTAAAAGATTGTAATTTTTATTTTAAAATTATTTTCCTAATATAGAAGGAGAAATAAATTTCCTGAATAATTTCACTGTAATAATTCAACTTTTGAACTAAAATCGTTTATATTAGTACCACTTTAAAGTTTTTACACTAAAAGTTCGTTCTCCTGGATATTTTGCAAAATTGAAATTAATACGAATAATTGAATAAGTAGAAGAAAAAAGTTTTGGTTTGAAAAAATTCAAGTTTGTCAAATTAAGTAGTGATGACTAGTTTTAGTCAGACAAATTTACAATTCATCAGATTATTTAGTAAAGACTAGTTATATTATGCAAAATTGTTACAAAATATTTACTACTAATAAAAATGTTAAAAATACCTTGTTTTTAGTTGCCAACAATAGTAAAGCCAAATTTTATACAGACAAAAGATAAAACTCCTTTTTTTATTAAAACAGTAGAAAAACCAATTTTTAGTCAGACACATTCAAAATTTGTCAAATTAAGTAGTAAAGACAGATTTTTATCAGACCAATAACAAATTTGCCAAATTAAATAATAAAAACTACTTTTAGTAGTAAAGGCAAATGTTAGTCAGACAAAACATGAAAACTTTGATTAAATAATAAGAATTAAAATTTGTCCATTCCGTTTTGAGAATTTTATTTTCATTATAAACATTTGCATAAGTAGTGAAACTATTTTAAGTCAGACAAATTCCAATTTTGTGAAAATAAGTTCTAACAGTAGGTTTTAGTCAGACAAATTCCACTTTTTAAAATGAATTCGTAAAGACAGGTTTTTGCTAAGTCAAATAAAAACTTCGTCAAAGTAAATAGTACAGTCTAGGTATAGTCAGACAGTATGTTTATATTTATTTTTTTCATTTAAATAGAAAGGTTAAAAAAGCGCCTTTTACAGTTGTAGTAATCAGTAGTAATGACAAATTTTAGTCATTCAAAAATTGAAAATCATTCATTTAAGTAGTAACATACAGTTTTCGTCAGACGTGATTTTGCAAATTAATTATTAACGATTATAATTAAACAAAACCAGTTCTAGTCAGACAAATTCCGAATTTTTTAAAATTAGCTAATAAAGACAGGTTTTCAGTTAGAGAAATTCTCCATTTGTCAAATTAAGTAGTAAAGACAGTTTTCGATCAGACAAATAAAAAATTTGGTTAAAATAAGTAGTAAAGTCTAGTTATAGTCAGACAGGATGTGTATTAATGTTGTCATTACAATAGAAATGTTTAAAATTCGTCTTTATCAGTAGTAGTAATTAATTAACTTTTAGTATAATAATCAGTAGTCAAGACTGATCAAGACAATTGACAGATCGTCAATTAAAATTAATACTGATTGATTTTAGTAGTAACTGACAGTTTTAGTCAGACAATAATTTACAAATTAGTAGTTAACTATTATAATTAAACAAACAGATCGTACACTTTAATGTTCTCAATTCAAGTTTCAGAAGTTTTCTGGTATTTTAAACATGGAATTAAGTAGTAAACCAAAGTTTAGTCAGACAAATTGCAAATTTGTCAAATTAAGTAGTACAAACTAGTTTTAGTCAGGCAGAACTGTCAATAATGTGTCATTTTATGTGCAAGTGTTGAAAATAAGTTTTTATAAATTAAACAGTAGTAAGGGCAGATTTTAGTCAGACGAAAAATAAAATTCTTGTATTTAAGTTGTAAACGACGATGATAGTTCAGAATTGTTTACAATTCTTAAATAAACAATTAAAAGTATAAAATACCATGTGAAGTATTCAAATCAGCAGTAAAATTAAGTTTAGATCAGATTAACTTTAAATTTGACAAATTAAGTAGTTAAAAATAGTTTTGGTCAGGCAGAACTATCAGTGTTAGTAAAATTGTTAAAAATACGTTTTTCCTGTAGTCAAATCAGTAGTAAAGATCAACTTTAGTCAGACAAAAATTGAAAAACATTTAAAATTGAATGACGAAAATGAAGAAAGATTTATTTTTAATAGAACGTGCTTTTTTGTTAAATAGGTGGCAAAACGGGCGAGTATGAGGAGCTGCGAGAAAGAGCATATACGAAACTTCTTCCGAATGGCACTCTATTGCTTCAGCACGTTAAAGAAGATAGAGAAGGCTTCTATCTTTGCCAAGCTAGTAATGGTATTGGAACTGGCATTGGAAAAGTGGTGCAACTTAAAGTCAATTGTAAGTTTTCAACTGCTATTTCTTACGGTCATTTGAAACTATTTTCTTTTATCAGTGAATGTCTCTTAAAACTTTTATCTCCTTTAATGTGTGTGTATGTTGGTGAATCTATTGTATAACACAGACACACGAGTTACACTACGTCTTATATATAAAAAGTAAAGTGCAAAGAAAGTAAATTATTTACATTCAAACACACAGGAATTTTGAATATGTCACGCGCTCTAAAGCGCCTGTTCTTAAAAACAGGGTAGACTTGAAGCTCTTGAATCGCTTTAAATTCAAAACTGAAAGATTCTTAAAACAACTTAAAAGAACTTAAAAGAACTTGAAATTTTTAGGTTATGTTTGACACTTTTTGGTTAGGTCTACGTAGAATAAAACTTCTAAGTCTACGTGGTAGAGAAACGGATAGAAATATCTTTTTTTTTAGAAAAAGACAAAAGATATTTCCATCCTAGTTAAGTTTTTTAGTCTAGTTAAGTTTTAGTTTTAGTTTTAGTTTTTAAGGTCTCTTTCTTCAGTGCGCGTGTCACACTTGTAGAAGTGATTAACTAATTTCTTTTATTTTTCTGCAAACTTTCCTCTAGCTTCGCCATTCTTCGCGGCTCCATCTCGCCTGGTGACTGTAAAAAAAGGTGATACGGCGACTTTACATTGCGAGGTACACGGTGATAAACCAGTCACTGTTACATGGTTGAAGAGCGGTAAAATCGAACTAAACCCTTCGACAAACTATAGGTAAGTAGTAAATTTCTTTCTTCTCGTCATTACCGTTACGAAAACAAACAAAAAAAAACAATTTTCAAATATGTGACGCTGACGCTCCATGCGAAAAAAATTTTAGGTTATGTTTTATCTTTCTTCACTGCCGTTGTTTTTAATTTACTTTTGTTGACTTCTTTACTATTTTCTTTACTGTAAAGAAATACCATTTTTTTACAGTAAAGAAAATTGTGGAAAAAAAAATTACACATGGAATGCGAAGATCAAATTAATTTTTTAGGAAAATTAAATTTTTTTTTCATCAGCGGTAAACATAACCTATAATTTTTTTGCTATTTAAGCCTTTTCTTCAGTGTATTTTTTCGCAAACAATAATTCTCCATTCAATTGATAAAGGGTGACAGTGAAACAGGAAATAACACCGGACGGTGTTGTTGCCCAGTTGCAAATTGCAGCAGCGGAAGCCTCTGACAGTGGAGCTTATTTTTGTCAAGCCAGCAATTTATATGGTCGCGATCAACAATTAGTACAACTTATTGTCCAAGGTAAATATTCGCAAAATTTTAATACTCTTTTTTTTATACTTTCCTTTCATTAAAAAATTCGTGAAAAAATTGAATAAATTTGGAATTGGAATACTTCTTCTAAGAGGCGAATACTATTTCTAAAAAAATGCGAATACCACTTTGAAATGAATTTATTTCCCCATGAAGGTAGCTTTTTCGGTATTAATAATTTTTTTGTTTTATTTTAAAGAACCACCATTGCCGCCGAGTGGATTGGAAACTGCAATGATAGCCAGTCGGAGTATCAACGTAAAATGGCAACACAAGTCCCAGGACACGAGTGAAGTGACAAAATATATTCTTCAATATAAAGAAGGGGAAGGTGAGTAGACGATCCACAAAATTTATTCGTATTTTCGTTCCGAACTCGATTAGCCCCGAGTTATATTAAATTCAGGTGAATTTGTAGGTTTATGGCAACAGCAAGAATTAACTGGACCCCCACTGCCGTATGCGGCACTGATCGACGAATTAAAACCAGCGACGAAATACACGATTCGAGTGATTGCTGAAGGTCCCGCTGGAAGATCGTCACCATCCGCTGAACTTGTCGTGAGAACTGAGCCGCAAAGACCAGCAGGACCGCCTATTAATTTAGTGGCAAGGCCCTTGACCTCGACGGAAATGCTGATCACCTGGTCGCCTCCTCTTCCTGAACTCCGTCATGGCGATGTCCAGGGTTTTAATGTCGGATACAGGGAAACAAGGTTATTGACATTTTAAAAATATCAAGCAAACTACTAATAGACTTAATAGAACTTAAGAAAAATTAGGTTTTTTTAGTCAAAACAGTAATAAAGACAAATTTTAGTCAGACACAAGTTAAAAATACTATTTTCTAGTCAAAACAGTAGTGAAGACAAGTTTTAGTCAGACACAAGTTAAAAATACTATTTTCTAGTCAAAACAGTAGTAAAGACAAATTTTAGTCAGACAAAAGTTAAAATCCGTTTATTTAAGTAGTAAAGGTAGATTCAATCAGATAAAACTGTTAAAAAAGTGTCACTACTAGTAGAATTGTTAAAAATAATTTTTATTAGTCAAAACAGTAGTAAAGATATATTTTAGTCAGACACTTAAAAAATACTTAAATAAAATACTTCAAAAATACACTGAAAATACAGATAAAAATACTTGTTATTAATCATAACAGTAGTGAAGCTAAATTTTAGTCAGACAAAATATGTCAAAATTCAGTAGTGAAGGCTGGTTTCAGTCAGACAAATTCCAAATTTGTCGAATTAAGTAAATTAAACTTTTCTAAATATAGACTAATTTTTTGCCTCGAAAGTACCCCGAAAAGTGTTACATTTTTTTATGTTTTTTATACTTTTTATACCCATTTCCAAAGTTTTTTGATTGTAATTAATTTTTTTCAGCTCTGGCAATCCGTCTTACAATTTCACCTCGGTCTCTGGGGACGGGGAGGAAGGAGGTGGAGAACTTCGTCTCTCGGGACTTCGACCTTATACGAGATACACTCTAGTTGTCCAGGCGTACAATCAAGTTGGATCGGGACCTCTCTCGGAACCTCTAACATCACAAACACTCGAGGATGGTGAGTTCATGAATTGATGAAATTTTCTATTAAAAATTTCCCAGTATATTTAAATCAAGAATATTCTGATACACTCTAAAAATATTACTGTAACATCTTCAAAATAATTCTCATCATTTCAATTCAATTACTATTTTCTACAGTTCTTAACTAAAATTCTTCTTTAAATCAATTCTTTTTAATAATTTTTGAAAATGTTCTTTTTTGTGAATTTTCAAATCCATTTGTTTTCAATTTTACGTTAAATTTCGATTATTTTTATTATTTTATTTTTATTTTTAATATTAGGAAATTGTTCAATAAAAATAGTAGATATTGAAAATCATGAAAATGAGGAGTTTTCTTGAAAATAATTGAAATTTTGATAAGAATTTTATTTAAATTTTTGAAAATAATTCAATTTCGCAGAAGAATTTTATTATTTTTAAAGATAATAATTTCTCCAAAATTCAATTTTTTAGTGTTTCTTTACTAAAACTCTTCTATATGAATCTATTATTTCAAAATAATGAAATTTTTTGAAAATTTTATTAAAATTGTTTGAAATAATTCAATTAAATTCTTGCGAAGTATTATGATTAATTATGAAAATATTTCAATTCTTATATGAATAATTTTATCAAAATCTTTTAACGTATAATTGATTTTCTAAGAAGAATTATATTAAAATTTTCAAAAATAATTTAGAATTTTTTCTCGAGGAATTTAATTAAAATTGTCTTGAAAATATTTCAATTCTCGTAAAGAATTTAATCAACACTTTCAAAAATAATAGAATTTTTTCTCGAGGAATTTAATTAAAATTATCTTGAAAATATTTCAATTCTCGTCAAGAATTTAATCAACATTTTTTTAAAGTAATTGAATTTTTTACGAGAATTTTTATGAATTTTTGAATATAATTGAATTCTTTCGACGAATTTTCATAAAATTTTTAAGAATACATAATTACGCATTTTTCGAGAGAATTCGATTAAAATTATATTAAAAATAATTGAAAATCTGCAATGAGTTTCATTTATTAATGAAAATAGTTGAATTATTGGGAAGAAATTTTTTAAAAAAATTTTGGTAAATAATTGAATTTCTGTGAAATTTTTATTATTTACGAAAATAATTAAATGTTTGTGTAAAATGTAATTAAAAAATTTCTTTTAAATAATTGAATTCTTTTGGAAAATTTTATTAAAATAGTAGATATTGAAAATCATTGAGAATTGAGGAGATTTTTTGAAAATAATTGAAATTTTGATAAGAATTTTTTTTTAAATATTTGAAAACAATTGAATTTCAGAGAATTTTATTATTTTTAAAGATAATTGAAATTTTGACGAAAATTTTTTTTTAATGTTTAAACATAATTTAAATAAAATTATTCATTAAATATTAAAGTTTAATATTAAAGTTATTTAAAAAGAAATTATTGTCAGAAATAGAAAAAAATTTAAGGTTTCGTATTAGAATTCGTGGTAATTTCATAGTTTTTATGAGGCAAACAAAATAGACACCTAAATTAAGAATTTTCTTATGAATTCTAAAAATTTGATTTTTTCCAGTACTTTTAATAATAATCCCTGACTTTTCCCTGATTTCCCTGACCAATTCTACTTTCTAAGAATTTTTTCTGTTCTAAAGTACCTTTCTTCAGAGTGCATCACGTTTATTAAAAAATGCGAGAAAAATTTAATTAGAAAAGGATTTCTTTTTGTTTTCTTAGTTCCTAGCACACCGCCAGAAGATGTAAGATGCGCGGCATTGACATCTCAATCACTTCAAGTTTCATGGCAACCCCCGCCCAATTCTCACAGTAATGGAATTATTCAGGGATATAAACTTTATTATGAGCCAATATTAACTGATATGTGGCGCGGAGTCGACGAGATGGAGGTACATAGTAAACTTACAACCATTTTATTTTAATATTCAATTAAGTTAAATTAAATCAGTAATTCTTTGTTTAAAATAATTTTTTACTTTCCGGTACAATTTTTCAAAATTTTCTCCTGTAGTGACGTAAATCAATTTTTCAAAATAGTTTCATATTATAAAATAAAATAAAACAGTTTCCATCGTCTTGGACTGAAATTATTAGTTTAAGACGGATTTTTTTATACAAAGAAAAAATCTTTCAAGACTTAATTTTTTTTTCTCTATTTTAACAGGTGCGGAAGACTAACGCTCTTACAACAGTTTTGACGGGTTTGAGAAAATATACGAACTACAGTATTCAAGTCCTGGCGTTTACACGAGTCGGCGATGGTGTTTTGACTCGAGTTGCTTTCTGTCACACCGAGGAAGATGGTAATAAAATTAAACTAGATTTTATACTCCAAACATTCTGCGTAGTCGAAACTTTTAAATTTTGTCATTTTCTTTTTCATTGGGGAATAAGAATCCAAAGTCATAATTTCGTAAAATAATATAAAACTATTTTTAAGTTTTAACCAAAGTTCCTTTGGATGAAATTCGATTCTTTTAATAAAAATGTTTTTTTAAAAAACATTTTTTATTAGAGAATTGAATTTTATCCAAAGAAACTTTTAATTGTTGAACAATGTTTTGAAATCAAATTCTTTGCGAATTTGAATTTTTTCTTTAAAAAAATAAATTATGGATTTAGTTTAGCCTAAGGTTTAGCTTTTATGAGTATTTGATGGAACGTAGGAATATTTAATTCGAAACGAACACTAAGGAATGTAATTTTAATGATGAATTTTTGAAACAAATAAAATGGTTATTTTAAATAAAACGATGTGATTATATGAATAAACGCTCGTTATAAATATTTGACGTGATCAAATTCTACAAGGCTAATTAATAATTTGTACTAATAGTTCCAGGTAGTCCAGCGGACATTAAAGTGGTTGTTAGTTCACCGCAAGCCCTATTCATCTCATGGCTTCCGCCCCTTGAACCCAATGGTATCATTACAAAGTACAATCTATACACCCGGTGAGTACTACAGTTTCGTTGAAACTAATATCAATTCTCGTCATAAATTTCAATATTCCCTTTATTATACATTCCAGTTATGGTAACATGTTTAACTGAAATTCCTTTTCTCAATTAGTTCCTAAATCTCTACGTATATTCTACTGAAACGTATTTGCAAAACGTTTCATAAGCATTTCATCAAAATTAAAACATTCATTATTACAAGAATTTCCATTCTTTTTTTTTTATTTAATTTTTATTAAATTTTAAATGGTAAATATTTTTACTTACAGAAATATTATTAAACTAGTAAATTTTACATGCGCTATTGCGACAATAAATTCATTAAAATATCGACAATTTCAAAAAAAAAACTAACAGAGAATTTGTGATTATTTAAAATTATTTAATTAAATGTAAAAATTAAAATTTTAATGAAAATATAATCTATATTAATAATCGTTGTATTACAGTAATCTGTTTGAAGTTTAAAGTTAGTTGTTGTTAGCTTCTTTGTTTCCTAACTTTAAAAAAAAAATTTCTTTTTAAATATTTACAATTTTAAAATTAATGTATTATTAATGATTTTTAAATCTTTAAATTCTTGCAAAGAATCTTATTAAAAAATTTGAATAGAATAATTGAATTCTTTCGATGAATTTTTTTATTTATTGAATATAATTGAATTCTCGCGAAGAATTTTATTAAAATTTTTAAAAATGCTATTTAAATTCTTTTAAAAAATTTCTTTGAATTTTTTTAAAATAATAGAGTTTTTTTAATAATTTTAATTGAAAATTTTGAAAGCAATTGAATTTTATAAAGAATAATTTTATTAAAATTGTATTAAAAAAATTAAATTCCTGAGAATAATTTTATTATTTATAAAAATAATTTAATTCTTGCAAAGAATTTTACTATTTATGAAAATTTTAGGAAATAATTGAATTATTTTGAACAATTTTATAGAAATATTTCAAAATAATTCAATTCTTTCCAAAAATTTAAATGAAGTTGTTTGGAAAATAATTGGATTTCATTTGAAAATAATTGAATGTTTTGAAAGAATTTATTAAAAATTTTGAAAATAAATGAATTTAATTGAATACTTTTATTAAAACGTTTAAAAATAATTAATTTTTTTTAAAAATTTTATCGAAATTGTTGAAAATAATCAAATTTAATTAATATTTTTAAAAATAATTATATTTTTTTTAGAAATTTTATTCAAATTATATTGAAAATTTGAAAATAATTGAATTTTTCCGAGGAATTTTGTTCTTCATGAAAATAATTGAATTTCTCCGAAGAATTTTATTATTTATGAAAATAATTGAATTCCTCTGAAGAGTTTTATTATTTATGAAAATAATTGAATTCCTCGGAAGAATTTTATTATTTATAAAAATAATTTAATTTCTCCAAAGAATTTTATCAAAATTGTTGTTGTATTTTATAAGTGACATAACAAAATTTTGAATCTGAGATTATTCAAAAATTAATAATTATATATTTGAAAATATAAAATTTTTTAATTATATAACAATTGTAAAATTACAAAAAAATTTGTAAATTGTAAAATTACTTTTTTTGATTGTGGAAAAATTAAAATTCTGTTCCAGAGTTGTTGATGGACGTGAAGAATTGAATCATGGTAAAAGAAATTTGCCGGCGACAAATAATTTTTTCGAGGCAACTGGTCTTCAGCAGCACGTCGAGTACCAATTTTGGGTAACCGGAAGCACTCGTGTTGGCGAAGGTCAAAGTTCAAAAGTTGCTGCACAAGTGCCCACGAATCGTGTTCCAGCGAGAATATCTTCTTTTGGTGGGCACGTGATTAAACCGTGGAGAGGCTCGGCAACACTTACATGTAACGCTGTTGGCGATCCAACGAGAGAATGGTTCAAAGGAAATACGGAACAGGTTCACACTGACACGTCAAGAAATATTCAAATATTACAAACTGGGGAACTCGTTCTCTCAAGTCTTCAGACACAAGATTCGGGAAATTACACGTGTCAGGTGGAAAACTCCCAGGGAAGCGATAGGTTACATTACATGGTCACTGTTCAAGGTGCGAATCTATATTTTTTACTAATAATTTCTAGGCCTTATTTAATTTTACAATTTCTTCCTAATTTTTCTAATAATCTCTAGGCCTTATTTACCTTTACAATTTATTTTCCTAATAATTAATTAATTTCCTAATTTTCTAATAATTTCTAGTCCTTATTTACATAATTTTACAATTTCTACCGTCTAGAAGCTTTTTTTGGTCTTTTTTGTTTCTTTTTGTTTTTTTTTTGTCTGTAACTGCTTTTTTTGTGGAATACCTTTCATGAAATTTTTTTTACAGTACCGCCGAATGCGCCTGTTTTGTACGTTACGAGTTCCACTGCGAGTAGCATTTTACTTCATTGGAAACCAGGTTTTAATGGTGGAGCACCACTCACTGGGTATTCATTGCATTATCGCACAACTCATGGGAATTTGGAAGAAATGCTACTGTCGAGAAGAGCAACGAGTCATGAATTAAAGGTGATTTTTTCTATTCTGTAACTAAAAAAAATAATTACCATAATCTCAGTAATCTAAACATAAAGTAATACATAAATTCTGAACATTAAAATTAAAGAATTTTTTTCCTCTTATAAATATAAAAATAAAATAAAAAGTCTAATATAATGTTTTATTGTAGGGTCTTTTGTGTGGAAATACGTATCATCTTTACTTAACATCACACAATAAGATAGGAAATAGTCCTTCATCTCCAGTGCTCTCAGTACGAACTCAAGGGCAACCGCCTGGAATTCCACCGTCCGCAGCATTTCTAGCACCAAATTCAACGACTCTGGCTCTTCGTCTTCACGTTTGGCCGGATAATGGATGTCCAATTCTTTATTTCGTTATACAATATCGCCCAATCAACGAATTTCACTGGACTCTCGTGTCAAATAGTGTCAAGATGCAACGTCGATTTATTGTCACTAATCTCGCGCCAAGTTCGGTTTATCAACTGAAAGTCGAGGCTCACAACGTCGCTGGCAGTAATGAAGCTGAATTTACATTTATCACATTAACGAAAGAAGGCGGTTTGTAATGCAATTTATATTTTCAAAAAAAAAAATTACAAAGAAAAGAAATTACAAATTAACTTATTAATTAATTTATCTGCATTACTAATAAATAATAATTCGTTTTTACAGAGCCACCACCTCCGGAACTATCGAAACGGGGATTCATTACAAGAATTCCCTTCTACGCGGATGTGAAAATTATTCTCCCATTGACGATTGCTGCAGTGGCACTTTTTGCAGCTGCAGTCACTCTTGCTTTGCGTTGGAAAAACAGTGAGTTTTTTTTAGTTTCTTTCAGCATCCTTTTTCAGCATTTGTAAAACAAAAGGAATTTTTTATTAATTTTTTTTTATAGGGTATTCGGGGGACCGAGTGCAGAGGCCGATGAAGGAGTCACAGGAGAATCAGCAGAACGCCGAAACCCAGAGAGAACGGTATTATGCCACTATCCACAAGGTGGCTCTTCAGCAGGCCAACTCCGGAGGTCCCGAGAAGATTCCAGGTGAACCTTTGTTACGATACGGACGAAAGAAAGGTTTGGTATTATTGTTTTACAAGTGAAGCTCAAAACGAAAACAATTGTTGAGCTACCTTGAACAATTGCAAACATAGGGTTGCCACAGGTCAGCGAAATCAGGGAATTCAGGAAAAGTCAAGGATTTTTATTAAAGTACTGGAAAAAATTAAATTTGCAGGATTCATAATTAGTTTTATTTAAATTTAAATTTTTAAAATACATTTAAATAATTATTAAAAATCATGGATTTATAGAAGAATTTTAGTTAAAAACACTAAAAAAATTGAATTTTAGAGAAGTTACAATTGTTCATTTATTTCTTTCGAAGAATTTTAATAAAATTTTTGAAATTAATTACATTAATTAGTATTTATGAAAATAATTGAATCCTTGCAACGAATTATTTTACATTTTTTTAAATAATTGAATTGATGTGAAAAATTTTATTACTTATAAAAATAACTGAATTCTTGAGAACGATTTTATTTTAATTTTTGTAAATAATTAAATTGTTTTTTTTTTGAAAAATTTATGGAAATTTAAATTATTGTAAAACATGAAGATAGCGATAGATATCTTCATGTTTTATAATAATGTTCCTAAAAGTTATTGAATTTCAAAAGGTTTAAATTTGAATTTTTTGAAAATCTTAATTCCTATGGAAAAATAATAATTAGGTAAATGTTTATTTAAAAATGAAGTTATTGATGTTTATGAATAATTTTACTTTTGAAGAAATTTGTAAATAAATGTAATAGAACATTTTTTCGAATATCTAATAATTTTGAGAGTGAATCAGAATATTTTAGGCTGATGGAAAATGTGAAAATTTAGTCTGGAAATTAGGGGAAAGTCAGGAAAAGACAAAATTAATTTTTTGTGGCAACTCTGAAAGAAGTTTTTGTTTTTTTCCAAATTTTTCGTTTTTGGGAGAATAGTAACGTGAGTTGGGAATATTTTCGATTTGTTTTGTTATGAATTAAAATTGGAACATTGTAGAGAAAATGGGAATATGCGGTAAGTGGTAGAGGAGATTTGACGAGATTTGAAAGGTAGGCAATACCTCTCGTGGGTTACAGAGACAGCGGAGGACATCTCGCCGTACGCTACGTTCCAGCTGTCGGAGGGTGGCGCGGGAGGCCTGGGAGGTTTGGGAAGTCTTGTCGGCGCGGAGGCGTCCGGGGGAGCTCTGCATCCCAACAACACTCTTCTTCACAGCTTCATGTATCACGAGCACGCTATGACGGAGGGATGCGCGAGTCCTCCCCCAGCTGCGACGGTAAATATTTTTTTCTTTATGAAATCTAATTTAATCGAAATTAATTAAATTTAATTTAGCTCCGAAATCTATTTTGGCAGATATTCCTTAATTAGAAAATGAAGAATATTTTTGAAAATTGAATTTTTAGACAATGAAGAGCGTGTCGTCCCGTCGACGTCAACAGAGGAAACAACATACTCCGGGGGACGTCGAGACAGACGAGAGCGAGTCTGACCCTGATCAACTGACCAGTTCTAGAACGGAATCTTCGAATCAATTGGATGCAGGAAAATTGAAACACAGTATGATTTTTTCAATATTTATTATTTGAATTAATTATTTATTTTTTATAATTTTAAATTAGTAATTATTATTTAATAGAAGTAATGATTTTATAAATCAAATCATGTTTTATAATATTAGTATTAATATTAATTATTAAATTTAATTTTTCTTCAGTTCGAGCTGTTTCAGATTTTATATATCATGGCACTTCGAGCACTTCATCAGACATCTCACCCATGTCCGAGCAAAAGTCACTGCCTCGAAGAGGTCGATCTAGGTAATTGCTTTTCATTTATTCATTTTCCTGACATTTTTTCTTCGTTCACAATTATTTTTTTATTATTTATTTACTACCGCAGAAATACGAAACTGTAATTTAATTTTTCTTGAGTTCAATTAAAATTGCATTTAAAATAATTGAATTCGTCATAAAATTCAATTATTTTCAAATTTTTTTTATAAATACTTTAAAAGAATTCAATGATTTTAGAGTTAAATATTTAAAAGATTTAATTTCCAAAATAATTTAGTAACGATTCGTTAAATTTTGTGATTTTTATTAATTTCAGAAAATAATAAATTGATCTGTTCTATGTGGAGATGGCACGTTCCCAGCAGGAGTTCTTTGCGCACACTACTGCCTCCAATATCCGTTGCAGAAACTGCCTTCGGTGGAAATCAATCAAATCAGGGAGTTCATCCACCAGGAAGTGACCGGGTCGATCGACCAGAACTTAGCGAGGCTGAGTGCGATATTGATTCATTAAAAAAATTAAAATTAGGTCTCAGAAGTTCTCTATGGTCGAGGCCGGGTACTCAAAATAATCCCTCTTCTGATTATTCAATCGCCGTTTAAAACAAAACAAAAAAAACAATTTTCCATAAATCTACGTCGTCCTAAACGTTTAAACACACGCCTTCTTCGTGTCTCACTCTTAATTTCAAAGAAATAATAGTTTAATTGTAATTTTTGTAAATAATTGTCGTCAGTAGATTTTTCTTCAACACTCTTAAATAATTTTTTTATTTTTTCATTATTCTACATTTATTATTTCTAAATTAATATTCATAATAGGACCGATACGAAACAACACGATTTTTTCGTGACGGTCCCTGATAATAAATATTCATAAATAATATTTATAATATTCATAAATAATATTTATAATATTTATAAATAATATTTATAATTAAATATTTAATTAATGCTGAAATATTTGAAGACAAGATTTTATTTTATAAACAATGTGACAATAATTGCTGTACATATTACAGATTGAAGAATCTATTGACGACCCATCGTAATTTAAATTTATCGATAAATAATAATCGTTTCCCTGCCGAAGATCTTCCATCGAAATAATCCTTTTAAACGAATTTTAAGAATTTTTTACACCAAAATAGATCTTCCATATAAAAAAAGTAATTGACTGCCAAATAGGTACAAATTATTATATTGCACACTGAATACTTACATATTTTGTTCAAAAGAAAACAATTCATCTTTAAATATTTAAAAAAATAGATTTAAATACATATTAAAAGTTTAAGAATGAAGATTCATAGACTGATTCATAAAACAAAATAATTGCAGAGAAAATTAAAAAAAAAGTGTTAAGTTAAATTAAATCAATTCCGTAATTACTTTCATACCTAATTAAGTGCCAAAAAAAATGCGACGTTTTTTAAGTTATAAATTTTCATATATCGAAGATTAAAAGGAAAGTCGCAGTACTTTTCAATTTTTTTTTTTTTTTGACGAAATGTAAAGAAATTAACAAACAATTTTTTATTTCTTGCAAACAATATTTGAAGAAAAAAAAATTTCTCTTCTTTAAAAAGAATTTAAAAAAAAATCTTTATTTAGGAAAATTTACAGTGCGATATTTTTTTACATCTCTTTTTTCAAATTTTTCGTAAGATAAAAAAAAGTCAATTGTTATAAATGACGCACATTTATATTAAAAACTAAATATCATTTAAAAATTTCTGAAAAAAAAAGTTTGTACTGACTATAACATCAAATAATGATAGTATTATAATTTTTGAATTGTCACTTCATTTAATGAATGACAATTTAAAAACAAAATATGTATAATATCTTATAATGAGAAGATCAAAAGAAAAAAAATTTCTTCTCATTTTAATGGAGGCTTAATTAAACCCAAACTAATTAGAAATTAAACTTAACATATCGCTCGCTCAAATTTTCAAATTTTCTAATTATCAAAATTTTTATTACTTTATAATTATTTTTCATTTTTTATTATTTATTTATATTTATTTATATTTATTTATATTTATAAAATTTATTTATTTCGTTGTTATAAGTTTTGACGAGAGTTTAAATTACTATTTATAGTATTAATTTCTAATTGTTAATTATAAATGACAATTTATTTGCTTTAAATTATATAATGAATTAAAAGAAATATTTCCTCCGCAACAATTTTCATAACTTAAATATAAACTTCTATAGCTACTTGAAAGAAATTTTGTAAATAAATCAAAAACAAATCACTTTTTTCATAGTGAGCGAGTATATAGGTTTTTAAAAGTACCAATATAATTATAAAACTACTGATTAATAAAATTTGTAATTTGTAAAATATTCGTATAAAATATTCTTGTGAGAAAGTGAAAGTAAAATAATTTTTTTACTATAGATTTTAATTTATCATCGTCCCCAGTTCAGTACTTCTTGTAAAAAAAAGGGAGAACCTGGGGGGACCGCTTCTCCTAGCCTTGTCTTCACTAGCTCCCAACTTTTGGGAATTTTAGTAATTAATATTTAATAAGTATAATTAATTAAAATTTAATACTAAAGAATTTAAATTAATTTTTATCAATAAGTAAAAAAAAAACTTTTTCACATGAATATAAGTTTTTCTTTTCAATTTATGTGAAAAAAAGTACAGAAATACAAAAAAAAAGATGAGACACGACGAAGTTTGTGAATTAGGTGTATGAGTGTAACAGGAAAGAAAAAAAGATGCGAATGAAACTGCGAGAGTACGATGAGCACACGATGAATTTTGTGCTAAACGACAATTTGCTCAGACCGCTGCGAATCGTTCCGGGTATATAAATATATATATTATAATTATTATTCCGAAGTGAAAAAGAATGGTTTTTTGTCATAAAAACCAAAAAATAATTATTTTCATTTATGAGAAAATATTACGACGATGGCTCTTTTTCCATAAAAAAAATAATGTGATGGAAATATTTTCCAAAAATTAATTTTGATATTCCAAAAGTAGAATATTGTATACCAATAATTATAGATTTTTTTAGAAATATTTGTATTTATAGAATATTTATATTTTGCTTTTTTTAATCATTTTAAATTAAAAAATAATTTATTTACAAAGGAAAATTATTATTTTTTGGGAAAAATTTATTGTACAAATGTATTTTTTTGGAAAATATTTTTTTTATCACATTTTTTTCAATTATTGAGAAAGTTTGTGTGTGTATATATATAAAAAAAACTGCCAAAAAAAATGTAAACTAACTTTTAAACGAAAATGACAATGATGATGTGTCCAACCCAGCTTGAATTAATGAATTATAGTTCATTAGCAGTAATAAACATTTTAATGTAGAATTTATGAGAATGGCTAGATACAGCCAGATGGGAGATTTTTCCGAGACCAAAGACTTATTCGTATCCAACATAATTACACACATACAATCATATTTAAAAAAAAATATACAATTTTTCAAAAAATTTTACGGACAAAATTTTCGATTTGTAATTCGACTTAGAAATATTATTCTAAAAATGCCTTTCTGGAAATTTCCTTCGGAATTCCGATAATAAGAAATTTCATACAAATAAAAATTATAATATTTAAAATTTAATTATTAATTAAATTAATTTAAATTAAATTAAATTAATTAAGTTAATATAATTAAATTAATTATTAAATATTATTTCTTAATTAAAATCGGAATTCAGATGAAATTTCTCGGGGGTATTTGGCATTTTGGCGATGAATATTTCCAAGTGGAAAATAATAGACTTTGTGGATGATTTAAATTACGTCAATAATGCGAGCGAGGCGTGAGATTTCCAAATGGTGATGGGCATTAAGGATCGAAGTGAGAATTAAAAATAAGATTATAAAAAATAATCTTTAACGTTGGGCTCTGTTGCATTGTAAAGTTTATATACGTAACGTATAAACGTTGATTAATTAGGTCCGTTATTATCCTCTAAAACTTCTATTTCAAATCTCGAGAGATTAACTGCCAAAACAAATGTACAATATATTGACAGGAAATTTCATAAATTATACAAAAATTGCCTTTAAAAGATTGTTTCTTTTTTGGTTTTTGCAATTTTTAATATTTTGCTTTCAATTATTATTTTTCCATGAGAATAAGATTTTATAATTGTAAAACAATTTCGCTTCCGGGCCAAAAGTCTGATGTTACAATAAATATTATAATTGAATTCTTGTAAAGAATTTAATTAAAACTTTTTAAAATAATATAATTCTTTCGAGGAATTTTATTACAATTTTTAAAAATAATCAATTTTATTGAATTGAATTGCTCCGAAAAATTTTATTATTAATGAAAATAATATTGTATTCTTGACAAGAATTTTATTGGAATTTTTGAAAATAATACAATTGTTTCGTAGAAAATTCAAGGAATTTAATTTAAATTGTATTAAAAAATAATTTAATTCTTAGAAAGAATTCTATCAAAATTGTTGAAAAAACTAGAATTTTTTCGACAAGTTTTAGAAAAATTTGTAAAATGAATGAATTTCTTTTGAGGAATTTCAATTAAATTGTATTGAAAATAATTGAATTCTATCGAAGAATTTTATTATTTGTGAAAATAATTGAACTTTATTAATATTTTTGGAAATAATAAATATTTTATTATTATATTTTCTGTATTAAATTTTCAGTTTGATATAATTATTAAACAAGTTATTAATATTTATAAAATTTTAAATATAAATAACTAATAATGTTACAGAAAAAATAATAATAATTGAAATGAAAAAGTAATAATTGAAATGCAAAAATAATAATTAAAATTAAAATAAGCAAAATTGCAATGAAATTCTAATGACAAAAAGAAATAAATTTTCGTTTGGTTTATTAAATTTCCAGCCAATAGTTTACTTAAAACTTAAAATGTTAATCCCCCCCTGAAAAATGTCTGTTCCCCCTAATTTTCATTTCTACAAATTCATAAAATCAAAAAATAATTATTGAATACAAAGAAAATAACAATTTAAAGTTGACAATTTTTAAAAGAAAAAATTTCTCCTTTAAGAAACGTTCCTCTTAGCCAAAAAAATAAAAAATAAAAAAACCAAACAAAACGACGAAATTGCAAAAATGAACTGCAATACTCGTAGATGAATATATATATATTAATTGTAAATAAAAAAAAGCACGTGAATCAAACTTGAAATTAATTTATATCCAATTCGTGCGCGTCTGTTTTCCAAATATATGGGTTATTCTTGACCCACTACAATTTTTGTACATTATTTTTTATTATTGAAAATAACATTTATATACCACATAAGTATCTCCGATCAAATGCACCGTCAATATAATATCATTTTTCTACCAAAATACATGAACAATGAATAAGAATATTATTATAAATAAATAATAATAATAATTTGTAAATCTTGTTCCAAAAATCAGTCGAGTGAAAATCAAACGAAACTTTTTTATTATTATTAAATTATTATTATACATATTGTTGTGTCAATATAAATTTGCGAAACATTATTGTGTACAAAAAAAAACAAACAAATGTTAACATTATAAATATGGAGTGCTCGTTTTTGAATATATATATAATAAAAATCACTTCATAAAAGCAGCGTGCCTCTAAAAAATGAAAAGAATTCAAATATTTATTGCGAAAATTCACAATTTTCAAAAATTAGAAATTTAATTATATTTAGATTTTTGTTAAAATTTGTATTATTGAATTTATTGTTTACATTACTAAATATTAGCGACGAAAAAATTAAAAGTTGTTTTTTAAAAGTATTTTCAACCGTGTTGTATCGAACAAAATTTGTAGAAAATTTTTCTCAAGGATTTTTTTTTGTAATTTTACTTTTATGGAAATTTTTCTTAAAATCAAGTATTTTGAAAATACTGTAATATTAAAATATTTTTATTAATATAAATTTTACGTATAAAATCCACCTGGAAAAAATTTGTCGGATTCAATTTTTTTTAATTTTTCCTTTTGTAATTAGAATTCTCCGACAATTGAAATTTTTTTCTAGGTGATATTTAATATCATCGTAAATCGAATAGTGAATTTTCAGAGTGTAATCAATATTTTTATTTTTTTCCTTCTCTTTTTTTTTGTATCGAAATGAAATGTTATAAATGAATTGTGAGTTGAATTTAAATTTATGGAAATCATGCTGCTGAATTGTTGAAGTTATAATATATTATGAAAATTGTATGCTAGTGATGAAAAATCGAGGACCCGAAATTCAATTTAAGATGACCAATCAATTAAAATAAAACGTTATCTAGTCTCGAGAATAATTGCCTCGTTTTTGAAAAAGAGAGAAAGAGAGAGAGAGAGAAAAGAATGTGTGTTATTCTTAACTGTAATAAAGCAATATGACATTTTGAAAAACATTGTGTTGAATATAGAAAACGATTCAATAAATTGACATCGTATTAAAAGCGCTCTAAAATAGTCTGTAGTTTTATTTTAATTTTTCATACCCTATTATTTTAAATTTTTATGTTATTTAACTGAATTTTGTAAAATAGTTCTCAAATTTTGTATATAAGTTTATATTTATATTTATTTATTTATTTATTTATTTATTTATTTTGAATACTAAAGAAAAATATGTTTGAATTTCCCGCTCTTTCTTTGGATTTAAAAGCAGTCTACAATAAAAGAGTTATTCCTGGTATTCCCCCCTAATGTCAATAAAAAAAATTAATAAATGTCGAATTCACAATTATTTTGTCCACTTTGTCATTGAAAGTAATTTAGATTATTACTTTTAATAATAATAATATTATTATTAGGATTATTAATAATTAATAATAAATCGAGAGTATTATTGTAATTGCAAACTACCCAACCCTTGCGCCTTCAAGGAATTTTTTTCGTTTTGACGTTGGCTACACTGTAGTTCGGCCATTTGCAAAACTATCATTTTTGTTACGTCACTATTGTTGAGCAATTGTTAAAAGATCAATTAATAATATTCATAATATTCTTGTGGCTCTTTTTAACAATAAAAAATAATAGTAGCTTTACAAAATTCATGGAAACAGTTCTGTATAAACAATTAGAATCATTTTAAAGTTGTTGTTTCCCCCAAAAATGGTCAATTTTTGATAAAACAATTCGGTAGAATTCGTAGAATTTTATTCATATTTCATATGATAATTAAAAATTTTTCCGGTAAGTAATGATAATTAAATAATTATTTTACAATTCTTGACATTTTTCAAATTTTAATTAATATATAAAAGATATAAAACGTAACATAACCTATATTTTGAGAACTATATATATGTAATAACTTTACTTTAGTTATAATAATTAATTTGTCAGTTTTCAGTTAATTAGTTTAATTTTTTAATATTCATTAAATTTGAATTTTATTTTTGTATAGTCTCTATTTTCTTTTTAGTTGTAAAAGAGAAATGTATTTAATATTTCTAAAGAGACAATAACTCGTGCATTTTATTATTTTTACTTTATTTAAAATATCATAAGTTTTTAAAAGATGTTTCGTTATTATCCAAATCGTAAATATCTTCGCAATATTATAATGAATAATTATTATTTTATTAATTGCAATAATTATGAACGTTTTGTTTAAATTTACCGCCTAATAAACCACAATGGCGATTTTTATTAACTAATCAGGAAGAAGAAGTTAAAAATAGAATTCCAGGAAGAGAAGGAGAGTATTTTTTCAAGAATTTCGCATTCTTGGCATTCTTGCTGCGCTCCTCCCATTACAAAACTTTATTGAAAACCGTTTGAAAAGAAACAGACACAATCGAATTTTGTTTTTGGAATTCATCACAATGAATTTGTGTAAATTAAAAGTGGTGAAAATTTGTAACTTTAAATCGTACAAAGGACTATCAAAAATCACAGATTTCAAACAATTTACGGTTATAATTGGACCGAATGGATGTGGTGAGTAATTAAAAGAAAAGTTTCTTCGAAATTGTTTTATTGTTTCTGTTTTAGATATTTTTTCTAATTTCTTATTTGTTAAAATCTGTTTCTTCATTTTCTTATTACTAACAATTTTTTTTTGTCTAAAGGAAAATCAAATTTTATGGAAGCAATTGCTTTTGGATTAGGGGATAATTGGCAGAATTTTCGTGTCAATAGTTTATTGGAACTTATTTATTGTGATGAAATGAATATACAAAAAAGGTTAGTTCATTGTTATAAATGAATCAAAAATTAATTTTCGTTTTGTTTCAAATTTTTCGAAAAAAAGGACAATCAATGAAAAATATTTCTAACAAGTTAATAAAATTTATTTTTTATATTTCCTCACAAGAAATGTTAATTAAAATTTTTTATTTTATCAGTTCTTGTTTCGTTGAATTGTTATTTCGTTTTGATGATGGCGATGAAAAAGTATTCAAACGCACCTTGTTAATCAACAGTCTAGACTGCAAGTTCGAATTTAATGGTTCTGTGAGTATTTTATTTAATTAAAAACAAAATTTTGTATATTTGCAAATCTAAATAATTTTTTTAATGTAATTATTTAATCTCTCTGGCTCGAACTATAGGTCCGTAAATTTGCTTCAAGACCGTAAAGTCCGTTTCTTTAAAAATGGTTCGTAAAGTCCGTAATTTGATTGAAAAAGGACGAAAAGTTCGTAAATTGTTCGATATAATATGGAAAATTTTAGAGAAATTATAAATGATTGCAGAGAAATTTAATTATTTTCAAAAGTAATAAAATTCTTCGCAGAAATTCAATTGTGTTTAAAAAATTTTTTAAATTCTCGTAAAAATTTCAATTATCTTTATAAATAATAAAATTCTTCTCTGAAATTCAATTATTTTCGTAAATAATAAAATTCTTTTAGAAATTCAATTATCTATGCAACTTTAATCGAATTCTTCGAAAAAATTTATTAAAATTCGTCTAAAGAATTTAATTATTTAAAAATTTGTTGATACAATTTTTTATGAGAATTTAATTTTAATAATTGAATTCTCGTAGAATTTACTAATAAAAATGGTTTTGAAAAATGAATTTCAGTTAAAATTTTAGATTATAATTAAATATTAAAAGCATTATAACGTGGATTTTTAGAAATAATTAAATTTTAAAAAGGTTTCAGATTAAAATCATTGAAATTCTTAATTTTTCATAGTTTTAACAAACAATTCTGTAAAGTTAATCTTTTTTTATATTTTTGAAGTTTTTATTTTCTAATATGCATTTAATGGAAAAATTTAGGATTAATTGAAATTTCGTGAAATTGAATATTGTGAACAAAATGAATGAATTTGAAAATTGACAAAGACCTTTTTCGAAAATTATTTTAAATAATTGATCTAAAGTAGAATTTTAGTTAAAAATTTTTTTATTTTTGATCCGTAAAGTCCATATTTTTAAATACTTTCACTGGTTCGAGCCCTGTTATTATAATATTAAAAAATTATATTTCATTAAGAAACGAATTATATAATAAATATAATTATTTTATCGGTAAATTAGGATGTTTCGAGTGACGATTACAAAGCGGAATTGAAATCAATTGGAATTCTTGATTTAGGCAAAAATTGCCTAGTTTATCAAGAAGATATTCAATCAATTACAACTCAAGATTCAAAAGCAAGATGTCGATTGTTTGAACGCATGAGTGGCTCCAAAATTCTTGAAAGTGAATATAATGTGTAAGTTAGTCAAGGAAAATTTTTTCTTAATTTATTAGAAAGAAGAATTTTTAATTCTATAATCTAAACACCAATTATTATTTCAGTGCTAAACGTAAATACGAGAAAGTGAAGCAGAAGGAAAAATTTACTTTCGACGAATTAAAGGAAATGAAAGCTAATGTAAATATTTTATCAAAGGAAGAAAAGCAATTAGCAGAATATGAAAATTTAAAAAAAGAAGAGGTAATCATTTCTAATTTTAAATATACAATTTTTTAATTTTGTTATTAGAGAATTTATTTGTTATTATATTTTTATTTCAATGAAGTAAATTTTATATTTTCTTTATAGCGTGATTTGAAACGAAATGAACAACTTTTTGTTCTCTATCATGAGGAACATGATTTAAAAAAATTGGAAGACACAATAATTGAGGAAGAGGAAAAAAGAAATAATTTAAGTCAAACAAAATTGGAAATGAAGCGCGCTTTAGATATTTTAATTGAAAATATTGAAGATAGTAAAGTTTCATTAAATGAATACGAAAAAGAAATCCAGGGTAAAGAAAAATTGGCACAAGAGGAGAGGGAAACTTTACAGCTAAACGAGGAGGAAATAAATCTTTTTAGAAAAAAAATAGAAGAGATCAAGAAAAACTGTGTTGATTTCGAAAAAAGGTGCACGAATCAAAAAGAAAATATTCTTGAACTCAATCGTCATAAAAAATTATTGATCGATGAATTGAATAAGTTAAATGATCTAGTTACACATAGTCCTCGACAACTCAATGAAGAACAGGTAATTTTTATTTCATATTTAATTTTATTTTTAATAAACCAAATTTTTTTAAATTTTAATCTTTTCATTTTGCTTTTACACAAAGTACGAGGAGTATTTTCAATTAAAAAAGGAAGCGGTAAATAAAACAGCAATTTATTCAAGTGAAATTGAAAAGGAAGGAGAAAAACTCGACGGTTATCGGTATAGATTAGAAAATGAGATGCGAAAGAAAAATGATGTCAAACAAAAAATTGATTTTCGTCTAAATCAATATCAGAATTTACAAGATAGAATTAATAATATTAAAGAAAATTTGATAAATGTTAAAGCATCTCTAGATGAAAAGGAAAAATTGCGTGAAAATTTGACGGAAGAATTAAATGCCAGTTCGAGAAGTTCACAAAATTTGAAAGAGAAATTAGAAGCAATTGTTGAACAATTAGAAACTATGAATATGTCAAAAGAATACTTGAAGGAAGAAAGGGAAAAATTTGATATTTTAAATCGAATGAAAAATAATGTCAATGGAATTGTAGTAAGTATTAGTTTCTTAATTATTAATAACTAGCAAATGCTATGCGTGCGGAACGTGATATTCAATTTATTATTATTATGCAAATTGCAAAAATTTTTATTTTCAAATACGAATTTTTGAATATTTTCAGATTCAAACTTTTAAAAAATTCAATTATTAACTAATTTACTAATTAATTATTCGATTGTTTATTAATTAATAAAATTCTTCGCAAGAATTCAATTATTTTTATAAATAGTAAAATTTTTTGCAAAAATTCAATAATTTTAAAAATAAATTATTTTCTGAAATTTTAATAAATCTTTCGAAACAATTCAAGTATAGTTATAAATAGTAAAATCTTTGCAAAAATTCAATTATTTTCAAAAAAATTTCACGAAAGAATTCAATTTTTTCTTAATTTAATATAAAATATTTCTAAAGAATTGAATTATTTTCTAAAAATTCTATAAATCCATCGAAACAATTCAATTTTATTTCTAAATTTTAAAATTCTTCGCAAAAATTCAATTATTTTCATAAATTTTAAAATTCTTCACTAGAATTCAATTATTTTTAAGATTTTAATAAAATTCTTCCTAAAAATTCAATGATTTTCCAGTAAAGCTTTAATTTTAATTTTTAAACAATTTCCAAAGAAAATTGTCGGAAAATTTCAATTATTTCAGATTTAAAAATTAAAAAAAAAATTCTCAAAAAGTCCAATGTTTTTATAAATAATAAAATTTTTCGAATATATTAATTTTTAAATTGAAAACATTTTTAAAAAAAATTATTTAAAAAGTTAAGAAACAAAGTATCAAACAACAATTAACTTCAAACGGCGAACAGATTACCGGAAAATAACGATTATTAATATAGAAGAATAAATTAATTTTAAAAATTTGTTTAAATTAAGAAAAATAAATTTTTTGCAGTATGGACGTTTAATTGGTTTATGTAAACCGCGTGATCCTCGTTACAAAACAGCGTTGGCAAAAATTTTCCAAAAAAATGCCCATGCTATTGTTACTGATACAATGGACACTGTTGAGGAGTGTATTAACTTTTTGAAAAATGAAAATAGCGGTTTCGAAGCATTCATTCCACTGGACAGTATTCGCGTTAAATCAAGAAAACAAAAATTTGGGTAAAAATTTATTTTCTAACTTTAATTAGGTACAAAAAAAACATTTCTTTAAAAAAATTTCTTTTTCCAGAACAATTGCAAATGCCAAATATGCTTTTGACTTGATTGACTTTTCCCCTGAAATTGAACGCGCAGTGAGATTTGCAACGGAGAATATTCTCATTTGTGAGGACATTGAAACCGCAAAAAAATTATCGAGTAGTGAACAAAAATTTGCGCACACTGTAAGGAATAATTAAAAAAAAATAATTTTTCTCTTTCATTTTAGAAACAATGTCTCAAAATTTCTATATTTTTAATTTTTTTACAGTGCGTTTCACTAGATGGAACAATGTTTAAAAATGATGGATGCATATCAGGTGGAACTAATATTGGCAAACTATCCAAGAGTTTTAATGCAGAGAATTATGAAAATTTAAAATTACAAAAGGTAATGTTTTATATTTATATCCAATTTTTATAATATATGTTGAAATAATTTTCATATTTTGCGAAAATAATATTTCAGGAACAAGTGATGAAAGAATTAAAAGCTTCTTCAAATGTTGAACTCAAAAACTTTAAAATAAAGTCACTTGAGACTGAAATTAATTCTTTAAGAATACAAATTTCATTTATTGAGGATCAATTAAAAAAAGAAGTAAGTTTAATTTTCTTTAATTATTAACTAATTATAAAATTTTTATTTTATTATTAATTATTAATCAAACAAATTGATAACAAAAAATTAGTAATAAAAAACTTGTTTCTATTTTACGTAAACAATTTTTCTTTCACAGATCGAATTTTTGGAAGAAAAGGAAACAGAATTGAACAATTTGAAAGAAGAAGACAAAGAAATATCGGTAAAATTTTTCAGAGACAAATAAAATTAATTTGTCTGAATTATTTTTATATTAATTAAAAATTTATTTACTTTATTATTATTATTAATAATTATTAATTATTAATTATAGTACTTTTTTCCATTACTTCGAAACAGAGCGCAATAGAAGAAATAAAAGATGAGTTGTCGAGCAAAAAAACAGTAATTAATACAAAAAGACACAGAATGCATGAAATTGAAGACGAAGTTTTTGCAGAATTCTGTGAGAAAATGGGATTTAAAAATATACGAGTATTTGAAGAAGGCGATACTAATTTTGAGGAAAAACAAGATATAATTAAGGATATTCATGATCATATCACTCGAATAAATGAAGAAATAAACATTGAAAACTCGAGAGATTATAAAAGTAATTTTTCACTTAATATCAAAAGAGAAAAGACCGTAATTTGTATGTAAATAATTTACACTTAATTTTTTTTTTAAGATGAAATCGAGAAATGTAAAACAATCGAAGAAGAAATGAAGACGAAGTTAAAGGAGAATATAAAAGTAAATGAAATAGTTAAAGGCAAATTAAAGGAGATTGAAAATGAAATAAAAAATATTCAAAATGATGCTGAAAAGTTAAATGCTGATATTCAAGAGAGATTGAATAAGAATCAACAACACAGTCTGTTGATACGTAAGAAAACGCAGGAAATTAAAAAAATGCAGGAAAATATTAAGAAAATGAAAAACGATAAATTGATTATTAAAAATGAAATGAATGAAATTCTTATGGATTGCCGAGTAAGTAATTTCAAACCTACAAAAAAAATTTCTTTTCATTCTATTTTAAAATTTATATTAAAATATTATTTTCAGTCGAACTTTATAAATCTTCCTCTGTTATCGGGAAATTTAAATGAATATTTAGAAGATGACAGTGAAAATACTATTGAAATTGATTACAGTACTTTGAAGGATGAATATAAAATCGAGGAAAATAAAGCACTTGCTAATAAAGAATTTGGTGAAAAACTTTATGAAATTCGTTGCAAACTTGAAAATTGTATTGTTCCAGATGAAAAGGTTTTCTTTTAGTTTTTTACAAAAAAGGAATTTTAATTATAGAATATATAAAATATTATAATCATAAAAATATACGAATTATAAACATACATTTGTGTCTTTTACAGAATAGTGACATGTTGAAAGAAACAAAGCAACAGTTATTAAGGCTAAAAAGAAAATTCAGTGAAGAAAAGAAGGTAAATGAAAAAATTCATAAGACTTTTGAAGACATTAAAATCAGAAGGAGAAATTTATTTGAATCATTTTTTAATGAAGTTAATGGCAATATCGATTCCATATACAAGGTAAATAATAATGATAATTCACTTATTAACTAAATTATTATTTTCAAAAAATTTAATAATATTCTTCGCAAGAATTTAATTATTTTCAAAAAAAATTTAAATGTAATTTCTCAAAATAATTACATACAACCTTTTTACAAATTTTTATAAAATTCGTCGAAGCAATTTAATTATTTTCAAAAATAATATAATTTTTCAGAGGAATTCAATTATTTTCAGTATTACTTTAAAATTAAATTCCTCAAAATAATTTTGTCTTTGAGAAAATTGAATTTGTATTTTTACAAAATTTTGTTAATTTTTTTTAAAGTGCTTCGATGGAATTCAATTATTTTCTATACAATTTTAATAAAATTTCCGAAAGAATTCAATTATTTTCAAAAATTTTGATAAAAATTTATAGGATTTAATTAATTTCATCACAATTTTAATTAAATTCCTTGAATTTATGAATTTTAAGAAAATTCTTTGAGAGAAAATTTATTCTTCTAAAAAATTTTAATTAAATTCAATGCAAAAATGTAATTAATTTTTATTCAAAATTATAAAAATTAGGATAACAATTTTTCAACTATTTTTATTATTTATTTATTATCTACTATTATTAAGTTATTAAGAGTTTTTTTTTTTACTCTTATTGTTACCTGTTATAATTAGAGATGATATTATTCCAGAATTTGACACAAAGCGATGCCGCTCAAGCATTATTAATTATGGAAAATTCAGAGGAACCTTATTTAAGTGGTATAATTTACAATTGCATTGTTCCTGGCAAAAAATATATGTCAGTGGAAGGACTTTCTGGAGGTGAAAAAACAATGGCAGGCTTCACCTTAATACTTGCTATTCAAAAGTGAGTATATATTTAAAAATTTATTATTTATTTATTTAATATTTCTTCGGAGTTTTATAAACACGTGAAATGTAATTATTTTTAAAAAATTTATAAAAATTCTTCGAAGGAAATCAATTATTCAATAAATTATTTATAGATATTTATATATATATTTTAAATAATTGAATTATAGTAGAACTTTCTAATAAGAACTGCGATTTAAAAATGAATTAGAATCAAAAATTTGGATTTTAGAATTTTTTAATATATTGAAGCTACTTTTTTAAAATTAATTATTGAGTGCTATAATTATGTCTTTTTTTTGCCATTTTCAGAGCAAATCCTGCGCCATTTATGTTTTTGGATGAAATGGAAGCTGCATTAGATGTAAAGAATGTAGATAAAATTGCTGATTATGTTGAGAAAGAGGAAAAGCAGTTCATATTAATCAGTCATAAAGCTGAGCTTAGTTCCAAAGCATCGGCCATTATAGGAATCACAAAAAAAGTGAGTAGCTTTTAATCATTTATCCTTAATTTATATATTATTATTGATTTATTTTTTTCTTTCTTTAGGGCAAATTTAGCACGGACAGTTGTCTCTTTACTGTTGATTTACAAAGATATCAGGGATAAAACAGTAACAAAAGAAATCTCTAAAAATCAAAAATTAAAAATACTAAACTAAATAACTATCTAAATACTTAATACTTAACTACTAAACTGGATACACTTTAAATAAAAAAGAAAAATTAATATAATCAGTACAAAAATGTTGCATAAAATATGATAAATCTGTTAAATTCGAAAGGAAGGAAAAAATTAAACAAAAACTGTTTTTAATTTTTTTCAATCAATATTATATTAAAGCATAAAAAATAAAAGAGTTTTTACAATCTCACAGAGACGAATTAAACAATAATTATTTTGGCGCCTTAAATTATATTTATTAAATAAAAATTACTTTTATAGCAAACAATTTCGAAATATTAAAATAAAATATATATTAGCATTTTGAATGTTTTTCGCTAAACAAAAGAGATTTAAAAAAAACAATTTTAGAAAGAAGTGAAAGTAAAGGACGATGATATTTTTCATAAATCATCTATTTCGTATTCATCCATTGAAGTGTCATCGTCCGAGAAATCAATGAATTCACCATCAATAAATGTAGGATCCTCATCACTGTCATCATCAATATCGTCGTCATCGTCGTCATCGCCCAAGTTCATTAAAATTCCTTGATTCACTCGATTGAAACAACTTGAATTTGGATTTCGATAATGTTGATACGGATCACGTGGGTCCAATCGAGTATTGCAGAGCCAACAGAAGAATGTATTACAATGCCCGCAAGTTATTTTATTACATCCATCAGATTTCTGGAAAAAAGAAGAAAAAACAGAAAATCAATTTCTTTCTTTAAAAGAAAAATGGAAATAAATTGAAAAAATTGCAGTGACACTAAATTTAGACACCGAAGAAAGAAGATAAAGAAAGGTAATGTTTTTTTTAATATTATCATCTCTTATTAATTTATTAAATAATTGAACGCCCTCGTGAAATCTTATTAAAGTTATATTGAAATTAATTAAATTTCTGCGAGAGTGCGAGGAATTTTTACTGATTATCAAAATAATTGAATTCTTTCGAGAAATTGTGTACTGAAAATAATTGAATCGTAAATTTCAAAAATGTTTCAACTCGAAATTCACGATTCAATTAAGTTGCTCAGTAAAATTTTATTATTTAGGAAAATCATTTTTTTTGGAAGAATTTTATTTGGAAATTTTCTAAATAATAGATATTAATAAAGTTGACTAAAATTATTCTTACCTCAATAGCGACTTTACAGTGAGGACAATTTTTGCTATTGTTAGTTATCCAATTTTCCGACATGGTATTATCGATCATAAGTTGTAATTGCTTTTTCCCGTATCGTTTCTCCAGTTGAAGTTTTTCCTCAGGTGATGCATTTTTATATTCTTTCATTAAACTTTGTTTATCAGCTGAAAAAAATTGTTATTACAATGAAAAATTATCCAATAAATAAATTAATTAATCAAATTAATGATAAATAATCTAAATTACGATTTAGTAAATTTTTAGTATTTTAAGGAAAAATACTTAATTTAACTTTTAAAGAAAAATGCCATAAAAAGTTAATAATAATAAAAAAAGGTTTAAAAATATTTTTATAATTAGAGATAAAATAGATTTTTAAAAAAGACAAACGGAGAAAATAAAATAAATACCAGAATTCATTTTGCAGGGTTCAATTCCATGGTAGACCATTTTACAAAATAGACAAAAGGCATATTGACAGGCTGGACATGTGGCGAAAACTTCGTTGGCTTCTCGACTCACGGGATATTGGCAGTGACGTCGCGGACAATAAACAATGTCTGTCATTGTGCTTAAAGTTGCACTGAGCAAAATCGAATCGTACTTGCTAAACAATTCCGGACTCACTAAATCTTTTATCTAAAGAAGAAAAAAGGGGTAAGAGAACTTTTTATTTTTTAATTTAATTTGGAATTTCGTTTTAAGGCGCAAAAAAGTCGAAAAAGTCGTTTACTTAATTCAGTGTTGTCACAAAAAACTTATTTTGTATTTCTTTCACTGATTTCTAAATTCAATTATTCTAGGAATTACTTTTTTCAAAAATATTTTAATATAATTTTTAGAGGCAAATATTAATTAATTTTCATCTTTAAACATTTTTTTTGAGTATCAATTAAATTTAGACCTGAATGAAGTTTAAAAAAAGGTATCAGTTTTTGAAAAATAAGAGCAAAAAATATTCTCAAACAGTTTGAAGAATAATGGCACAATTTCAAATTTTAATTTTTTTATTTTAAAAATGGAAAACTCACTTGTCCGGGCGTTGCTTCCGAGGAGCATTTATCCTCAGGACAGAGTATATCCTGGACAGCACCATCTTTAATTCTCACCTCCAAATATCCAACAATACATTCTTTACAAAACACATGAGAACAAGGAATAAATTGCGTGCAATCAATGCCCAATTTATCGGCAAAACAAATTTTACACGTATAAAAGTTCCTTTTAAATTCAATTTCATTGCGCATTTCATTATAGTCAATTAGCATTTGAACTGGATTGCTACTGACCGGTCGATCAAAAACAGCTCTCTTATCGAATGAATATCTATTTTTGTGTCTCTTATTTTTACTTTTCTTTGAAATGAAATTTCGCTTTGAATTTGTCATCATTTCATTTGGATGTTGTAGATTTCTTGTTGTCACTGTTGTTTCCTCTGCTGTCACAGTTGTGAGTAGTTGATTATCTAATGCTATTTTGTACCTTGTGTAAGTTTGATTGATATTCAAAGTTTCCTTAAGATTTAAAAATTCCAATGTTTCATTCTGTAGGAATGCGAACCATGTAAAGAGAATTTCCGCACCCTCTGTTTCTTTCCATAGTTGATCTAATTTTTGACAGAGTTTCGATAAAAGTGGTGGTCTTAGCCAAGAGGAAATTAAAGTGAAGTTCGGCGGTGATAATGAGGGATAATCTGGTGGCAATGTCACTAAAACGGTTATCGGTGGGAGATGTGAAATATTAACTTTCGTTGGTTCCTGATCAGTTTGTCGTATGTCTTTATAGGAAAAATAGAAATCTTCGGAGAGAGTTAAAAATATCTTTAGTGTACATTCGTATTGATTGTTTTCCTGTTTAAAGGAAAATTCCTCATTAGTGTAAATGCTTTCCAATGCTGTGAGTTCGTCTTTTTGCTTTTCATTATCCATTTTATGGCTAGAAAAAATAAATCGGTTAATTAATATTTCTTTTCAGTTGATTTGAAAATTAATTTGGAAAAATTCAAATTATTTTATTTATTATTCAAAGCAATTTAAAATAAAATTACAGAATAATTAATAATTATTTAATTGTAATTACTTTTTACTTTAATTTATTTTTAACAAAATTATTAGTAAAAATTGAGTTCTTGCGACGAATCTTATTGATATTTCATTGAAATTGTATTGAAAATAATTGAAATTCTCAGAAGAATTTGATTATTTATAAAAATAATTCAATTCTTGCCAAGAAATTTATTAAAATTGTTAAAAATAATTTAATTCTTTCGAGAAACTCAGTTAAAATTGTATTAAAAACAATTGAATTTCAGGGAAGTTTATTAAAATTTTTAAAAATAATTGAATTCCATTGAAAAATTTAATGGAAATTTTATTAAAAATAATTAAATTTCTCCGTAGAATTTTATTATTTATGAAAATAATTTAATTCTTGTTAAGAAAAGTTATTAAAATTTTTAAAAATAATTTAATCGTTTAGAAGAAAATTACATTCTTTCAAAAAATTTTATTCAAATTATATTGAAAATAATTGAGTTCTTACAAAAAAATTGTTTCAAAATTGTTTCAAAAGTTAAGATTTGTTTTAAAGAATTTTATTAATATTTTAGAAAATAATAAATAATAATTCGTTAATAAGTAAATTTAAAAAAAATTTTAATCTGAAATCTAAAAATTAAAATTGATATTGCAAATTTAATTTAATAATAAGTATTTTTTCAATTTTATGCAAACTAATAATTAATTATATGAGGAAGAGAAAAAAATTATAAAGAAGTAGAGAAGTATCAAAATAAAAAAAACATTTTTTAAAAAGTTACTTTTATGTATATTTGAAAATTTATTGCCAACAATTAACAACAATTAAAATAGTTCAAAAGCAATAAAATAAAATGTCGTAAACGTAAAATAAAATTATTATTTGAAAAATTGCACTATAAAATTGTCTATTGTCCTTGAGGAAAACGTTTCAAATATTATGCAATTGCAACAGAAACATCAAATTTAATGAAATATTTTTGAACATTTTAAACAAATAGAGTAATTAAAAAAACAAAAATATATAAATACTTGTAATTTTATATTATTTGTGTCACATTTTAATTTTATTATACGAAATCCGTTTTTAAAATCCGATATGATGTAATATTTTTGCATACAATATGTATTAGAATTTTTGTCACAAAACTTAATAATGAACTTAATTATTATTTTTCATGTAAATACAACTTTTAAATATAAAATAGAATAAATAATACACAACATTTTTAAAAAAAACCAAGAAAACTTCTACAGAAACGTAATATTTAGGTTATGTTTTCGAGAAAATTTTCGCAGACATTACAAACAAAATTAAACAAGTGATTTCAAGCATTTCAAGTATGATTTTTCGTTCGACTAAGAAAAAATACATTTAGATAAAGAATATATTTGAAAAATTTGTCTACCTTTTAGAAAAATACTATTTTTTCGGATGTTTTTTCGTATTTATAAAAACTTTTAAAATCTTGTGACACGGTGATGTCAATGTCAGTGACGTACAATCAATTTTATTCGTGTGGGTTATACTTTCTACACACACACACGTATATAATTTATATATTGTAGTCAGCTGTCAATATCTACTCCAAAAAAAAAAAAATTCCGCTAATCGTGCTAAATTTTACATTAACAATTCGCGAGTGATAATTAACAATCATGAATTATCGAAGCAAATAATAATAATATTACCATAAAATAGTTTCAAATCTCTAGATGAGAAAATATGTTCTGTGAGAGATAAAAAGACTTGACTCTATTGTCAATTTTTTTATTTATATATTTTTGTGTCGAATTTTATTTAGATTCGTTAACTATTTATGTCGTTAATTTCTAGATATTGATTATTAAGAGAAATAATAGATTTTTAAGAAAATAGCAATTTTTATATTTTTTGCAATACAATTTGCAAATCTCACAAGAGGAAGTGAAAAATAAAAAAATGTTTCAAACAAATGTCTTATTTTAAACGCTAACATATTTGACAGGTAAATAATTTTTTGAGACAGAAATTTATTAAATCTTTGAAGGGTTTGAAGACGAAGTAAAGAGGTTATGTTCTTCTTTTTAAAAAAAAGAAAAACATTTTCTGTTTATCGATTTATTTTTTTTACTGTTTTCATTGTTATAATTATATTAATTATAAATTTATAAATAGTTTATAAATATTTTATTGTTAGTAAAAATGCCTTTGACACTCGTTTTTATCTTTTTTTTCCTCTTGAGAATTTTTAAAGGGAAAAAAGAATAAAAGCGATTCCGATATTGATAAGATTAAGATGTAAGAAACAAAAGAAAGTGCTATAAAATTAAGATTAACAATTTGATTCGATATTTTCAAAATTTAAAAATTAGAAAAAAAATAAAAATTTGTTTTCTTTTTAGCTGGAGGTGTTGGATTTTGGAACCATTTTGGCGTTTGAATATTTTCAGGAGAAAAAATGCCGAGTACATATTTATACGCAATTAATAATGAAGGACGAGTATTTGGTTTATCGACAAGTGGAAATATGTGGAGAGAATTTATGTATTTGGGCTTGGAATTTAAACAATTGTCGGCTGTGCCACATTTTATGTGGGCAATCGGTGGCGATCGACAAGTTTACGTTCACGTTCATGGCTTAGATTTTCCCATAAGAATTAAGGAAGAAACATACGAAAATGAGGTTTATTTACTAATTTTCTTCCTTTTTTGTTATTTATTTTATTTATTTTACAATAATTTAAATTACATCTTATTTTGTTTATTTATTTCTTTATCTATTTTCAAAAATAAGCGAGATAAGCATTTTCGTTATTTATTTATTTTTATAAACTTTTTCCTCAGACTTTTTTTCCAAAGTTTTGAACTTTCAATTTCAAATGACGGAAATTTATTTATTTTTGAAAATTTGAATCTTTCTGTTTAAATTTGTTTTGGTGAAAAGTTGTCCACTAAACCATCTGTTAGCAAAATTAATTAAGTTGAAATAATTAATATTGTCAACTGACAAATCTAATTTTTCACAGTAAAATTTTACTATTTTCTTTAGTATTTTTCGTACTTTTATAATTTTTACTCAAATTTTCATGAAAATTTACTAAGAATTATTAGAAATGTTATTAATTTAAATTAGTGAACGATTTTTCATTGATTCAGATTTAAAGAATTAAAGATTTAAAAAATAATTTATAAAGATTCAATTCAAATTGTTAAATTTAGCTTCTCGATGTTTATTCTCGATCAATGATTATAAAAAAATTTTTATATTCAAATAAATATTTGAAAGTTAATTTTTTAAGCATCTAGAAAGAATATTTTGTTTATTTTCAGCGTTGGCTGCCTTTGGAAGGATTCAGCAGTCGTTTATTGCCAACTGACAGATTTAATTTTTCAAATCACGATGGTACTGTCGATCGTAGTCGGGATAAAGTGAAATTACCATCAATGGCTTGGCAATGGGAGGGAGATTGGCAAATTGAAACAACTTTGGATGGACAGCCTCTCGATCATGATGTAATTAAGAATTATTTACTTTTTTATTTACAATGTAAATTAACATAGAAGAAAAAAAATACTTATTTTCTTTTTTTTTAAGAAAAAATTTGTTGTTTCACTTTTTTTTGCTGTGGAAACTCATTTTTTCTTATTCAATTCTAATAGAATACTTTCTGCTTCAATGGGAAAAATACTATTGTCTTTCCTTTTTAAGGAAAAATTTGTTGTTCCACTTTTTCTTTTCTGTGGCTAATTATTTTTGCTTTGATATTTGTTCTAATGCAATATAAAAAAATTATAGTAATTAAATTGTTTACTACATTTTTTTGTCTTATTTTCTAGGGTTGGACCTATGCAATTGACTTCCCTGCGACTTATTTTCCGAAGAAAAATTGGAAATCTTGCGTGAGGAGACGAAAATGGGTTCGTTATCGAAGATACAGTGCAATGAATTCCTGGTGCGCGATTGCTCCTCTTCATAAAGATCCCACAAAGGTTAAATTTTCATTATTTTTGAAACAAATAATAATTTTAGAAGAAAACCTCTAAAAACAATCAAATAAAATTAATTTCTATAAATTTCATAAAGATCCCACAAAGGTAATGATAAATTTTAATTATTTTTGAAACAAATAATAATTTTAGGGAGAAACACCCAAAAACAAGTAAATAATAAAATTAATTTCTATAAATTTCTGTTTATTGCAAAAAATAGAAATTAATTTCAATTTTATTTCATTCAAATAAAAGACAAGTTGAAAATAATTTTAATCATCAGTTTAATTTTTAATTTTGTTTACTTTTTAAATTTCCAATTATTCAGGAACCATTCATAGACGTAGCTATTGGAGGAAATCAAATTCCATCCGGAAATTCGGGCGAATTGGTCGTTTGGGCAGTAACTGCACACGGAAGGGTAAAAATTTCACTATTTGCCGACATTTTCTTTTTTTAATTAATTGAAATTCAAAAATATCTAATAAAAAATAATAGATACTTTTCAAAAAGTAAAAATTGAAATTTACAAATTGAAACTTTGAAATTCATATTTTTAAGTTAAAATTAGTAATTTGATATTTGTTGGAAAAATTTGACATTAAATTTAAAGTAAATTCTTTGATTTGTTTATTGAAAGAATTTCTGTTTTAATTTATTAGGTGATGTTTCGAGTTGGTGTTAGTACAACGTCACCAGAAGGTTTACGTTGGAGTGCTATTAAATTGCCAGCTAGTTACGAAGTATCCCAAGTGAGTGTCGGTCCATCAGGATTAGTTTGGGCAGTGTTACAAAGTGGCAAAGCAATCGTTCGAACGGGAATTACGCGTGAAAATCCAATGGGTAAATTTTCAGTTTGCAATTTACAATTTAAATTTCTTGAGTGCTTTGAAATATAAACAATTTGGAAAAAAACTAAAAATTAACTTAAGATTTAAAAACAAATAGTAAGAAATGACAATTTTCAATTTTTGATAAATTACTTTCTATACTTTTACTGTTTTTAATTTTTTGCTTCAGGTGACGATTGGACGGAAGTTGAAGCACCGGAAAATGAACGTTTGCTTCAAGTTAGTGTTGGTTTGGATTCAGTTTGGGCAGTGACGAGCGTTGGAAATGTTTGGTTTCGTAAAGGAATTAAAGGCGAGATGAGTGGAATTTGCGAGCAATTGGCAACAGGAACTGGATGGGTCGAAATGGCCAGTAGAATGGCTTTAATTTCAGTTGCCTCGAACGATCAGGTGGTGTTTTTATTCCATATCAGTCTAAACAAAAAAAATCTGTTTAACTTATTTTTATTTTGTTTATTAATTATCATATTATTGAAGGTTTGGTCAATTGGAATGGACGATCGGTGCTTATATTATCGAAGTGGAATCACGCGCTCGGAATTAACAGGCAAAAAATGGAAAATAATTAATGTACCTCTTCAATTAAGCAGAGCGAGTAGTAACGCGAGTTTAACTTCGAGCAACAGACACAGTGTATGCGGTACTCCACAGCAACAGCGACATCAAAGTTTCGGCTCTCTGGTAATTAAGAAAAAATAATCCACATTTTTATTTATTCAAAAATACCACAATTATTAAAATAACTAGAAATTCATTAATGTTAAAATTCAAAAAATTAGAAAGAAAATTAGAAAATATAATTGATAGTTAAAAAATTATAACTTTGAATAATATTGTGATTAATTAAATAATTTATGAATTCCGGAAAAATTTGAAATATTAATTGATAATTGAACTTTGAAAATATAATTTTTTAAACAAAAAATTGATACATAGAAAAATCGATATATTTTCTACATCTTAATCTAAATGATTAAAATAAAAATTAAATAATAATTTTAAAATCAAATAATTAACTAACGAGATTTTCGCAGCAGAATCGTCCACTAAGTACGAGTGATTCGTCATCAGTAATTCGCGATTGGGAAGAGCAATCACGATCAGCACCGAATGCATCATCAGTGAGAATTTGGCACAAATCGAAAAATGGCACGCCAACGAGTTTGGAATTAAAGCAATCGTCATTTCAAGAAATGTATCGAAAGGAAGAAAGCAGAAGGTATGTAAATTTAAAATTTTTATCATCAGCAGAAATTAAATCTGATTTTTTTTCTCTCCAGATCCGGTAGTTCATTAGACAATGCCGATTTAACGCAAGCGAGCGTTGCTAATATTACGATTTCAAATGAATCCTTAGCTAAAAGTGGCGAATCAATTGTTGTTTCTGGCAAGGGAATGAGCAGTACTGTTAAGGTTTGTTTACTTTTTGATTTTATCTTTTTATTTATTCGTATTTATTTATTTCCTCAAAATCTGGAACATAAAGAGAACCCTTTCGATTTTATGATCTGATTATACTTTTAATTAGATTGTTTTTAATATTTTTTTTATTTATGCTCTGATTTGTAAAAATAAAAAGTAATAAAAAAAATATATTTCAGATAAATCCCGCGGCTTGGAGTCCAGTTCATTCAGTTGGTTCAATGGTTGGTGTTGAAGCTCATCCGGAAACCGATGGAAGTGTTTTCGATCCAGATTTTACTGGCGACTCGGGAATTTTCGGCGAGGACGAAAGCAACGCTGGAATGTATTGGGCCGAATGCGATGTTCTTTGGTATAAAGTCGAGGCTGGCGCTTGTTACATTGATCTCAGCAATCCTCCGAAATGGTAAATAGAAACTAAAGAAAAAATCGAAATTTTCTACGCAAAAGAAAATATATTTTTATTGATAATTAGTAATTGAATAAAGAAAGTTTTTTCTATTTTATTTAATAATTTAAGCATTGATAATAGAAAATAAAAAATAATAATAATGAAAATAATAAAATAAAAGAGAATAAAAATAAGTAACAATTAAATAATTTCTAATGTTTTTCCAATTTAGAAAAAATAAAAAAAATTTACCTTCTTGCCAAATTGTGTCTTAAAGAATTAAGGTTTGATTTTTTTTCTAAAGGATCGCTGATGGAAATGGCACAGCCCAAGGTGAAACTGCAGAACCATGGAGGATTTATATATTAAAAGAATTAAAAGAGAGATTAAAAAACGTTGAATTTGATTGTACGCTGTACGAAAAGGCCGTCGAGAAGTAAAAATTTTTCTTTAATTCACTTTTCTAGAGTATAGAAAAAGAGTTTTCTATTTAAAATTCTTTTCTACTCAATATTAATTAATATAATATTAATTAATTAATAAACAAATTTTTCACAGATCTTCTTGGGTCAAGAATGGAGAAGCGAAATACAAATTAAAGAATGGAGCTTCTTTTGAAGACTGTGTGATTGAATTAGAATGGATTAGTAGTGATAGCGGATCTTTGGATTCAGGAACTTTGACTGTATTAAATCCCGACGGTGCAACGACTGTGGTAAAGTGATTGCAGATGAAAAAAAAGACCATCATTTTTTCTAATAATTAAAACTCTTTGCATTAATTTTTGTTTTTAGATTCAATTTCCAATTTCTGAAATAGTTTCTGTAAGCAGCTGCAGTGAACCGGGAAATCCTCGAATTGCTCTTCACACACCGCGTTTAAGATGTTCGAAAGTTTTGAGATTACAATTCGCTAGTGACACTGAAATGGAAGAGTGGATGTCGCATCTTACTGCAGGTAAAATATAAAAAAAAAATAATTCAAAGAGAAAGCAAAATTTATTTAAAATTTACTCAAGTATTAAATATTTATTTTTGAAAACTTAAAATGTTTAAAGTATATTTAAAATTATAGAATGTAAAATATTGATAAAATATTCTTTTTATTGAAATATTAATATTTAAATTTCATTACAGTCACTTGTCAAATGAATAATGTTTATGGAAAACCTGGTCCTAATTCAATTTGGGCTTCAACTGCCTTAGGAGATGTTTATGTTTACGATCCTGCGATAGCGGAGGTAATTTTTAGTTTTTTTTTTCTTTAAAAATGATAATTACCTTTTATTCTAAAATTTTGCAATCTAATTATAAAAATTTATTTCAAGGGCAATCAACTTGAGGGTGGATTATATGTTCAGGAATTGGATGCCGCGGGAAAAAGTCTTCCATACGAAAGTATTCTTCAAAATGGTTTTGGTCCTGGTAGCAGTTTAGAAATTTCCGTCTGCGTGCATGACGACGCCGATCGGTAAATAATTTGAATTCTTTTTAATGGATACTTTTTGCTACTTTTTTTTAAAATTAATTATTAATAATTTTACAAAAATTAAATAACAATTTAAAAATCTTACAGATTGTCGTTTAATTTTGTTTGCTATTCGGCGATGAATTCGAGACAAAAGAATTCCTGTGAAACGAATGATCTTGCATTTCATTTTAATCCACGTCTACGTGAATCGATTATTGTGAGAAATTCATATCAGAATGGACAGTGGGGCGAAGAGGAGCGCGAAGGAGACAGTCTTTTAAAATCTGGATGCGATTTTAGTTTGAAAATCGTTTGCGAGCCCCGTGGTTATAGAGTGTTCATTGACAATGAACAATTCACGTTCTACAATCACAGAATTCCGCCACAAAATATTACACACTTGAGATTAAAGGGTCTTATGACTCTGTATAGTGTCGTTTACAAATCAACGGCCGTGAGTATAAAATTAAATTATAATTAATTGCCACAGATCAGAAAAAAGTCAGGAAACGTAGAAATTCTTGAAATAGAAAAATTAATACAAATTTTAATAAAAAAAATTAAATTTGGATTAATTTTTTTTCTGCAGATGATTATTGAGCCGTTAACAATGTTTTGGCGTCAAGTTGGAGGACACTTGAAGAAAGTGGAAACTTGTCGATCAGGAATTACTTGGGGAATTGGTTACGATAATACTGGCTGGGTTTATACTGGAGGTTGGGGAGGAAATTTTTTGAAAAGTAAGTGAATGAATTAATAAATAAATTAAAAATTAATTAATTAATTGATTAATTAATTAATTTAAAAAATGAATGAGTTAATAAATTATAAAGAAATGAATAAATTAATTAATTGCTTTAAAAGGTTTAGGTACCGGTAATAATGGAATAAATCCAATGGTGGATACACATAATTATTATGTTTACGAGAATCAGAGATGGAATCCTGTTACCGGTTATACGTCCCACGGTTTGCCCACCGATCGTTATATGTGGAGTGATGTCACCGGTAAACATAGACGAACTCGCGAGCACACGAAATTAATGTCAATGCACTGGCAATGGGTTTCCGATTGGATAATTGATTTTCACACGCCCGGAGGTGTCGATCGTGACGGATGGCAATATGCAACTGACTTTCCATCTCAGTATCATGGAAAAAAGCAATTTACCGATTTAGTGAGACGACGAAGATGGTTTAGAAGATGTCAACTGACAACAAGTGGTCCTTGGCAGGAATTGGGAAATACAAAATTGCTCGACGTTTCCTTACAGGTAAATTATTATATTACAATATTTTAGTTGCTAATTTAATATAATTAATAATTAAAATATTTGAGTTACTAATTTTTAATATAATTAAAATTTCAGACTATGGAAGAAACTGACAGTGAAACATTCATTCAGGTTTGGGCTGTGGCAACAAATGGCGAGGCATTGTTCCGACACGGGGTTACGGAATCCTGTCCAATGGTAAAATTACATATTTAAGTAGTTAATAAGTTGGTGTTTAAATATAAAAAATTTTATAATTTGCATAATAATAAACTGAAACGTTGGATTTAACATTTGCTATAGTGCTAAAATAATTTATTTATTAATTACGTTTAAATGAATTTTTTAGGGAGTTTCCTGGGAACATATTCCAAGTGATCAAGCATTAATTGGCATTTCTTGCGGACCAAATGGACAAGTTTGGGCAGTCGCGAAGAATGGTTCCTGTTACTGGAGGTTTGGCATTAATAACGCCAAGCCCACTGGTATATTTTCTCCTTTACCTGTTTTTTTTATTTATTCTATTCAATAAGAGTGAAAGAATTTTTTTTTTATTTAAAATTCGTGATATTTTGGACAATTTAATTTTCTTTTTTGTTTAATTTTTCTTTCGTAGGTGACGCGTGGCAAAATGTTGAGCCACCCGCAGGCGCTCATATTAAGCAAATCTCTGTTGGATTCAATGTCGTTTGGGCTTTAGATACAAATGGAAAATTGTCAGTTCGTCGTGAAATTCAAGCGAAAGTCTTTCCTGAAGGCACGCATTGGCAAACTTTACCCTCGATGCCCAATGATCCAATTCACATTGGTAATAAAGACAATAAAATATTAAAAATAAATAATAAATACAAAACTTTACTTATATTAATAATAATCAAACATAATAATAATAATAATAATAATAATAATAATAATAATAATAATAATAATTTTGGGAAAAAAATAAGAGCAATTTAATATAATACAGTAAAAAAAATGTTATAAATAAAATAAATAAATAGAAATAAATAAATAAATTTATTGTTTAACTATATTTTGATCTTTATTAATTGTTAATAATTCTATAAAAAATTTACAGATCTTTCGGTTGTCACTGCAAAACAAGGTTTTCGTCATATTTCCGTAGCAAAGGAATCGGGACAAGTTTGGTCCATTTCAGGAGCAGGAATTGTTTGTCGAAGGATTGGAATTACCGACGAAAATCCAGCGGGAAATGGATGGTCGACTGGCATTGGGGTAAGTCTCACAATATTTATCTACATTATTTTCTTTATTATCAAAATATAATTGATCTTTGAAAAAAAAGTAAACAAAACCATTCAAAAAGAAAACTATTATAGCCAATTTTTTCTATAATTTTATTTAAATACTCTTCGTTAGTTAATGATTATCAATTTTTTTATTATAAATTAATTAAGTAACTAAATTAGTGATTAATAATTAAGACTTATTCTACTTTGAATAAGTGAGATTTAATTTTTTTTTTAATAATAAAAATATTCTCTTATCCATTTTTTAAAAATTAAAAATGTTTTTTATTTTTTTTTCAATTTTTAAAAATGAAACTGAAAAGAAATGATTTATAATTAAATTTTAAATTATTGAATATTTTGAAAATGGTGATACTATAAGAATAGAAATTTAAAAAAAAATTATTGTTTAAATAAATTGAAAATATAAAAATTTTGTTTAGGCAAATTGGCAACATATAAGCGTTGGAGGACTTTCTCACAAAATCAAATAAATAATAAAATCCCATCTTTTATTGCTTTTAAGTGTCAAATTAGTCTCTTAGATAAAAGAAAAACTCATTGAAAAGGTTGTAAACAGAATTGTAAATAGTAATTTCAAGAAATTCCAAAATACTTTTAAGATAAGAAAAATTTTATCGATAATAATTGTTGTACAATATTCGTTTAAAAGAATTCATATAATCTAGTCATCAATTTTTTTTTCTTCTTTTGTAAAAATTTTTTTAAATTTTGTCTCTTTTTTCTTTCGTTTAATAATTTTTTTTCAAGTCGCTGTAGTTATTAACAAAGTATTTTTAATTTTTAATTTTTTTTCTATGGACTAAAAGTAATTATTTAAATGATCACTTTTCTTTTTGTTAATTTTTCTTTGGCCTAAGAGTAATTATTTTGAGTTGTTTCCTTATTTTGAATTAAAAAAGAAAAACAGTAGTTCTTTTTCTTTAACAGAGACTTTAAATATTTTTGTGATTACACAAAAAATGACAGTTTAGTATTTTTTTGTATCTATATTTTTTTATACCTTTAGTTTTTTTTTTACAAAATATAGATTATTACATACAGTGAAATTAGATAATAGAGAATACTTTATAAAATTTGTGTTTTATTTTTAAGACTATAAATTACAATCGGTAATTTAAATAATTTAAATCAATATAATGATATGAATTCTTATTTATTGTAGACCTCTTTAATAATAAACGTTTTTTTTAAATAAGTCTCACTATTTTCATTATAATAATTATAATATTTATTTTCTATATGTATAAGAATTACTTTAGTATAAATGAGTTTTATGGAACTTAATCGACGATTTCTTAATTTAATAATAATATAATAATACAAAATATCGACTTTTACGTTCAACGTAAAATAATTTCATTTCCATTGAGTTGATATCGACGGACGTATTTATCAATATTTACGAATATAGTAAAATTCGTTTCACTATATTTTACTATATTTATTTATATTTATTTAGAATATCTAATAAAAACAAAATCGTTATATTCTCAGATTGTATAAAAATAGAAATTGTTAAAAAAAAATTTTATTTTAGGGAGTAATTTTTTCCGAAGATTATTTACCTGTGATTGTGATTATTAATTATTTTTTTACTATCAGAGGTAAAGTTTCTTTATTAAAAAAAAAATACTATTTTGTATTGTCGACAGATTTAAAAATAATATCGACAAGAAGCAATTTTAGTTGCTGTTTCTTAATATAAATAAATACATTACCGACTTGTCCAAAGATATTCAACGGTGGAAGACTAGATTCTCCGTTAAACTGTAACTCATTTAATTTGATTTTTTCTGTTTAGATTCAAATTATTCGTTACAGGGGGTTATTTTTTCTTTTAAAAATGTGTTATTTCTCGAATTACGTTGCAGGATTTTTCAGACGATCGACGATTTTTCAATTTCTCGAGTTTTCCTTGTTCACTATTTTTGACTCCGTAGAAAAAGTAAATACCCAAACCTGAATAATAGTCAAAAACCAGAAATTAAAATTTATATCTTATAAAGAATTTTCTCAGTATTTAAAAAAATAATTTTTCTTCTTTCAAAAGAATTTTATTAGAATTTTTTAAAATAATTGAATTCCTCCTATGAATTTTATTATTAAAACAAATAATTTAATTTTCACGAAAAATTTTATTATTTATGGAAATAATAATTGAATTCTTTTAAGAAATTTTATTAAAAATTGTTTAAAAAATAATTCAAAATTTTGCTGAGAATTTTATTAAAATTTTTGAAAATAATTCAATTGTGTCGAGGAATTTTATTGCAATTTTTGAAAATATTTGAATTATTTCGAAGAATTTAATAAAAAATTTTTGGAAATTATTAAATTCGACTTTTTTTAAATGAAAATTATTTAAAAACGTAAAGTTTCTTACCAACGACGAGCCAAACTAAAAATCTTATCCAAGTATTGACGTCTAATTGAATCATTAAATATAAATTAATAAATATACTGACACATGGAATAAAAGGGACCAATGGTACCTGAAAAATGAAAAATAAAAAAAAATAAGAAATGAAATAATAATTTTATCCAAGTTTCAATAAATAATTAAAAATTACCTTAAATGGAAGTTCATCGTTTTGAATTGGTTGCCTACTAATTGCGACCACTGTTAGTATTATTATTAAAATAACTATAGCTAATATCACAGACAGAGTTAAATTTCCTTGTATTATTTTATCGCCACTGTAGTGGATCATTATACCAGCGACAAACGCCATAATACCTGAAAATAATATTTCATTTCTCAAAAATTTTCAATTCCAAATTTATCTATTTTTTCATTATTATACAAATTTTAATCTTCATTTTGGAAAAGTAAAAGAAATAAATTTTCTATTTACTAAATATATATTTTTTCATAGTACGTTTATTTGAATGAATTTGAATTTATTTGAATTGTTATCTTCAATATTTTGCAATGTTAAATTTCAGTAAAATAATTGAAATACTTACAAAATAAAAGTGTACACCATTTTGCAACGGAAGTGGAAAATGTCGTTGGTTCCTTTATATTTTGAAAGTTGAAAATTTTCGAAAACGAATGCATTAAAGTTGGATCATTTGAATCCTCCATTTTTAAATTGTACTCATCTTTTTGGTATCTGAAAAAAATTATTATTTTAAAGATATACTTGAATTTATTACATAGTGAGGAAAATTAAACAAAAAACTAAAAATAATAGAAAATAAAGTATTTGAAAATATTGAGAAAAAAATTGTATTTGTGTTTCTTTTTTTTTTATTTATATTCTTGTCAAACGTAAAAAATAAATGTCTAGTAATTAACATACATGTTAATTACCACTTAAGTAATCTGTCACGTTTCTCATTCTTCACGTAAGCAATGAATTCAAATTTGGATGGCAGTTTTTCAAATACCTTAAAATTAAAACCGATATCGAGACTATTGTGTACGCGAGAAGTGTTCCAATTGACATCATATCCACTAATTGTTGTAAATTAAAAATCAGTGTCATTATACCTGGAAAGAAAAATTTAAAAAAAAATTAATTTCATTATTGTTTATAACTTTAATTTAATATTAACAAATTTTAAACTTGAAATTTTTTTGAACTGTTTGAACTATTTTTGAACAATCAATTATCTTGTAATTGCAGTAAAATTTTACTATTTTTCACTTTAATAGGAAAAGGAAGCAACTTTTTTCTTTTTTTTATATTTGCATTATTTTAAATCCACTAAAAATTGAAATAAAAAAATTTTTCTTAAAAATTTGAATAAAATTCTTCTTAAAAATTTAAAAACTTTTTTTATAAAATTATGGAACAATTCCATTTTTTTAACAATTCTTCGCAAGAATTTAATTATTTTCAACAATTTTTTACAAGAATTTAATTATTTTTACAAATAATGAAATTTTCCACTGAATTTCAAGAATATTTTCAATTTGTTTATAAGAATTAAATTTATTTATTTATTAAATTATCTTCATAAATAATAAAATTCATCGCAGGAATTCAATTATTTTTAAATACAATTTGAAGTAATTTATTCAAAATAATTGAATTATTCGTTTAAATTTTCAACAAAATAATTCAAAACAATTCAATTATTTCCAAAAATTTTAATAAAATTCTTCGCAAGAATTCAATTATTTTTACAAATAAAATAATCTTTCACAAGGATTCAATTATTTAAAAAAATTAATAACATTTAATGCAAGAATTCAATTATTTATTAAATTTTAATAATTGTCTTTGAATCAATTCAATTATTTTCCAAACTTTTGATAAAATTCCTCGAAACAATTGAATTATTTTCAAAAATTTTAATAAAATTCTTAGCAAAATTTCAATTATTTTTTAAACAATTTTTAATAAAATTTTTTGAAAGAATTCAATTATTTTCATAAATAATAAAATTCATCGGATGATTTCAATTATTAGTATATAATAAATTTATCGGATGAATTCAATTATTTCCATAAATAATACATTTTTTCAGAGGAATTCAATTAATTTCAGTATAATTTTAATTACATTTAAAAATTGTTTTAATTTCTTCCAAACAATTTTTATAATTCTATTAAAACATAAGTGAATTCTTATAAAGAAATTTTTCAAAATAATACATTTTTGCTAAAAAGTTTATTAAATTTCTTTAAAATAATTAAATTCGAACGAAAAATTTTAAAAATTATGAAAGTTATAGAAATTTTGCTAAGAATTTAATTAAAATTTTCGAAAATAATTGGATTCTTTTCAATTTTAAATTTCGTCAAATTTAATTGAAATAAATTTTATATTTAAAACAAATTTGTTTATTTACTTTTAAAAATTATTTTCAAATGTAATCGAATTTACTACTTTTTCATTATTAAAGCTACTTTTTTCAAATAAATTCTCTTGAGTGCAAAGCCTGTAATAGCAAAAATATTAAAAATTTGCAAAATAATTAAAAAAATTCTTACCAGTTAAGAGACCAGAAATAATGGTACCGAAAATTGGAGTCATTGTTTTGGGATGAATTGTCGCGAGAAACTTAAAAATAATACCGTCACTACCCATTGCGTAAAGAACACGCGGTAGAGGAAACATTGCCCCAAGAAGACTGGTGAATAATGCAAAAACTGCTCCAACATTAACGATCCATTTGATTGTTGTCCAGCCGACTTTTTCGAAAACCGAAGGAAACGGAGCGTTTACGTCCTGGAAGAAAACATTTTTCGACACTAAGTAAAAAGGAAGAATAAAGGAAGAAAAAAATAAAAAAGTAGGAAAAAATAAAAAAAGGAAAAAAGAAATAAAAAAAGGAATAAATCAATTAGAAAATAGAAAAAAGCATTTACCTGATCATAATAAGGCCACATCATTGTGAGAACAGCCGCAATACTAAAATAAGCGGCAAATATTATGCAAAGTGACAAAATAATAGCCAGTGGAATATTTCTTTTGGGATTTTTTGCTTCCTCGCCAGTGGTTGCAATACCATCGAAACCAACAAATCCAAAGAAACATTTTGCAGCGCCCGCCATAATTCCACTAACACCAAAGGGAATGAATCCACCGTTTCCCGGATTCTTCACATCCGGAGGTATTTTTTCCTTCTCAATAAACCAATTTTTAATATCGGCTTAAGTCAAAAATAAAAAAAAAAATCAGTCATTTAAATAAAAAATCAATCAAGAAAAAAAAATTACTATTTTCACTGTTAAATTTCGAAAAAAGAAAATACGACTCACCTTTAAATGAACCAGCAATGACAATTATCAAAATAGTAATAACATTAATTGACGTGAAAATATTATTTAAACTCGAAGATTCACGAACGCCAATACTGAGGAGAATTGTGAGTAAAAGAACCATGGCGAAGGCAAAAAAATCCGGATAATCAGAGAGGAAGGAAATTTTTATTGGCATCCAATATTTTAAATATTGAGCCATTTTATTGCCGGTTAAAATATCTAAATAGCTGCTGAGTCCTCTTGCGATACTTGCAGTACCTGGAAAACAAAATTATCAATATTCTTTTTTGCTGAACAAAATTATTACAAGACAAAAAATTCTAGAAAAGGATCCAAGGCATTTTTCAGAAAACAAATTTTTTTTAAGTAGATTCTCTCATTGAAGAAAAAAATTTCTGGTTAACTCCGGTTTTCGGTGGGTTAATAGACAGGAAAATGTTATTTAATTGAAAATACTCACCTATCACGTATTCTAAAATCAAATTCCAGCCAATGACAAAGGCTATAAATTCTCCGACTGTCACGTAACTATAAACATAAGCTGAACCAGCTTTTGGAACTCTGCACGCGAATTCCGAATAGCACATTGCTGAAAAATTTGAAAATTTAATTAAGAAAATTGATTATTTTTTAGTTGAAAAAAAGAGTAATTAGTAGTAAAGTTAATTTTTAATACAAAAAAATTAATCTCAAAAATAAAATAAATCCTTGATTCTTTCTCTTGTTTCTCTTAGTTTTTACTTTTTTTAACAAATTTTTCAAACGAATTAAATTCCGTGAGGAAAATTTTTAAATAAGTTAAATTTGTACGAGAAATTTAATAAAAATAATTATAAAATATTTAAATTTTTATAAAGAGTTTTAAGAAAATTTTTTAAAATATTTGAATTTCTACGAAAAATCTTATAATTAAAAGTTTTTTAAATCGAGAAATTTTATTATTTACGAATTCTTTCAGTCTTGAATTAAATTTTTTTTATTATAAAAAATTTTATTAAAATTTCTCAAAATAGTAAAATTTTTGCGAAGAACTTTATTAAATTTCTCCAAAATAATTAAATTCCTGCGAAGAATTTTATTAAAATTCTTTAAAATAGTTAAATTCATGAAAAAATGAAAAAATGTTTAATGAAAATATTTGAAATCTTGCTCTGAAATTTTCGAAAATAATTGAATTTTTTCGAAGAATTTAATGAAAATTGTAAATATTTCAATTCTGATAATGAATTTAATAAAAAAAATTTCAAAATAATAAATAATTGAATTTTTGCGAAGAATTTCAGAAAATTTTTGAAAAATAATTGAATTCTTATGAGAAATTTTATTGAAATTATATTGAAAATAATTTTAAAGAATTATTCTCTAAAGATTACGAATTTTGCTACTACTCTGAAAATGACCCTGAAAAAATTTGAAATTCATGATTACAACAAATTTATTGAATTGAAATATATGTGTAGTAATAAAAAATAACCAGATAAGGCTGATGCGAATGCAGCAATGAGAAATGATAAGCAAACAGCTGGACCGGCATTATCTTTTGCGACACTTCCAGCGAGAACATAAACTCCAAGACCTAACGTTGAACCAACTCCTAGGGCGGTGAGATCAAAAAGTCCCAAAACCCTAGCCAATTCTGTTTTTTTTTCTGTTGTCACATCAGTTGCCCTCCGCCTCGAGAAGGCCCTCCAAATTTTTGACCACATCTTCCTCTATTTTTATTTCTTCTCGCCTTCTTTAATGACAACCTGAGAAAATTTTTTTTTTAAAAATTAGATAATTTACAATTTTTATTTTCTTTTTTTTGGGGGGGGGGCATTTTGTTATTATTTTACCTTTTTGTTTCTGTCTGTGATAATTAGTGCAACTTGTTAGTTATTTAATAGTCACAATAGCAAAAAATAATAATAATAGTAATAATAGAAATAATAATAATATTTTAACACCATTTTAACAATAATATTGATAAATTATTATTTCACAAAAATATTTATATCAAGTAAATAATGTAATTCACATAATCAATAAAATCGAATTTTTCTGACGTAATTAATGACGTATATTATCTACATTTAAAGCAATTTACAAAAATTTGAAAATAAAACATGATTATGAAGTATATCATAATCTTAAATCTCTCAAATTTCTTCACAATGAGTAACGAATCTTTAGAGAATCTCTTATAGACTTAATAATTTTTTCACCATCTAGTATTTTTAAATGTAAAGTTTAATTTATTTTTTTATTCTTAACTTGGATTATTTTAGGTAAAGTTTTCCCTCAATTTTTACGTTAAAAAAATTTCATTTTATAAAATACAAATTATTATTCATTATTTAAACACTCAATGCCCGTAAATAAAAAGTAAATAAATTATTGAAGGTATTTAAATGCAAAAGGAAATAAAAAAAAATATTTAAATTAGGAAAAATATAAATTTAAATAAAATGACACTAATAAGTAAAATAAAAATAAAATAAGTGGAAAATAAACATTAAATAGGAATAAGAAAAGAAATTTTTAAAAAAGAGAGAAAAAAAATACAAATTAAATAAGAAATAGAGAAAAAAATTTATATTTAATTTGTATTTCTTTTAATAAAAAAAAATTCTACAAAATATATATTTATAATTTTGAAAAATAAATAAAATAAGAGAATAAATTTCAATTTATAATTAAATGTTTGATGAAAAAGAAGGAAAATACGTGTCTTTCAATTACATTCTGAGAAGAAACAAACATCAGCAATTTATTGTGCAATTGTAATTGATCTGTACCACTTTTTTCAGGACAAAATTTAATCTTTCACTTTCTTGTGAGTTCTATTTTAATTTTCGCGACGTTTTCTTTCCTCTCTTATCAATAAGATTTAATTTCCAATAATTAATTAACTTCCGCGAAACTTATTTATTATTGTTGTAAAAAAGACGTTTTGTATAATTACTGATAATTTAAAAAAAAAGTACCTACAACAAAAGATTATAATCAAATCAATCATTTTTTTCCCCCTTTAATATTTATTGTTTTTTTGTCTTTTATAACAAAAATATAATGATTACAATAATTGTGTAATTTTATTTACTTTTTTTTATTTATTTTTTTAATTATTTATTTTTTGTTTAATTTTTTGAGAAATAAGACACAGACAAAAAATTTCTTGGTAAGAAAAATATAATTAAAATTGTAGAATTTATTTCCCTGTTTTATTTTTCTTTAATTATTTATTTTTTAATACTTATATTTTTCAGAGAAATAAGGTACAGACAAGAAAAAGTCCTTTGTAATTAAAATGTAATTATTATAATTTACAATTGTAGAATTTTAGTTGATTTTTTGCATTTTTTATTTTTATTTGTTTTTTTTTTTTTTTTTGTTAAACAAGATAAATTCTATTATATTATCAATTTCAAAAAAAATTTAACAAAAGCAATTGGAAATATCTTTTCTGAAAATTAATGATAAAAAAAAGAATTCTTTTCAAGTAGAAAAAATTTGAAGGCAAATGCTCTGTGAGAGGCGATGGAAAATGTAAAATAATTTGCATATATACAACGTTTTGAATGATAAATTTACAATTTATATTTTACATTTTAATATGTGCATGTAGAAATGGCGTAAAAACTTTATAAGCGCAAGGACGAATTTTCCAAGTCTGACATTTCAAATAAGAAGAAAAAAAATGAGTAAATAAATAAAAACGTAAGAGAACAGAAATTATATAAACATATGTATATATTTATATGTGACTGTATATACATATGTTGTACGAATCTTATTGAATCTTATTCAATTTATGTTATTCTTAGTACTACTTCTCCATCAATAAATATTTTCCAAGAATATGCCAATAAAATTTTATCAAATAATATATAATTCCTTCAATTTTATATATCTGACAGAAAAGAAAAAATTATTATACATTCCTTGAAAGAATCATAATAATTTTCTCTACATCGACCAAAAAAAAAATTCATTTATTTTAATTATAATATAATTTCCTCAATTTTTTTATGCTTGTATCGCAAGAACTACCAATTATTTTCCATTATTATTTTTATTTTGCTTTTATTTTATACGTTTCTTAATTTATAATTTTCATTACTTTTTTAATTTATTTTATCTATTTTTTAATTTTTTTTTCTCTTCTTTATTTTTTTTTATTTTTTATACTTTTTTTTATTTTAATTTTCTTATTATTATTCTATACGTTTTTTAATTATATAATTTTTATTACTTTTTAAAATTATTTTATCCATTTTTTAATTTTTTAATTTTATTTATCTTTTTTTTTAATGTTTTCTATTCTTTTTTTCATTATTTTATCCATTTTTTAATTTTATTATTTTTATGACTTTCCTTATTTCATTTTTGCATTTTTTAATACTTTTTCTTTTTTTCTTTTACATTTTCTTATTATTATTATTCTCAATACGTTTTTTTAATTTAATAATTTTTATTGATTTTTATATTTTTATACACTTTTCCTTCTTATTATTATTTCACACTTGCTTCTTCTAATTAGTGATTACATAATTTTTATTACTTTTCCTATTAATTTAATTTCTCTCTATTATTTGTTATGATTTATTATTATTATTCCTTGTTGAAAAGTGAAATTAGTTTTCCCCCAAGTATAAAATATATTACGAATAATTATTCTTATTAATTTTCACAAGCAGGAAAAAAGTGTTTTTAGAATCAATTAATATCAGTGGGAAAAAAATTAATTTATTAACATTTCATAATCGATAGATCAACGATGTAAATGAAGCTATAAGAAAAACTTGAATCGAGGTCTTTGAACCAACTTTTAGAAAGGTAAAAGTTTCTTTTTCAAATTAAATTTTCAAATATAAAAATTACAATCTGTTGATAAAAAATTATATTTTGATTTTATATATTGTGACGGATTTTTTTTGCTTCAGTTTTTTTTTTTTTTTTTTTTTTTAGTTTTTTGTGAAAATAACATTTTTCTCGTGTGCATTAATGTTTTTGTTTACCTTCAATATTTTATCAAGGAAGTATCACTAACAAATTCTTGTTTATATTACATATTTTCCTCTTAGAGATATTTTTCTTACTTTTCTGTATTTATTCTATTTATACAATTTTTTTTATTGTTTTGTTTTAAATTATTCTTATTTTTTTTCCCAAAATTATTTTTTTTTTTTTTTAGAATAAAATAAATATTTTTCAACTAGAGATATTTTTCTTACTTTTATTTATTTCTATTTATTTATTTTATTTATAACATTTTTTTTACTGTATTATATTAAATTGCTCTTAATTTTTTCCCAAAATTATTATTATTATTATTATTATTATTATTATTTTATTAAAATGATACCTAACTATTATTATCAAGTATATAATTATTATTTGTATTTTCATAAATATTTCTAAAATCTGAAATTTTTTTGCACGTGTCCTTAATTTTCATTTACTTTTTAATTAGTAAAGTCTTTATTTTAAATTTAAAAAAAAATTCATCCATTTCATTGATTTGAAGAAAAAAAAATCTCTATGAAGTTTATTGAAGCGAATCTCCCCCCACTTGCTGGTTGGGAGTTCGAAGCGGATAATAATTACTGATTACCTTGTGCTGGGTGAATTTGTCCGGGATATCGAGGTTACTTGACCTCATTAATATGTGATTCTCGTCTAGTTTCAATGACACAAAAAAAGTTTCTCCGAGGGATGCGATTCTTGTACCTTTGATATAAACAGATGAAAAAAAGAAGAATTAAAATTAGAAAAAAAATGTATTATTCCTTAAAATAATAGAATTATTTTGCATTAATAAAATTATTTATAATTTAAAATAATTTTCGTCTACAGTCAAGATTTTTATTTCATTTTCTTTTTCTTAAGAAAATCTCAGATATATTTGGGTATAATAAAAAAGATGAAGACCAAATTTTTACCACCGCAAAGTACATAATATAGATATTTAATAGGAATTTAACAGCTATTTTAGTGCTTTATATGATAAATATTTTAAATATTATTCAACATCGTTTATCAACGTTTTTCACTTTTTTCTTTTTGTGTACAAATATTTTAGAGAAAAAGAATTAAAAATTGCAAAATAATACAATTATATAATTACTATTTATTATTTTATTCAATTTTATCAACAGTGAGAACAAAATTTCTTCCAATTTGTAAAAAATAAATTTAAATAATAAGACAATAATGATAATAATTTAAATAAATGAATAAAATAAATAATCGTAATTTTCAATAAATAATTAAAAATATTATTGATCCTAAAATTATTATAAAATTATTTTTATTATTATTATATTATTAATAGTAATTCTAATTCTAATATTATTTTTAATATAATAATATAATTATAAAATAATTTAAATTAAAAATTTAAATATTCATTGTATTATTATTAAATAAGTAAATTAATTTTTTAATATTAGATGTTAATTATTCACAATTATTTATATATAATAAAAAAATAATTAACTTAAAAAAATTACAGGAACTTTGTTCCTAATTGAAAATGTGATACACTAGGGGACATTAAACTAGGAAATGAAGAAATGACATTGGTTTTTTTTTCTCTTCTATACTAGCCGATAAAGATATGTTTATAATAAAAATTCAGTGATTGTTACCAAACTTCAAGGTAAGCCAGCAAAAAAAAGCAAAAGAAACTTGAGAAAATGTAAAATGGACAAAAATTTGTAATTATTAAAATCAAAATTGTTAAAATTCATTTGCTTACTCTAAACACACAAGGCTTCGACCTAATTTACTCTAGAAGGTGAAATTGTCAAAATCTCGTCTATATTTGCAATTCAAGGCTCATCGCGAAATTTAATTACATCTATTATTATCGTCTTTATTATTCTTATTGATGATTTATTCCTGTTATTATTTTTAAATAATGATTATTGTAATTGTAATAATAATGAAATAGTTATTATTATTTTTTATGCAGTTACTAAACTGGAAAGAAAAATAATTATTTATTATTATTATTCGCAAATTATTTTTAGAAAAAAATTATTTTATCAAAAAAATTTCATCAATTATTTTGTTTTTTTTAATAAATAATAATTTTTTTATTATTATCTATTTTTTTATTTTTATTATTATTCATATATTATTTTTAAAGAAAATATTTTTTCACAAAGTTTTTAGCGACTGTTTTGTTCTTTCTTTAAAATAAATAATAAATTTATTATTTAAATATATTTATTTATTTAGTATTAACAGGCTAGCAAAGAAAAATATTATATTTTAATTTTATAAATGATATAAATTTTGTTTAATAGTTTTTATCCACTATTTTGTTTTTTTTTTTAATTAATAATAAATACATTTTAAAGAAAATTGTAGATATATCATTCATTGTAACATGATTGCGATAAAAAATTTGTAAATGGTCTAAAAACTATAAAAGATTGACATTTATTTTAGATGTTGCCTTTTGATAAGATACTAATAATTTTCGTTTTTTTTCTATGAAATAATAAAAATTAATTAAATTCTAAATTTAAAAAAAAAATATTTTTAATGGTAGAAAGAAATTTAATTTTTTATTATTAATTTATTACTATTTATTATTATTATTATTATTATTATTATTATTATTATTATTATTATTATTATTATTATTTATTATTTTATACAATTTTATCAACGGTATTTACGGTATTGACTAATTGTGAGAAAGGAAAAAAATTTATTTATTTATTAATAATAAATAAGTCATTAAAATTATTGATTGTTTAAAATAATAAAATTAATATAGAAAATGTAAAATTTGACAAATTAGAAGAAAAAATAAAAACATTTTTTTAATTTGAAAACTAAAAGTACCTAATAATAGAAAATTGACAATTTCAAACAAAACACTATTTTTTTGCACTATTTAAATAACCATTAACTTTAATGTTACTTATTGCAAATTGATGGTTACGTAGTAGGCAAAGAATAGAAAAAAACCTCAATTTCATGCTTTTATGTGTCGATTTTTAGTGTTGGTTGCAATAACAATAAAGTACATATGAACAATGTCAAGTTCATCCTCGTGTATTTCACTCAATAAAAATAAATATATTTAAAAAATCAACTCAAAAGAATAGAAAAAAAAATAGAGAAAAAAATTTTTTTCAGAATAAATTTCACACAACAAAAGAAAAATAATTTAAATAATTAAAACATCAACTCAAAAGAATAGAAGAAAAAACAGAGAAAAAAATTTATCTTTCAAAAATGCTTATAACCATTCGAAAAGAGACTTATTCTTTAATTATATTATTTTATCTAAGCTTCTATAAATAAAAAGAGATAAAACTTGTATCAACATCTTTAAATAAGGATAATTTTTCAAATAAAAAAAGAAAAAAAAACGTTATGCACAATTTTCCGAAAAGGAGAACATTTTTTTCTTCAAACAAAAATTTGTTTTGCACTTTTTTCAAATTAAAAAAATTGGTATCAAATAAAAACAATAGTAGCTAATAGAAATAATAATAATATTATTAATAATAATAATAATAATAAATAATTTTTTTTTGCAAAAAACTTTTTTGCAATTTTACGAGTAGAAATTTATTGCATTTTTTTAATTTTCCAAATTCTGTTTTCGTAGATTATAGTATAAATTTTCTATTTCTCAGAAAGAATTAGAAAGAAAATAAAAAAATCCCTTTTAGGAAAAATATAATCTAATTAGTATTGTTTCAATTATAGTGTGAAAAAAAACCAACTATTATTTTTCTTTATAAATCACATGTCGAACGTGAGAATTAGGAGAAACTTTTTTTATAGATGACACTCATAGAACAAATACAGTAATTAATTTTTGTCGTCAAACGTGAGTTCATAAATTGCTCTATTTGAACTAATCTTTTCGACCTATTAAAATTCTCAGTAAATTACTTTTCAAAAATTAATTATTAATCCATTATGAAAAATAATGAAAAATTCTTTTTAAGCACTTACAAAACTATTAAATATTCTCAAATAACATGAGAAATTACTATTTTCACATTTTAAAAAGTATTCAAAAAATTTTATCACTTCATAAATATACAAGAAAAGAAAAAAAGAAAAGAAATTCCCAAAAAGGTATTGAATTTTCGATTTAAATTCAGGAAATTAAAAAAAGAAATTTTTTAGAATATAATTGATAATTAATTCACTTTCTCAATAATTAAAAAAATGTAAGTTTGGAAAAAATTCTATTTGGCATTTCTCAAATCTATTTTTTTAAATTAATATTTAGTTTTTACTAAATATTTATTTAAAAATTATATTTATATTTAAAAAAATGAAATTATTTCTTTTAATTTCTGGGAATAATTTTCTAATTTTATATGAAAACTTTTAAACATTTTTTCCGATAATAATAATTAAAATAATTAATAATGAACTAATGATAATAATATTTAAAATAATAATAATAACAATAATAGAGAATAATAATTAAAATCACTAAACTAATATAATTAATTATATTAGTTAATTCAATTTGGAATAATTAATTAATAATTTGGAACATTAATTCAATTAATTTAATCATTTAAGTTATTTTAGCAAACAATTCAATTTATTTAATGTATCTTAATGGACCAAATAATAATATTAAAGAATAATGAATTAAAATTACTTAACTAATGGAATATTAATTCAATTAATTAAATCATTTAAGTTATTTTAGTGAATAATTAAATTTATTCAATGTTTCTTAATGGAACAAATAATAATAATAAAGAATAGTTAATTGAACTTACTAAACTAATGGAATATTAATTCAATTAATTTAATAATTTAAGTTATTTTAGTAAATAATTAAAATAATTTAATTTTAGTGAATAATTAAAATAATTTAATTTAATTTAATAATTAAAAGAATTTAATGTTTTTTAATGGGCAAAATATAAAAAATAAATTTTCAAATTCTTTCTACTCAAAAATTAAGGTTCTTAAAAATATCACTTGATTAACTTAATTAAATTAAATACATTTTTTGTCTCATATAACGTTTTGGAAATTTTTGAAAGAAAATATTTTTTATTATTATTTTAATAAAAAATGAAAAACTTAATTTATTAAAAATTATAAATTAAAAAATTAACAAATTTGGCTTAAATTAATATTTTTGAAAATTAAAAAATTATGAATTTTACTTACAAAAAATGAACTTGTAGTCAATAGGGAATGAATAGTTTTCACGAAAATCAGTTATAGTTGATTGTTTCATTCATAAGTGTTCGTCATTTTTCAACGAAAAAAAAGAAGAAGGAGAAGAAGAAATGTAAAAACTTGCGATGAAATTTCTCGACATTTGTTGAACCACACACGACAAAATCTGCCGGCAAACTAATACCGTGTGTCATAATATTACAAGGTACACCTGTTCTTAATGCTAGTAAATACACCGATCACCTCCCACCTCCTCTTCCTTCTTAGGTGAATGCGCCAGGACTTAATCACCAATTATGATTATAATCAATTTTTTTTTGTTATTAGAAACATCTATTTTCGAAAATAGACAATTTTTCAAATCCACCAATAACTTCTCTCTCAAAATATTCTAATCTCTCTAATCACTCCTGAAAAATGAAAAACAAATTATTCATCTCATATTTTTTTTATTTTTTACAACACAAAATTTTACAAAAAAAAAAAATTTCTTTTAACAGTGTTAATTTAAAAAGAAAAATTGCGCAATTTTTTTATTGCATTATTCTTGGAATTCGAATTTACGATATTTTCGAGGAAAAAAAAAATTTAATGACCATTTCTGTCCTCTCAATTATTAATTTTTTAAATTATAATTTAATAATTAATTAAATTCATCTCTTCAATTAATAATTAAAAGGAAACTCTTTGTTCTCAATTTAAAAATTAATTATTTTATAATAGTAAATTTTTAATTACTAATGAAAAAAAAATTACCGTCTTCTTATAATGCTTCTTAAAATTAAAAAAGAAAAAATTTTTTAATTAGAATTGAAGAAGAATTTTATTTTTCGTTAAGTTGTTGATGAACTTCCCGATTGAGCCACATAGGTTTCTGAATTTGTTGCACAACCTGGACACATGTGAAGTGATTCGTGAACAAATATCTCACAATCTAGACAGAAGGTTTGCTCGCATCTTTCGCAGAAATAGACCTGGAAAAAGAAAATTTCCATTTTTTTTAATACATGGCACTTAAATCATAAACTACATTCATAAAAAGAAGAAGAAGAGAACATTAAATTTATCAATTCATAAAACTAGAACTGATATTTATCAAAGTATCATCATTCATTGATAAACATAATGTGACGTCGATCAAAAACGAACTAAAATCTCTAGTCATGATCGAAAAATAAAAAACTATTATTCTCAAGATTAGAGAGAGAATTAAATATTTTAAATTAGTATGAAACGTGAAATATCATCACTTTAGATTAAAGTTAGAAATAAAAATTAAAAATTGAAAACTTTGTTCATTTTCATCAGGATAAGAAAATAATTAATTATTTTTGTTTTTCATTAAAAATAATTATAAATATTTAACACATAAGCATTTTCTTTCTCTTTATTAAATTACGTGTTATTTTTTTTAAAGAAAATAAAAACAAATGAAAATTTTTTCTTTTCGAATAAATTGAAAAACAAAATTCTGTATTATTTTTTTGACGAAAAATACCTTTTTGTCGAGAGCACCGAATTCCTTTTGACAGCTGAAACAATTTGACGTTTTGCCATTATTTTGTATTTCCTGATAGCGTCGAACGGGAAATAAATAATGATACGATCTTGCTAAATGTGGCGCTGAAACTAATGTTAATCCACAAGCTCGACACTCAACAGGCAATTCACAATGTTTACTGAGACATTGAGGGCAAAGATATCCTGTATTTAGAATTTTATCCGATTCATCCATATCGTCTGCATGACTAAAAAAAGAAAAAATAAATAAGGAAACTTAAATATCTAGGTATTAAAAAATACGTGTATTTTTCTAATTATCACTTAATATCAGGTTTGACAGAAAAATTTGATTTTACTGTTCCCTGACTTTTCTCTGAATTTTCTCTGAATTTTTTACTCTTTTCCTGACGATAAAAAATATATTCTCATTTCACTCTACAAAATTAGTGAGAAAAAATAAATAATTTTACTTACACTTCAATCTTATGAAATATCAGTTATTCCAAAATTTTTCAATTAAATATATATTCAAAAATTGTATTAATTAAAAAAAAACTTGAGTACAAATTTTTCAAAAAACTAACTCTAAATAAAAGAATTTTTAATGAAAATTTGTTAAACTTCAAATTTTCTAAAATTTTAATTTGAAACAGTTTAAAATTTAACTATTTAGAAAATTGCAAACAAAAAACTCTTACAAAATTAAATTGTTTTTGGAATTTTTAATTTTCTTGAAATTTTCCTAATTTCTATAAAAAATATTGAATACTTGTAAAGAATTATATCAAAATTTTTAAAAATAAATTGATATCTTTCTAAGAATTTTAATAAAATTTTTGAATCCTGTTAAGAATTTTATTATTTATGAAAATAATTGAATTTTTCAACGAATTTTATTAAAATATATAAAAAGAATTTAATTATTTTTGTTTTGAATTTAATTATTTATACAATTAATTGGAATCTTGTGAAGAATTTTATTAAAAATTTTGAAGATAATTGAATTTTTTTGAATGATTTTATTAAAATTTAAAGAATAATTTAATTGTTTCGAATAATTTAATTTAAATTGTATGCAAAATAATGTAATTCTTGCGATGAATTTTATTCGTTATGAAAATAATTTAATTCTTATAATTTTTTTTTAAATAATTGAATTCTTTTGAGAAAGCTTATTAACATAGTAAATATTGAAAATATTTGAATTTCAGCAAAGAATTTCATTGTTTCTGAAAATAATTGAATTCATGTTGAAAATTTTTGAGAATAATTTTTTTATTTAATTTATTAGCGAATTTAAAGTACATAGTGCAAATTTAAGAAACAAGCAAGTATCTTTTAGTGTCACAAATGTAAAAAAAGTATCAAAATAGTAGCTAATCGTAAAAAAAGTCTTAGTAAATAGTAGATTTTAGTAGATAGAAAAGTAAATTTATATTTTGTTAGATACTTATATCTTTTTTAATTAATTGACTAAACTATATTATAAAATATAATCAAATTGAAGATGCTAAAAAAATTATGTTTTATAATCTTTTTATCATAGATATTAATGTTAATTGACATTAGTCATTTTAATAACAAAATACTTGCCCTGTATGATTCATTGGTTATAATGACGAAAACATATATTTTGTAACCATTTCTAATTTCTTCAAATATTTTTAAATAGTATACTATTACTGATTTTGATTAAAATTAGCAGAATAATTTTGAATATAATTAATTATAAAAAAAACAATTTAATTAAAAATTCGCACTATCGAACAAATAAGAATTATGTTGTCCGCTAAATTCAGTAAGAATTATTTTACACACGATTTTGAAAGAAAATCCATTTAACATTGAAAGAAATTCTTTTATTTTAATTTGTTGTTATCATTGAGAAAATATTTTATAACAAAATAGAAATAAAAAATAAAAATAGAAAAAGAAATAGAAATAGAAATAGAAATAAAGGAATAAAAAAATATAAAAAGAAGAAATAAAAGAAACGTAAATAAAAACAATAGAAAGAAAAAAATTGGATTCTTACCACATACAAACAGCCATGGAAACCTCGGCAGTTGACGATTGCAGGGCATGATGAGGAAATCCCATTTTCACAAGGGCGGCGTCTAAACGTGTTGCAGCTGGCGGTGGATCAATGTGAATATTCAATTGTTCCAAATAATGTTTATCGTCCAAAACAACACTGTGAACACCTCCCGTCATCGATACCATTCGTTTACAAATATGTAATTCCGCCGCCAATCCAATTACACTACATCTCACATTTTCAGCTTTCATACTCTGCGAATTTATAAATATTTTTCATTATTTCCAATCAATAGGAAACTAATAACTAAATTTCATATATAAAATTAATAGAAATTAAAAAATTACTCTTATCGTATCACTTATATCGCCAGGATCACATGTCGTGAGTGATCCCATTATTATCAAAATTTCCCTGGTCGCATGAGTTGGTAATAATTTTAAAGATTTTAATGCAAGTTCAATGGAATTCTGCAGTGATGGTTCTCCTGTACAAGTAGCCGTTTTTAAAGCTCGTAACTCCTGGAGGAAAGAAAAATTATTATAAAAAAATTAATCTTCTCAAAAAAGAAAAAAAAACATTTTTTATTATGTTAAGAAAAAAACGATTTTTGTACCTTGAGATGCTTCTTTGGATTTCCGGTTAAATCGCTTATTTTCTCAGCTCGTTTATTTTTCGTTACTATTATTCCAATCTGACTGATGGGATTCTGATAGAAAAATTCCTCGATAAAACTTTCCATCAGCTATAAAATAAATATAATTAAATTATAATTAAATAATTAAATTCAAAATATTAAATTAAAATACTTTCTTTTTTGTATTTAAAAAGTAAATAAATATATGACAATTCTAATATTAATAAAAAAAAAATTAAAACAAAAATATAAATCAAATAAAACTGTAGAATGTATCCCTCCGAGTTAGGTAATAAAATATAAAACAATTTAAAAAATTAGTAATTAATAAATAATAATTGTTATAATTATGATTATTATTGTATGATTACTATTGTAAACATTACAAAGAAATTTATAAAAAAAATGAACGTTTTAAAAGAAAAACAATTGCTATTACCTTTAAGGTACAAATCATTCGAGTTGGATGTAAATCTTCATTTGTCATTTTTTCCGAACAATCAAGAACAACGTACAAATGTCTCATCATTCCCAATCTAGAATCACCTTTTTTATCAAGTTGACGTTTTCTTTTCGCTTTGAGAATAATATCAGCCACAGAATAATCAATTGTTCCATATTCATCTTCTCTGATTGCTTCCCTAAAATATTTACAAAAACAATTAAATAACTATTACTATTATATTTATAAATAGAAAATTCATTTTCAACAATAAAAAATATATAATAATCGGTCTTCTCAAAATGAAGCAACTAGTTTTCTTACCAAGTTTTTTCGTAACCGGTCTCCCACCGATATTCCTTTTCTTCTTCCTCTTCCGTCATTGTGATAATTTTTTTCTTTTATTTACTAGTAAATTGAAAAAATATCTGAAAAGATTTATGGAATAAAATTTTTTTAAACAACTAAATGCTTTGTATCTTTGTATTTATTAATTTTTAGAATTTATAGGTTATGTATGTTTGTTTGTTTATGTTCTATTTTTACGAAATACCCAGGAATTATTCTCAAATTATACAGGGTAAAATTATTTAAACTTACAGTTATTGTTTACAGCAACTTGCAAATAAGAGAAATGTTTATACAAATAAGTAAAAAAAATATATTGTTTATTATGAAACGTCAACTCTCAGATATATCAGTGTCTCAGCATACGACGTAATGCTAGAAAAGTAGAAAACTAACCTTTTAATTTAAATTGTCCAAAAAGCATCAAGGGCAACGCACAATTAAATCATGTTTGAATATAACAATTTTTCAATTATCACTTTTAAAATAATTTTAAAAAATTATTAACTAATTTTAAAGCATTAAATATAATAATGTGATTATTTTATTAATAATCAAACATTTTGACATTTTTATTCACTTGTAAACATTTCACAGTGTTGACAGGTGAGCACTTGAATACGATAATAAACAATATTTTGCATTATTTTAATGAACTTCTTTGATAAATAACTTAATTATAACCTTAGAAGTGACTTACAATTGTATTACAACAACAAAACTAATTAATAATTGCTTTAATTAATTAATTTAAGTGAAAAAACGTTAGTTCCGGGTTTGTCCGCTCAATATAGGTAGATGTCGCCCCGAAAAACGGTCATTTTTGGTAGTTTTTGACTTTTCCATTGGATTCGCCTTTATCGAAACTAGCGCTCTTGTTGGTTACATTCAAATTTGCGCGGGGACTAGCCGACCAATGAGCATGATTCATGCCTTTATACATTACTATACTCCCATTGGTCGGCTTAGTACCGCGCAAATTTGAATGTAACCAATAAGAGCGCTAGTTTTCATGAAGTCGAATTACATGGAAAAGTCAAAAACTACCAAAAAAGGCCGTTTTTCGGGGCGACATCTACCTATATCTTGCGGACAAACCCGGAACTAACTATTTTTCACTTAAAATCATTAATTATTGAATTTATTAATTGATTTTCTTGCTGGAATCTGATGGGAAATCATTTACAGGGATAAAATTAAGTTATTTATCAAATAAGTTTATTAATATAATGAATATAGTGCATAATATTGCATAAATAAAATTCGCTAAATTCTTCGGTTTTTGAACAATGTCAATCAGGGTTGAATAGGTAATGAAAAATAAAAGTAAGCATGCGCATAAACTTTGCCATCGTGGATGTGTCAAAATTTCGAGGTTATGTCATCATCACTCACTCGGGGCGTGAAGTGGGAGAAAGTTTTATTATAATTACATTTTTTTATATTATACATAATGTTACTATCTGTCATGTGTACGTGTCCCTCAACAATAGATTGCAATATGTGAAAAGTGTGCAAATAAGTAAACGAAGGGAAATAACTGTTTTTTTATACAATTGTCAAACTCCGCAGAAGAAATATTGTGTGTGACATATCGAGGATGCAATGCCCGCACGTCGTCGTCGTGGACCTTCAGAATCAGGGGATGACCTTGTAATTACAACCAATAGTTTTGTTAATAATCATTATCAACAACAACAACGGCCCTTTCAATCAACAACAAATCAACATTACAATGTTGAGAAGCCAACTTTTGAGAAAATAGAAGAAGATTTATTGAAACAACGATTACCAATAATAATTACAATGACAGCTCGCGATCGTACCAATGAATTTGCTAATGCAATTCGGAGTATACAAAGCAGAACAGTGGCAAGAGCTGCTGTCAGTCGTACACCACGACATGCAAAACAAATACAAAGTTATTCCGAATTTATGATGACTGCAAAGAATATTGGCAAAAATATTGCCAGTACATATTCAAAGTTGGAGAAACTCGCTATGTGTAGGTTCATATTTCTAACATATTGTTGTTATTACTACGCCATATTAATGCGTTTCTGCAATGTTTTCCTTTTTCTTCTGTTTTTCATACTTTAATTATTATTATAAAATTACAAATTTCTTCTCTTCAATTTCTATTAATTCTATTAATATTAATATAATAACAATTTAGTTAAATTAAAATAGTTCAATTAATATTAATTTTCTTTAATAATTATAATACAATATTCTGTGAATTTTCTTTTAATCTTTATTTCTTTTAGTGGCAAAACGAAAGTCTATTTTCGACGACAGACAAATGGAAATCGAAGAATTGACGACTATTATAAAAATGGACTTGAATAGTTTAAATAAGCAAATAGCAAAACTTCAAGATTTAGGAAGACAACAGCGTGAATCATTTGGATCATCAAAGAAAAATCACATTGCCTCACATTCCTCTTCAGTTGTTGTAAATTTACAGTCAAAATTAGCAAACATGTCGAATACTTTCAAGAATGTCCTCGAAGTTCGATCAGAAGTAAGTTAGAAAAAAATGGAAAAATACAAATCAAAATAATTCCATTTTAAATAATATAGTAAAAAATAAAAAAAAATATTTTGCAGAAAATGAGAGAGGAGCAAAATAGAAGGGAACAATTTACCCAGGGACATGTATCCACAATGCTCCCTCCAAGTATTGTTTCTGGTAAACAGGGTTCCTTGTTACTTCAGGAACAAGATTCCAGTGCTTCCGTTAGTATAGATCTTGAACCCGCAATGAATCAGCTTTCAATCCAAAGAAATGCTTATGATCATACGGTGAGAAAAAATTTGTTTTGTTTTCCAAAAAATGTAATTAAAATTTCCGAAACGAAACGTGATATTCAATTCATTATTATTTTGCAAATTACAAAATTTTTTATTTTCAAATATGAATTCCTTGGTAATTAATATTTGAAAAAAAATTTCAGGATTCGTATGTTCAAGCTCGAGCTGAAACTATGCAAAATATTGAATCAACAATAGTTGAACTCGGAGGAATTTTCCAACAGTTGGCTCATATGGTTAAAGAGCAAGAAGAAATGGTTGAAAGGTAATTTTATTAATTATTTACCAAAAAATCCCATTTTTCGACTGCGAAATCATTCTGAGAATAAAATATTTAATACTTTTTTTTCTTTTCTTTCTTAATTACAGGATAGACAGTAATATAGAGCACACGGAATTGAATGTTGAAGCAGCTCATGCCGAAATTCTGAAATACTTTCAATCAGTAACTGGCAATCGTTGGCTAATGATTAAGATTTTTGCAGTCTTGATATTTTTCTTTATATTCTTTGTAGTATTTTTAGCTTAGAATTATTTTTCAGGTGAAAAGAAGAGAAGAATTATTATAAATAAATAATAACTGTTTATATTATTCACTCATTATATTTTGCAACGCAATTTTATTTTTTTTTTAACTTCTAAAGAAAAAAAGTGCTATTGCAATGATGAGTGATTTTATATTATATTAAAAAAAACGAAAAAAAATGCAATTGTCACGAATTATAAATATTGTAATATTTGTATCGCATTCCTCTTTTAATCAATAATTTTCGATTCGATTTCCTGCGTCGACTTTGTACAATAAATCTTTGTTTTTAATTTTTAAAAAAAGAAGCATTTTTGAACGCAGAAGAGCGAATCTGAATAAACGCCCGCATTCTCTCCAATCTCTCCAAAAGAGAAGAGAAAAAAATTGTAAAAATGCAGATAATAAAAATATATATATATAATTTTTAAATTATAAACAAATTTTTTTAAAAAAAACAATCAATCCTTTCTTTTAATAATAAATTACAGTTTATTTTACTTCTTTTTAAAATCATATTAACAATTGTATATTCAATTCACATTTTTTTTATCCACAACAAAAAAAAATACATCACTCCACTTTGATTTTTTTTTAATTATTATTGTATATATTTTGAGAATGTTTCGTTACGTTTTAATTAACAAATTGGTAACAAATATATATTTTATACTTTTTTTTATCAGTAAAAGTGAAAACAAATATTTCTTAATCTTAAATGTTCGTCTCACGAAAACAAAACAAAACTTTGTAAATTAAACAATAATGAAAAACGTACAAGTAAAAAAAAATCAATAAAAGTACAATTTTACTAAAAGTCGATTTTTTTACAAGAAGACTTGGCACATTCTATTTCTGATTTAATTCATACAAAAGAAGGGGTTTTTTTTCCTAAACACATGTAAATGCTTCTTATGAAATTTCCACTTTTAAATTAATTACATTAGACAAATTATAAAACGAACAACAAAGACTAAACTTTTCCACTGTGATGTGACTTGTCCAGCGATTCGCCGGAAGAATGTAAGGAACCTGAAAATTAAAAATATTTTTACACTATTTTCAATATAAACATTTTTGTATTTTTTTGTTTTTTCTACATTTTTGTACTAACTTCGTATACAAGATTACCATAAAAAATTCTATATTTACTTTATTGTCTAGTGCAGAAAAATGAACACAAAATTCAAAAAAAAAAAAATTTGCAAACAAAAGAGTTAATAATTCAGTTCTCTACTTGCAAAAATTAATATTCTAATTTAATTTGAAATTTTAGAAAATTTCAATTTTGAATTAATTTAATTAGAAATTTTTAAGATTTTTGAAAAATTTTCATAATTTAAATTCTTTTGAAATTAGTTGCATTTTTAAATATATATATTTAATTAATTATTAAAATGAATGGATTTATAGAAGAATATTCTAAAATTTTCAAAATATTGTTTCAGCAAAAAAAAAAAAAAAAATAACACCAAAGCAAATTATCAACAAAAAAACAATTGTTCTTGAACCTTAAGTCCCTTTCATTCAAGATTTATTTTGGAGTATTTCCTCCTTCCATTGTACTCCAAAATTGTCGCACTTTCGAGAAGCGCTTGCGTCCTTGCATGCAAAAGGTGAACAATAACAAACAAACAAATAAATAATAACAAAATAATTAAAATACATTCGTAACAAAAATTCCTTTAAAAAAAAACATCGTGAATTAGTTCCCCAGTGATAAAAGAAACGTGCAATTTTTTTGTTCTGTTCACAAACCTTTATGATTGCGGGATCGTTGATCTCGAGAATAGAAACCAGAATTTCGTGGCAATGACTCCTCGACACCCCAATTGTGTGAATGATTTAAAGGGGGAATTGGTAACAACGAGGGAGGCGGCGGCGGCGGTGGATGAATAATATGATGATCGTTTGTGAAATGCGGCGACGGTGGCGATCTGTGGCGACCAAAATGATGAGATGGATGATGATGATGATGATGAAGATGATGATGGGGTGGCAATGGAGGCGAGAGGGGTGGAGGTGAGCCTGTATTTTCGTAACGTCCTGAAGGTGGTTGAAGAGGTAGAGGTGGAGGCGATGATAATCTTCCTCCAAGGGGCGGTGGCCTTTGACCGACGTCAAAAGGCGGAAGCCCCCCGGGTCCCGGGGGTGGTGGAGGTAAATAAGGATGAAATCCTGGTCCGAACATGTACGAGGGAGGAGGAGGTGGAGGAACACCAGAGGTATTGCTAAACATTATGGGAGAACTAGAATTATCCGGTCCAAGGAAGAGGGACGGTGATGTTGCACTTTCTCCATTTGCTTCCATTCCTGTTTGTATAAATCAATATTTCTTTTCATCAAACTTCGCTTTCGATTATTACTCTATTTATATTTCGACCAAAGTATTTGTTTCAATTAACGACAGATAAAATTTACCATCAATCTTTAATCAATAAAATAAGTATTAATCGCTTTTAATAAATGATTTTATCAGAACGAATTTTATTATAATTTCGAAAATAATTTCGCAAGAAGTCAATTATTTTCATAAATAATAAAATTCTTAGAAGGAATATTATTTATTAAAATTTTTCAAAACATTTGAATTTTATTAAAGTTATTGAAAACAGTAAATAATTATATAATTAATTATTAAATTAGTCAATCATTGAATTTTTTTAAAATTTTGAATCTGAAATTATTCCAAAATTGAAAGTAGCATTTAAATAAAAAAAATTGATAACAACTTTGGTCGAAATATAATAAAAATAATCCCTTCTCTTAATAAAAAAATAAATTATTTATCAATTCCACTGTTGCATGGAAAGAAATTAATTAAACTAACAATTCTACAACTCTTCAATATGTATAATGAACACACATTTTGAATTTTCAAATTTTTATTCTTTTATTTTTAAATATCTTTCATTCTTTTTTTTACTAATAAGAACAATTAAAAATTAGGAAAATTCAAAATCTGTTCTACTTGAAAATTGTCAATACTTATTTTCTCTAATACGTAAATATTCAATTTGAAATTTTCTGTTAGTTTTTACTTTGGATTATTTTATTTATTTTTTGAAAATAAATAACACCAGCGGTATTATAATTTGTTCTTCAAAAATTTTTTAAAATTAATTTACAACTTTGGAATAGAATTTATTAAGTTCTAATTACAATTGAAAACTTTTAGTTAATTATAATAATTATAATTACTCATTTGCAATAATTGTTATTATTCATTTGTAATTATTTATTCACTTGTAATAATAATAATTACTATTATCCAATTTTTCTTCTCTTGGAAAACAAAATTTCAAATTGAAATTTAACATGAAATTTTTTATTTTATAAATATTTGAGAGAAATATAATAAAAAATAAAAAGTATAAATATAATATTAATATAAATAAAAAAAAATACTTACGATGTAATTTAACCTCGGGATCAGGATCATTCATACTTTTCTCAACAATTGTAAGCCGATTACGTAATTGACCTGATTCCGCCTTTAATTCTTCCAACCTTCGCTCATTTTGTCGGGCCACTACCTACAAATGTTGAATTGTTATATTAAATTAAAACTCGACCTCCTTGCAAGTGAAAAAAAATTCTAAATGTAAATAAAGAATCTCATTCTTCATACCCAATGTTCATGCGCCTTCGTTTCAAGAGCGCCAATTTGACTCTTATACTCTCGTTCCTGATCAACTATTTCCCTCTTTAGTATTTCAATTTGCTGCCTTGAAGAGAAAAACAAAAATTAGTAAAATTTTTTTAATAAAATATTTAACACTAATTTAATATTTGAATATTTAATACTATTTCAATAATTTTTTGTCTTAATATTTAATATTTTTGTCGAATTGTTTTCAAATCAGTTTATAATCTTACTTGTAATTTTGAATTTCATTCTGCATTGTGTGTATCCTTTCGACTGTAGATGAAACTTCTCCTTGTTTCTCTAACCAAACTGCTTCTTCCCTAATACGAAATTTTATAAGTCATTAGAAAAAAAATTACTTCTATTAAATATATTAATAAACGAATAAATTAAATAAACATACTTTTGTCTTTGAGCTTCTTTTTCATTGAAAAAGTTCGTTAAGACTTCGAGTTTCGTTTCCGCATCCTTCTTTTCTTTTTCAAATGCTTTGCATTCTTCTGTTAACGAGAGAACTTCTTCTTTCGCTGATTTCACGTGTGCTGTAAAAAAAACATTATTAAATATTAAAAAATCATTTATATTTATTTAAAATTTAATTTTAATTCATTTATAAAGGAAATAAATTAATTATTGCAAATAAAATAGTTTTAATTTCATTTTAATTCCATTTACTTTATGGACGGGACAGTAAATTATTAAATATTTATTAATTCAATATGAATATTATTATATTTTTTAAGATTTAATAAAAAATTTTCTGAATGAAAAGAAATTCTACCTTCAAGTGATTTATGATTATTTTCAGCCTCGACCAATTGAACGCGAAGTTCGTAACGTTCTTCGGCGAGTTGAAGTGCCTCAGCTTTTGCTTGAACAGAATCGTAAAGTTTGTCAAAGTCCAAATTATTCGAATTTTCCTGATCAACAACTTCCAAAAGATGATTTACTTCCAATTCTTTAGCTTTCAGTGCCTGTCGCATTTGTGATCGTTCTTCCATTGTCTTAAAACGATAGAAAAGAAAAATTTTCACAATTTAAATTTTATTCAGGAAAAAGGAAAATTAAAGATTAAAATCAAAGACACACACCTCTCTCATTTGAAATTCCAATCGTTGAATTTTATCCTCCATCGACTGTTCCATGTAAATTTTCATATTTCCTTGCGTCTTCAATTCTTCCTCCAATCTTTTGACCTCGATTTCAAGTTCTTCGTATTTTTTCGTAAACGAAAGCAAATCTGACGATAAGCCATCACTCTAAAAAAATACAAATAAAATTGAATCCTTTTTTTTCATTAAACTTTTTTTTACCTACATTTTTTAAAAATCAATTTACTCTAATACTACGGTATCTTATTTTTACAAAATAAATAATTGAATACAAACTCAAAAAAAAAAATGAAATACAAATAAAACAAAATTAAACACAGAATCCAGAGAAGTGGAGAAAATAAAAAAAAACAAAAATAAATTCTCTCGACAAACCTCAAGCCTGTCAAATTCGAGCTGCATTGAAATTGAAATCAAAAACTTGAAATAACAAGTGTAAAATCTTTCGCATGCTTGATTTTTGTTAATATCATCAACTACCTCTTGTTTCTTTAAATTTAAGGCGTTTGTCAACGCTTCATTTTCAGCCTGTTGAGCGTTTAATCGAGCTTGTAGATCTTCAACTGATTGCGCCAATGGATTATCTTCTTTATTCGATGACAATAATTCACGTAACATACGTTCCAATTCTAATCCTGCCTCCGTTGCCGACTCCAATTCCTTTTCCAAAGTCACTACTTGGTCCTCCATCTCCAAATTTGTATTCTGAATTTTGAAAAAATCATTAATAAGTATTTAAATTAAATTATTAATTAATTATTCATATAAATTATGTAATAAATTAAATAAAAGGAAAACAGTTTAGAAAAAATAAATTCAGTTGTAAAAATATTTTTTTTGTATATGTAATATAAAAGCAATACATAAATATTCAAATACTTATGGAACATAAATGGAAAAAATATTGTCTGAATTTATTATTAATAAGAATAATTAAAAAAAATAAATAAATTTACCTGTGCAGCTTCTAAATCTGCTTTCAAAGAAGCAACCATTTCATTTGATCCAAATGATTCGTCTTCGATTGAATTCAACTAAAGAAAAGTTAATTAAAATAACAATAAGATGGGCAATATTTGAAAAATAAATAAAATAAAACAAAAGATTTAGTAAAAAATGTAATTTAATTTTATTTTATTTAGTAAAAAATGTAGAAAAATATTTTAATATTAAAATTAATTAATGAAACGTTAAATTTGTTTTTTGACGACGAACATAACAAACCTTAAAATTATCCAGACATAACTAAACGTAAGAAAAATAATTTTTAAAAAATAAAGCACATTGTATATTTTAAATCAGAAAATAGAAACAAAATGCATACCTTTGTTTTTGTGCATGTTAAATTTTCATTCAACATGGCGCATTCCTTTGACGAGACCATTAATTCCTTTTCCAATTTATTTATTCTTCCGATAAGTTGATTGTCCCGTCTTGCATTCTACGAATTTTAAATTAAAAACAAAATTAACATTAAGTGAAATGAAATTTTTTCTTAAAAAAAGAAATTATTATTTTTCAAATTAAAAAGCATTCGATTTTCTTTTTGACTTATAAAAGTATAAAAATAAAAAAGAATAAAAAAATTAAAGTATAAAATTTATAAAATTTATAAATTTTTATATTTAATTTTAAATTTATATTTATAAATTATAACACTAGAAGATTAAAATAAAAAAAATAATTGGTTAAACAATAGTTGAAAAAAAGTCGATTTGTTTTTCACTAATATTTCTATTTTGTTACCAGTTTTTTTATTACTAAAAGAATAAGATGAAAAATTACCTCGATGTAGTAATAACCGAGAGAGAAGACAAGAATAGTGATAGAAGTTATTAGAAGGTAGGTCAAAAATTCCCAATAATTTTTACCCATATTGATAACGTTTGCAATGGAGATATCGTCATTATGAACGACATTTTCCTGTAAACAAAATTGTGGTCAGTGAAAATGAATAATAAATAATTCATGCTTTGTTTATTTTTTTTTTAATCGAATTTACAAAATCGATTGTAATTAACATATTTATGAAATTTAATGAGACTTACTGTTTGACAATTAGAGTCTTTTTCGCACACATCAGGAGGTAAAACTGCAAAATTCAGAAATTTAATAAATCAATTAATTTAATTCAATAAATATATTTAAAAACATAAAAAATAAATTAAAAAATACAAATAAAATGAAAATATTAAAAAATTAGATAGCTGAACGTTTTAAATATAATTATAGCTTTTTCAAATACTGCAAATTTTTTTAAAATTGTTTCCTTTTTCAATTTTTTAATAAACCATTTTTATACAATTTCAATGTTTTAAAAACCTATTTTTCAAATTTTTGTTAAGTTTCGTTTCTCACTTTTCTTAAATTTTCATTTTTTTCAAATTTTATTCTTTCAAAATATTTATATTTTTGTAGATAAATTAAAATAAACAGTAATAAATAAAAATTATATTTTTATTCTTCAAAGTTTTTTTCACTGCAATTTTGTGAACTCTATTCTTTTAGTTTTTTTTTAATTAACTTGAATTTTCTTTCTATAAATTAAATTTATTTCTTCATTTAAATTTATAGATTGATCAATTTTAATTTAATAAACTTTAGCTATTTTTAGATGCGTAGAATGGGAAATTTTTTTTTACATACCCATAGGAATTGGAGCTTCTTCCACCGAGTCTTGTTTATTAAAAACTGCCAAATTCTCCGCTGATTCGGAAATATCATTCCCTAATAATTTATCACTCTGTGACTCTTCTGTAAATGGAAATTAAGATTTATAAATAAATCTTACAATTTTTCTAATTTTTAAAATAAACAATTTCTGAGATTGGAATTAAATTAATTTTTGAAATTTATTAGAAATGGAAATTCCTTGAAAATAATTTTTTTTCAATTTGAAATTGTTCCAATGTTAACACTGAATTTCAATTTTGAAATAATTTCAGATTCGAAAATTTAAAAAAAATTCAATTATTCACTAATTTACTTTTTAGCTATAAAAATATTTATTGTTTTCGAAAACTTAATTTATAAAATTTTTCGCAGAAATTAAATTATTTTCAATGGAATTTCAATAAAATTTCTTAAAAGAATTCAATTATTTTTAGAAATATGAATAAATTATTCGCAGAAAATTTTGGAGAGTTTTGATTAAATTCTTTAGGAGAATTGAAATATTTTCAATACAATTTTAATTATGTTCTAGGAAAAAATTAAATTATTTTCGAAAATTTTAATTAAAATTATTTTCTTTTTTTCTCAGTAAAAATTTTTCTTTTTTTTTTCTTTCTTCGCAAAAATTGTAGGTATTATTTTTAAAAATTTCAATAAAATTCTTCATAAGAAACAAATTTAATTAAATATTTTGAAAAAATTGAATTCTTTTCCTAAATAATAAAATTTTTTTGCAGAAATTCAATTATTTTGAAAAATTTTGATTGAATTCTTTTTAAGAATTGAAATATTTTTAATATAATTTTAATTAAATTCCTCGAAAAAATCAATTATTTTCAAACAGATTGCAGAAATACAATAAATTTAAAGATTGTTATTGTCAAAAATAGTTCATTGTAAATTTGAAAAAGACACTTACGAGAATGAAAATGCGACGTTTCGTCAAAATTCAGTAAATTTCGATTACTAGGCAATTCATTAAATGTGGATGCTTGTTCCGCCGACAAAATTTCTTTTCTTGGCTCCACATCATCATGAAAATGTGGCTCCAAACTATCTAGAGGATCATTTTTTGAAGAAATCACACTACTATCATTATTATAAACAAACTCTTCATTCATATAAATATCGGTGTCATTATTGGCACTTGAATAATTATTATTATTATCATCATTAGAAACATCATTATTTATTTCATCAGAAATATCTCCAGTTTCATTAATTTTCATTTCTTCACGATTAAAATCAAAATTAATATCAGTACTTGTATTTTCTAGAAGAATATTTTCACTATTTACATTATTTACATTCTCTACCGATTTCAATTTATGTAGAGAAAAAATATCAAATCCTAATTTGGAATTTTGATTAGTTTTACTTTCAGATTCTTCATTTTTCATATTCGCATTGTCATCAATTTGTGAATTATTTATATTATTATTATTATTTTCGTCGTTTAATATTAAAGTTTCTCGTTCATCAATTAAAGGCACTTGATTAGTGGCGGTTGTTGTCTCTGTGATGAGATCTGGAAGAGGAATTTCTTTCTCCATTGGAGAATCATTGGTGAATTTTGATTCATAATTTTCAATTATTTTTGAATCTTTAGTTTCAGTTTCGGTGGCAGTTGGAAATTTTTCTTCGATTGGAATTTGTTGCTCGGGGGGATGAATATTTTCTATTGTTTCATTTTCCTCTTTTTCCTCCGTTTCTTGTACTTCTTTGGCTCCTTCTTCTATTCTTTCATTTTTATCCTCTTCTTCATTTTTATCACCTTCTTCTTTTATTTCTTCTTTTGTTTCACTTTCTTCTTTTATTTCGCTTTTTTCTTTTTCTTCCTCGCCTTGTGTTTTTACTTCTTCATTTATTTCTTTTTCTTCTTGTTTTTTTATTTCATCCTCCGTTTTATTTTTTTCTTCTTCTTCTAGTTCTTTACTTTCATTTTCCTCACTCTCTTCATCATTCACCGATTCATCAGAAACTGTTTCATCCGGCAATGTTTTCTCCGGTTCTTGTACAATTTCTTTTTCTTTCTCCTCTTCTTTTAATTCTTTCTCTTCAATTTTTTCCTTTGTTTCAGTTTCGTCATTAATTTTATCCTCAATTGACGGAATATTTTCATCTTCAGTCTGTGAAACATTTTTATTTTCATTCAGTGGGATATTTTCCTCCTCTTCATTTTTCCCCTCTGCCTCGGTTTCCTCATTAATTTTACCCTCAATAGGCGGAATATTTTCATCTTCAGTCTGTGAAATATTTTCATTTTCAGTCAGTGGGATATTTTCCTCTTCTTTTTCATCATTTTCATTAATATTCATGGATTCGACTTTTTCTAATTGTTGAGTGACCTTATCGATAACTTGAGTAACAAATGAAATTGTCGACGATACTAAACTTGGATGAACACTTAAAATTGGCTCCTCTTCTGTTGCAACATCCTCAATTGATTGTGATGATGAATAATCATTTGTGGAATCATCAATTGCCAATGGAATTGTTGTTCCATCAATAACCTCATAGGATGGCGAAACATTTTCTGGAACTGGAATTAAGTGCTCTAAATCTTTAGCTGATGAATTAATAACTGAAATTTCAGGTGATTTCTCAGTAGGCTCATCATTCTCCTTTTCAATTTCATTCTTTGGAATATCTTCTATTGGTTTTGTAGGCACTTCAAATTTCAGTACACTTTTCATAACCGTATATTCTCTTATCATTTTCATTGGGGCATAGCCCCGTTTGCCAAGAATCTACGATTGGAAAAAATTATTATTAAATCACATTTTTCATTTTATTCATTACTTAAAAATTGAAAATATTAAAAATAAAATTTCTTCTCATTAAAAAATGAAAATAAAATTCTAATTAAGGCAAATAAAATAATCTGTCGTATTTCCAACAAAATGATAATGTTCTGTACACGTCACTTATTATTATTTAATTATAGAGAAAAGTCCATTCAACTTTCAGATTAAATCATGTAAATTAAATATTATGTTCATCAGAAAAAAAAATCCTAATTAAAATTTTAATTTATATTCTTTTGCTGTTTTTTTTTTAATAAAATTAAAAGTCATTCTTACCTCGACACCCCAAAGATCAGGTCGGTTACCTGCACTTTTACTGTAAACTTTAACCTCGGTATTTGCTTGAAACGAAAGTATGTCTTCATCATTGGAATTATATTTTAGTAATGTCTTCGCCAAAGAAACGGGTTCTGTTTATTGTATGGAAAAAAAATAAATTTGTGAAATTGTATTATATAGATTTCTGATAGATTGATAAAACAAGTTTATATATAAAGTATAAATAAGAATACGAGCTGTCAATCATAGTTATGAGATAAGGTAAAGTATGGCTTCAATTACCAGAACACTTTTCATCATGACATAGTCGCTTATCCGATATAATTGCTGAACATGATGGTATTTGATTAATTGTATAAATAATTAATGAAAGGATTAATATCATAAATGGGGTAATTTTCGTCATATTGTTTTACAAGTAAACTTCCACATCACTACAAAAGTCACACGCACAGCCTTGGACGCACGTCGCATTCATGGATTATTTACACAGGAGATGGGAAACTCACTTCATTATTCTTTACTTTACAACTTTATAAGAAACTCTAGATTTTTTACCTTTTATTTATAATTATTAATGTTTAAAAAATTAAAACTTAAAACAAATTAGATTGTAACATTTTTCACCTGTCGAATTAGTAAACAAATTATGAAACTAAAAAATTGAAATTAAATAATTGTTTGCTGTGTTGACAGGTGGACACTCGAATACGACTATATAAACAATATTTTACATTACATTAACAAACTTATTTGATAAATAACATAATTATATCATTATAAATGATTTACAATTATATTACAACTATAAAACTGATTAATAATGGCTTTAATTAATTAATTTAAGTGAAAAAACGTTAGTTCCTGAATTGTCCGCAAGATATAGGTAGATGTCGCCCCGAAAAACGGCCATTTTTGGTAGTTTTTGACTTTTCATTGGATTCGCCTTTATCAAAACTAGCGCTCTTATTGGTTACATTCAAATTTGCGCGGGGACTAGCCGACCAATAACCGTGATTCATGCCCTTTATACATTATTATACTCCCATTGGTCGGCTTAGTACCGCGCAAATTTGAATTCAACCAATGGGAGCTCTAGTTTACAGAAAGGCGAATACCATGGAAAACTCAAAAACTACCAAAAAAGACCGTTTTTCGGGGCGACATCTACCTATATCTTGTGGACAAACCCGGAACTAACGTTTTTTCACTTAAACTAATTAATTAAAGCAGTTATTAATTGATTTTACTATTGTATTAAGATTGGAAATCATTTATAAGGATATAATTAAGTTATTTATCAAATAAGTTTGTTAATATAATACAGAATATTTTTAAGCGAAAACTACAATTAACATAACCTAAAATTTTAGTAAACATCAGAAGGCACATAAGGTAAACATAAGGTAAATAAATCAAATAAATTTACTTCTCAAAATCATTTTTTTAAAAATATTTTAAAATTTTTAAATTGATTTAAAATCCGATTTTACATATAAATAAAAAAATGCATACATAGGGTAACTGCACCAATTGCCGAGGGTGCTCCAATTGTCGAGGATAATAATTTTCTTTTTTAGATAAATAGTATAATATATAATATTTAAGAACAAAAAAAATTTCTAAATAATCTTTGTATTTTCAACTGTATATTTATATATACAAATTTCGTAGCGATTCTACTAAAATAATTATTTAATTAATATTATAATTCACTGCTGTGAAATTTACACGAATCTCCATTTTCTTAATACTTCAGGTTGATTAAAACAGATTTTTATAAATGCAAATTAAACGTATTTATAATGACTTTTTGTGTACAAAATTATTATTATAATTTTGTACACGAACTAAATTAATTTTGTATGCATGTTTTTTTGTTAAAAAAAAATATTTAATATTTTTTAAAAGCAAATCATCGGTATTTGGTTCCTTTTTTTTGACAGTTCCATTTTTCGAGGAAATGACTCGAAAATTGGTGTAGTCACTTTTTTCGCTGATGCACCATTTATCGATGGTTAAGTGTTTATTTACTAAATGTCAAACATAAATGCCAAACATTTATAGGTACAGAGAAAAAGAAAAAAAATGCTCAAAAAATTTACAACCAACAGAAAATAATCAACCAAAAAAACGAGGAAGACCGAAAAAAAATTAATAAAAAAATGCATTATTTAAAACTAAAAAATTTTGTACTATAGTTTAATTATAATTAACCATTATATTTACAGTTCGTAATAAAAGTTTATTTTATTCGTTTACAAATTTAATGTGACTTAAATTAATTTATTTTTTCAATTAATGTCTGATTAACAAAATTGATTAAATTTAGTTAACTTATATTTATAAAAGTTTAAAAAACAGTTAAATAATTTTCTGTCCTGTATCATCTACTATAAAAATGTTTTATATCGATATTATAAATTATTCAATTATAGTTAAATAAATATATTTGTTTTCTGGTAATGTTCTATAATATTTTTATCGAAAAAATAAATATCTACTCGATTTTCTAATATCTGTACAGGTTAATTGTTAGGTTATATTGGGTTATATGTTTAAAAATGTCATACCCTCGACAATTGGAACAGACCCTCGAGAAATTAGCACAAGACCATCGACAAATGGTGCTTTTGCTCGATTGACTTTTAAATATATTTTTTGCTTAACAATTTAGTTTATATTAAAAAAATAAATATGAATATTAAACATTATTAGATCCTTCGTCCAAATATACAAAAATCAAATTTTAAAGTGCATTTACTTCCGAGAAAAAAAATGTCAAAGTCACATGTTGCCTAAAACCCTCGACAATTGGTACAGTTACCCTATATGAATAAACATTTAATAAAAATAATAAATTAAATAAAATTTAATAAAGTAAAAAATATAGAAAGTATTGAAAAATACACTTTATATTTTTCTCTGAAATATTAACTAATTACTTTTATAATACTAAATCAGGCGAAAATAATTAAATTGGAAAAAAATACTTAAATTCAAGAATTAATCGGTGTTTATTGCAATTTATATTTTCCATTAAATAAATCGTAGCGTACAGGAGAAATTTAATTATATTATTTCAGTGTATAACACATTTTGTTTTATATGACTAGATTATAAAAAAAGCAATGAAGTTTAGGAATTCAACAATGTTAAATATTATTAATAATATTAATTATTATTAGTATTAATATTATTATTACTATTGTTATTATTATAATAATAATTATTCTTATTATTGCTATTATTTTTATCATTAATGTTTATTATTATTTGTTTGTAATATTTTTTTCATTTTCATTATTATTATTATTATTATTATTTGTATTATAATTATTATTATGCATCACAAGTGTGGAGTGTAGAAATATCTAATTAAAGTTTGACTGTACCTCAATTATTATATTGAACTCCAAATTAAAAAATACGAACTATTATCAAGTACCTCATTATTCAGTCCATCGCTTTTACACACTGTTTAAAATAGCTAAGCACGCAATTTTTCTTTTTTTCAGTAAAAACAAGAAACACACAGAAAAAAACAAATTGAAAATTTTCAACTATCAACTACAAGTATTTAATTATATATAATATATATTGACATTACTTCTTCAACCCTTGGGACCGAATCTTTGATAAAATTCATTGCAAACAAAAACTATTACACAAAAATCAATTGTATAAATATAGATATTTATATACAATAACATATCATATATACGTAGATTTCTCATAATATCATCAAAATACAATTTTTTTTTAAATATAATTTTTAAAATATACTTTGAAATACAATTTGTTTCAATATCTCGTGTGTAATACAATTTTTACTTTAAATATATATTTTAAGAGACGAAAAACGACGAAAATTACCAAATATAATTTTTTTTCAAGTTAGCAAAATATTTTCGAAAATTTTGAATATTTATCCTTTTCTTTTGAAAAAGGGGAAAAAATATATTTCCAAAAAATATAGTTTTACTACATAGAATATTTTTTGAACAAAAATACTTTTATTTTGTTTTGAAAAAAAATGAAGAGCAAAAATATTTTTGTACACAAAGTATATTTAATATTTGCAATTCTTGTTTATGCGACGGACATGCTTTTAATATTTATAAAACTGTTTCTAGAAAAACGAGTGCGCAAGATAAAAACTAAATTGTGCTTTTCTATTTTTCTCTTTTTCCTTTTTACTTTATAATCTCACGTGAAATGTATGAAAAATACTGTCTGCTTTCAAAAATCTCAATAGTCGATCGAATTTCTTTAAATCGTACTATAAATCTGAATTGTTTTATTTATTATTATTCTAGGATGGCATAAATGTTACTATATTTTTGTGCAATTAGATTGATTCTTCATTTAAAATAGTTTAAAGAAAAATTATTCGACAATATAAAAACGTAGTAATTTAAAAAATTTTAAAAATTACAATTTAAAAATCAAATTTATTTCATAATTAATTTTAATATTCAAATCAATTTATTTCATATTTAAAAATCTTACTTTTATAGCAATTAAACTAACTTTTCATATTCAAAAATTAAAATTTATTAATTCGATTTTAATATTTAGTTAACATTGGTTAACATTATTTTTAAATAAAAAAAATTGTGATAAAAGAATTCCTTTTTGCGGAAAAAGTAGTTTGAAAATTGACGACGATATTTAAAAAACAGTTTACACTTGTTTTATAACAAGAAAAAAGTGATTTAACATTTCAGTTAAAAAAGAATTTCCGTTATGAAATTTTCGTTGAATTTTTAATTGAATAAGCTTCTTGAGACGATTAAAATCGGCGAGTACAATAATTATGGAGTAAGCACAAATTACGCTACATTATACATTATACATTGTCGAGAGTTCTAAAAATTTCTTTGAAAATTGAAAAACTTTTAAACACTAATTGAGTGATTTCGTCACGTTTTGCGGTTTTTTTTTCGAATTACCGGCAAGTCAAAGGCATTGTTATTATTAATACTTCTTTTTTCGTTACAATCTCACCATTTAAATCGATCAGAAAAAAAATTTTCTACTTTTTGCTATGGGAAACCGAAAAAAAATCGTCAAAGGAAAAAAATACGAAATTATAGAAATACTTTCACTATCAACAAAGAAAAGAAAATATTTTAAAGAATGAGAAAAAGGAATAAAGAAGATATTAGAATAAAAAAAGTGGTAGAATATAAAAAAAGTGGAAAAATACAAAAATAAGTAAAGACGACGCGACGGATAATAAAAAAAGATTTTTCACTCATAAAATTCCTTTTCTAATTCAATAACACTATTTTCTACATCACGATGGACAAATATTCGTATAACGCTCTCTATACTGGATTATATAAATAAACCTCCAGTATTTTCGTGAATATTCTCTAAAGTGGAAAATACATCTCTACTTAGATATTATAATAGTTATTTACAATTTTTTTTTCTTTTTTTTTGCGGCAATTGAGAGAAAAGCGAAGAAACAAACATAACTTTAACTCTCCCTTTATTTAATTCACACACAATTTCTCTTCATTCATTTAAACATAAACATTCTACACTTATAAAATTGGAACAGCAAAAATACAAAGTTCAAATGGCACAAAAAACGATTCCAATGCACCAGAGACTCAAACTTAATCTCTACTTTATATTTATTTATATACATAACTATTCACGAATAAAATTCTCAACTATTCAATAATTAAGTCAATAATTAATTTTTGACTTGGGAAAAAAATGTCCTCACGAAAAATTATTTCCGGAAAAGTTGTTGTATTTTCGTTTTCATTTTTTGAATTGCGAATTAATTTAAATAATTTAACAATTTAGATTAGAATCATTAGAATTTAATTAAAAATTTATTTAATTTTATTATTTAACAATAGAAAGTAGTTTCATATTTTAAAATTTAGATTATATTTAAAAATCTAAAGAATTTTGTAATTTAACAATTGAAAGGTTTTTAATTTCATAGTTTAAAAATCTAAAGTATTTCATAATTTAACAATTGATAATATTTTTATAATTTAGAAAATTTACAGTAATTTTCTATTCTAAGAATAAAATTTAACATTTTACAGTAATATTTTATAATTCAAATCTGTTTCATAATTTAATAATTCAGAAGTTTTTTTAAAATTTTTTTCTTGGCTTATTTTATTTATTTTTTATTTTTCTAAAAGAATAATTTTGAATCAAATTGATATTTCACTCAAAAATTAGTGCTTTAAAAGAATACAATTTCTATTGTAATTGTTTCGATTGTAATTCACTTTTCCAATAATATTTTCTCGTATGGAAGATTAAAATTTCTTTTTTTAAATAATCGATTAATAAAATGCAAATTCTTTTTGTTTGGTTTTAAAATATAAATAAAAAAAATTAATATATACCTTAAAATCGATTTCAATTTTTGGGAGAGAATATTCCACTGTATTTTCGGATGTGAATTTTTTCCATTCTCTTTCTTTCTTTTTTTAACTGTATCCGAATTGCACTTTACGACATTGACAGAGCCATTTGATAATTCGTGCGTTCCTTTCGACGATACTCGGTTGATCGCATGACCTTTGGTTACTTTCTTCATTTCCCATTCCAGTACTGCAATTATTACTTTGCCATTGATTGCCAGGATTGCCTTGTGTATTGCCAACATAAGAATAAAGTCCAAGCGCCGAATCAACTGAACTCACACTGTCAAAAAATACGGGCGACGATGATTTTGAATCGGGTTCAGTAATACGTTGATAATTCTCCGAATCAAGACCCAAACGATCGAAGAAATTCTCCAATTGGGTAAATGAACGAGCTGGTCGTGAGGGTTTTTTCGTTGAACGACCACTTTCGTGACGCCAATATCTATCGCTGATATCGGATTTTGATCTTAATATTGGCCGTCCACGTCCCTCCTTCCAACCGTCCGAAAACCTGTCAATTTTTAATTCATTACAATCAATAATTCTCGGAAGAAAAAAGAAAAACGAATAAGAAAAAATTTATAATATTAATAATCGTTGTGTTCTGATAATAATCTGTTTGCAGTTAGTTTTTGTTTGCTACTTTGTTTTGACAATAATTGAATTCTTTCGAGAAATTTTATTAAAATTGTTTTGAAAATAATTCAATTCTTGTAAGGAATTTATAAAAATAATTTTCTTCGACAGAATATTATTATTATTATTTATGAGAATAATTGAATTTTTGTTAAAAATTTTTGAAAATAAAGAAGAATAATTAATTATATATTTAATATATTAATTTTTTAAATTTTGAATCTGAAATTATTCAAAAATTAATTTATATTTGGAAATTATAAATTTTTGTACTTCGCAAAATAATAATAAATAGAATACCGTGTAAAAATATTAGACGAATAAAAAAATACAAGTTAATAAAATATCGGAATAAAAGAAGAAAAAATGAAAAGTCAAATTAAGTTAAATTTAGAAATGTTTTGAACGAATAAATAAATAAATAAATTTTTTTTTATCAAATAATTAAAATTGATAATTTAAGGAAAAACTATGATGAAATAATTTCCAAATTGAATGATCGGGGGAAGATAGGAGAAAAATTTGAAATTTTGATATTAAATTAACATGCTATTGAAAAATAAAGTGACCTTGAATTGCAAGTGGGACTGTATTCGGTTTGACTATTGCTACTATTTGATTCAGGACTGTAATGTCTAACGACAGACGATGGTGTTCCACTGCCATAACTACTTTTTCTCGATCTGTCTTTCTCAGTGGAATGTTGAGTAGATGCTCCGCTATCTCTTCGTATGTGACTCCAAACATCCTGTAAACAAAAGCAATTCATTCAATTGACGACTGTTTTTGCATACAAATTTACAGATTTTTATCTTATTCACAAAAGAATAAAATAATGCACTTAAAGGAACAATTTCAAATCAATCAACAATTAATCTAAATTATTATTAAATTTATAATTAATAAATGTAGGACTAGTATATATATTAATAATCCTTTGTTCCGGATGTCTATTCATAGTTTAAACTCAGTTATTTTTTATTACTTTTTTCTTTATGTTTTTAATATACTTTTTCTAACTTTTATAATTTTAATCTAAAATAATTTAATTCTAGTATAAAATTCTATCAAGATTTTTAAAAATAATTGAATTCCTGCGAAGAATTTTACTCTTTATAAAAATAGTTGAGATCTTGCAAAGAATTTAATTAAAATAGTATATAGATTAATAGAAAATAATTAAATACTTTAGAGGAATTTAATTAAAATTGTATTAAAAAGAATTAAAGTCATTAAAAGAATTTCATCAAAAATTGAATTTTTTCTAGAAATTAAAAAAAAGAAATTGATGGAAAATAATTGAATGTATTTTTCTTTAGTAATATTCAAATTTAATTACTATAATTTTAATAATTGTTTTTTAATTCGACAAACAGGAATAAAATTGAATCTATACAACGAAATGAAAAATAAAATATCAATTCGTCTATAATTTAACTAATGACGAGAATAAAGAAAAATAAAATAGAAATTTAACCTGAATTCTCGGTGGTGGTTCGCTTCGATGTGTACAATGACCGGAAGAACCACCAGAGTCCCTGGCAGTTGCACCATGACTTAATTTACTGGATCCCGATGATTTTTGTGTTCGGCCACCGGATGATAAAACGCTGCTTGCATCACCGCCACCAGAGCCAAGTGATCTTCGAATATTCCTAGAACTAATGTTCATAAATTATTAACTTTATTAAAGTCTGTGGTTTTTCATTCTGTCCGTTCGCAGTATGAAGTTAGTTGTTAGTTATCATTTGCGAATTATTATCATGATTTTTTTGTTTGTTTATATTTTTCGTGATGTTTTGACATTTCCGATGTTATGTTATGCGGTAGTGCGGGTGTTTTTAAAAAACGTTAAATTGTGACAAGAATTATTGTGTTTGAAAAATCGTGGAAAAATATCTGGTATCAGGCGAGAGGTTACCGTTTTCAGTGGAAAAAAAACTGTAGATTGGTAAATTCTAATTATTAATTAAAATTTTCTTCTTAATTAAATCATTTATATTATTTCATTTTATTTTGTTAAATAAAAATCTCAAAATAACTTAAAAACAAATTTTATTCGTATATCTTATTATTATTATTATTATTTTTTTTTATTTATAATTATAATTGATAATATTTATTGTATTTTGATTTATTATTATTATTGAAAATTTTATGCATTTTTAAAATCTAAAAAAACTGAAATATCGAATTGTCAATAAAAGTTGTATTATTTTCAATTTTCAACGATTATTAATTTTAATTAAAAAATTCAATTTTCCTGAATCAATAAAAAATATCGTTCTAAATTTTATTACATTGGTCGTTTTCGTAAATTACTATTCAATAATATTAATTATTCAAAATAATTAATTTTTTAATATTTAATTTTTCAAAAATTTAATTAATCTTCAATTATTAACTTATACAGTGCAGGATCTAGAGTCTAAATTTTTTGGGAAGAGCGATCCCTTTAGTGTGTGCTTTTTTTGATTGCTATTATGAGTGATAATAGCTCCTGGTTCTTTTATGTTTAAAAAATTGTTCGAAATAATTAATTTTTCAAAAATGAAAAAAAAAAATTCAATTGTTTCAAATTTTAATTAATTTTAAAAAAATGATTTTACACAAAAAATTTATTTATTTTTAAAAATAATTGCAATTCAAAATCTATTTGAATTTAGTATTTTAATAAATTACTTTTTTTATTATGTTAAAAATAAATTGTTTTTTTAAATATTTTATTAATTTTTTACAATATTTGAATTTTAAATAATTCAAAAGTCAATTATTAATTATTCAAAAATAAATCAAACAATTTTAATTAATTCAAAAATAAATTATTCTGTTTTTAATAAAAATTTAATTATTTTGAAATCATTGAAAAATGTAATTGTTCAAAATAATAATTAATTATTCAAATATCAAAAATACAATTAATTCAAAATTAAATTATTTCATTTTAAATAAAAAATTGAAATTAATTTATTGGCACTTACGTAAAAAATAAACGTATTTCTGTGTGTGTTTGTGTGTAGAATTAACTTATAAGTGCTTTCTTTTGCAAGAATTAAACTTATCGTTATCTTCTGTTCAAATAAAATATAAAATGTTAACGTTTTTTTTAACACAATATTATAGAAAATAGATTTTCTAAAAAGAAAAAAAAATAATGAACTTAAAAAAAATACTTTAGGCACCGCCTTTCATTTCAACTATTTAAATACTATCAAGTCTTTTAAAGACTATATAAAGTCTTCAAATCATGAAAAATACATAATAAAAAATTGAATTATTCCGAAATAAAATTCAAAAATCAACAAAACAATCAATTTACAATTAGGGCCATTTGGGGTAATTGTAAACAAGGGATAAATGTAAACAATAGATGTTTCAACTAAATTTACAAATTTAAAAATTAGTTTTAAAAACTTGAAAAAAATTGTTCATAAATTTAAATTACTTTAAAAATATCCAATTAAAATTATTAAAGAAACACAATTATTAAACAAAAAATAAAAAATAATTCTTCAGAAAAATTTAATTAGGGTTTCCAAAATTGATTTAATGATTTTTAGCGAAAATTGAATTATTTTCATAAATAATGACATTTTTTGAAGAAATTCAATGATTCTCAAATTTTTTGCAAGAATTTAAATGAAATTCAATATATTAATTTTAATTAAAGAGGCATTTCACGTCAGAAATATCACGATTTGCAAAGGGTATGCCGATTTTCGCAAAAGTTTGTGGGATTATAGTTCTATATAAGAGACTTCTTTCCCCCAAATTTTTTCAAAAAAAATTCAAAATTGTTGAAGATACGCCATTTTGAATTTTAATATTAATTTTATAAAATTTTGAATATCTCGGAATATTGTTTATGGATTTTTATGAAATTTACACATTTTTCAGGTAAAAGTATGTACTTTAAAATGCAAATAAAGTTAATAAAAAAAAAATTAATTTTTAAATAAAAAATTAAAAAAAATTTTTTAAAACAATTTTTTGTTTATTTACTCCTCTCTGAGAAAAATGTTATTAACATATTTGGATTCCTTATGAATTCACCTTTAATTTCATAAAAAAAAATTGATGGAGACTCAACTGGTTCCAGAGATATTGAATTTTTTGTAAAAAAATAGTCATAGTTACAGCAGCAATGCACGACTGCGGTAACGTACTACGCGACTTGTGCAGTATGGTGCTATGGCGCGGCGACGCTTTTTTTTACAAAAAATTCAATATCTCCGGAACCAGTTGAGTCTCCATCAATTTTTTTTTATGAAATTAAAGGTGAATTCATAAGGAATCCAAATATGTTAATAACATTTTTCTCAGAGAGGAGTAAATAAACAAAAAATTGTTTAAAAAAATTTTTTTTAATTTTTTTATTTAAAAATTAATTTTTTTTTATTAACTTTATTTGCATTTTAAAGTACATACTTTTACCTGAAAAATGTGTAAATTTCATAAAAATCCATAAACAATATTCCGAGATATTCAAAATTTTATAAAATTAATATTAAAATTCAAAATGGCGTATCTTCAACAATTTTGAATTTTTTTTGAAAAAATTTAGGGGAAAGAAGTCTCTTATATAGAACTATAATCCCACGAAGTTTTGCGAAAATCGGCATACCCTTTGCAAATCGTGATATTTCTGACGTGAAATGCCTCTAAAATTAAAAATATTGAAACATAAAATTATTAAAGAAGATAGGAAACAAAAAAGTAAATTACAACTAAATCAAAGAAGATAGAAGAAGAAGATATTAATATAGAGAGAAGATATAAAGATAGAAGATGTTAATTGAATAATTTTATATTTCTAAAAAAAATGTATTTTTCATTCTTTCCAGCATTTCCATTTTTTAAATTTATTTAAAACATTATAACGTCATAATAATAATTAAAATACCCTTAAAAATAATAATAATCATTTTAAAGAATTGCTATTTTAATAGAAAAAATATATTTATATATATATTAAAACATAAAATTATTAAAATATTAAACAAAAAAAAAATATAAACTGCGAACAGATATTTTCAATTAATAAATAAAAATTTTAATTTATTTATATAAAAAAAGAAAATGCAAAAATATATTAATTAATAGAAGATGAAATAATTTCTTTAATGGCATTTGAACCATAATGACGTCACAATTTGTTCACAGCATTTGCTAAAAAATTGTGACATCATAATGGTTCAAATTCGCTGAAAAAATAAAGTTTTAATTATTTAAAATAAAACGTTGAAAAAAAAATGCACGCGCGCTCGCGCGCGTCAGTTTTTGCTAGTTATTAAGAAAACAAAAATTGAAAATCAACAGTTCGCAGATAAGAGAAAATGTCACTTCACTGATTTCTAAAAACAATTTATTACCACTATAAAGTAAATAAACTTGTCCAAACGGTTGATAATGAGGTATCTTAAATACCTTTTTAAGTTGTGTTTTAATTTTTTTTCACTTTTTCAATTTTTTCCCTTTTTTTTTGAAGATTATTCCAGCGAGTAGAGTTATTAAAAAAAAAATTCAGTTGATAAATTGACAACTTTACAGGATTATTAAAGTCACTTCTCGTAAAATTGTGAATGGAAATAAATATAATTATTAATTTCTTATTATTAATTTAATTAAATTATAATTAATATTTTTTATTAATTAAATTATAATTAATTCTTTTTTATTAATTTTTTGATTCGCAATTATTTATTTATTGTTATTTAATTTTTAGATGGATTTGGACTAAGTTAATGTAATAAATTCATTTTTATAACAGTAATAATAATAATAATAAAAAAGTAAAATATTATCTGTCTTTTAATGATTTGAATTTTAAAATTAATGAAATTCTAATTTAATGCTTTGAAGATTAAAAGAATTACAAAAATTACTTAAACCAAATTGTTTTCAATTCAAAATATTTAATATTTTGTTTATAATTTTGAAATTTAAATAAAATAATAAAAATATTTAAATTCTTATAAAGAGTTTATTAACATTTTTGAAAATAATTGAAATTCTGCAAAAAATGGTATAATTAACATTTTTTTAAATAAGTCAATTCTTTCGAGAAATGTTATTAATTATGAAAAAAATTGTAATCTTGTAAATTCTTATAAAGAATTTAATCGAAATTTTTCAAAATAATTGAATTTCTTCAAAGAATTTTATTACTTAGAAAAAGAATTATAATTTTTTTCAAAATAATTCAATTCCTGGGAAAATTTTATAAATGATGAAAAAAGTTGAAATCTTGCTGTGAATTTTATTAAAATGTTTGAAAATAATTGAATTTTTTCGTGGAATTTAATTAAAATTGTATAGAAAATATTTTAATTTTCATAAAGATTGTAATCAAAATTTTTCAAAATAATTGAATTTCTGCGAAGAATTTTATCAAATTTTTAAAAATAATTGAATTCCTGCAAATAATTTTATTGGAGTTTTTCAAAGTAATAACATTTTTTCGAAGAAGTTAGAAAAAAATTTAATCAAAATTTTCCAAAATAATAAATTGTTAGCAAAGAATTCTATCAAATTTTCCAAAAGCATTGAATTTCTTAAAAAAATTTTGATAAAAATTTTTTAAATTTTTTAAAAATTATTTTCAAAAATATTTACAAAATTCTCTAAAAGAAATTAAATTATTTTAAAAAATTTTGATCATATTCTTTATATGAATTCAATTCTTTTCAATACAATTTTAATTATATTCTTTACAAAAACTTAACTATTTTTACAATGAAAAGAATTCTTCACAGAAAATCAAATCATTTTTTTTAAATTTCTCGAAAGAATTTAATTATTTTCAGAAGAATTTTGATAAAATTCTTTGTAAATCTTAATTATATTCAAAAATTTTCAAGAAATTTAAAAAAATTTAATTATTTACGAAAACTGTAATAAAATTATTTAAAAATTAAAACAATTTAATTTTCTATCAATAATTTTAACAAAATTCAATAATAAAATTATTAATAAACACAATTATTATTTTAAAAACTTAAAAGAAATTAAAAAAAAAATTCAATTACTTTCAAAATTTCCAATAAAAATTATTAAAAGAAACTCCATTATTTTCAAATATTTTACTAACATTCTTTGGAAGAATTCAATTATTTTTAAATACAATATTAATAAAATTTCTCGAGAGGATTTAATTATTTTTAAAAATTGTATCTAATATAATAATTTCAATTATTTTAAAAAAAACTTAAAGAAATTCTTCAAAAGAATTCACTTATTTTTAATATTTTAATTAAATTCCTTGAATAGATTCAATTTGTTTAATTATAATTATTTTAAAACCTTGAAAGAAATTCTTTTGAAAGTTCGATTATTTTTAAAATTAAGATAGAAATAATTAAAATAAGTGAAATACTTGACAAAATTTCAAAACAGAAAAAAAAGTTAACAGGTGACAAACTGTGATTCCTGTAATTATATTATGTAAACACAAGGAGAAGAAAAAAAAGGACAAGAATTACCTGCGATAGCACATGGAGTCCCGTTTAAAGCTAAGGTCAGAATAATCAGAACTTGTTTCACAATCCGGACAGTTGCCTCCAGATTGATGATGAGAGGTCACTAGAGGTTTTGAGGACGATTTAGTGGATGCTCGTGGAGATAGCGACGCCCGACGTCGCGTGCTTGTATGAAGATCCGGCAAGGACTTGTGACAAACCGTGCTTTCTCCAGAAGCTGAATTACTCGATTTCTTAACAGATCTCGCAGACGTGTGGGAGTGAGAATTACTTCTTCCGAATTTAAATCGTATATCCGGCGTGCACAGCTGAAATAAAATCATACAATTTTATTATCACGATATACAATAACAAAAAAGGAAATAATTTTTCCTTTCCTAGAAAATAAATACAATAACAAAACTAGTTTTAGTTTTATCAACTAATAATTAGTTATAATAACTAATAATAAACAAAAATAATAAGAAACAATAAAATTAAAAATATAAATAAAATAAAACCTAATAAATATAAATAAATAAAATAAATAAAAAGAATAATAATAGTAGTAAGAAAATGAGGAAAAATATTTTCGATAGAAGAAAAGAAACCTTTTCACAAAATAGAATTTCGAATCGCGAGGGAAAGTGAGTGTTGGCGCGACAACTAGCTCGGGAGGATTGTTGCTTCGCTGAGAGGCCTGTGAATAAATTGGGCTGAAAGGAGTTTCTGCATTATCCTTGCGTGTAATACGTCTCGATGCAAAAGCAATATTTTCTTAAAATAGGACAAAGCAAACTACACACGACCATCGATTTCATCCTGGCGTGCGCAAATGCCATTTTGATAACTTGTGACAGTGATGGGTTTATATAGAAAATTATTGAAAACCAACCAATATTCAATAGCAATAGTAATAATAATTTCTCTCTCTTCATTCGCTTTTCACCTACACCAAGGTTCACTTGTACTTTTCAAATCTATTATAATGGAAAACAATAACTTTTGTAACACGTGCAAGGTGAACCATTGTCATCGAAAACTATAAAGTCCATTGGGCGTGAAACTTAAAGTTCTCTTATTAACTGCGATCAATTATTTATATTCTATAAATTTTAAAAGTTTTTATTAATTTAAAGAAAAAAAAGTAAATTGACTCCCCTTAATTTTAATTCATTAATTTTAAATGTGACATTAATTTTCAAAAGAAGAAAAGAATTGTAAAAAATAAATAAATCTATATCAATAATCGTTCTATATTTCTGTTTCCTAATTCTTTTGATAATTTTTATTTTTTATTTTTTTGAAATTTAAAAGAATTGAATTGATTCAAAAATTTTATAAAAAATATTTTAAAATAATTGATTTTTCTCAAGGAATTTAATTAAAATTTTACTTTTTGTTCACTTTTTGTTTTGAAAATAATTACAAAAGTAAATGAATTTATTACAGGAATTTAATTAAAATTGTATTAAAAATAAATGTATTCATATAATGAATTTTTTCAAAATTTTTGAAAATACTTCAAATCTTTCCAAAAATTATATTAAAATTGTTACAAATAATTCAATTTTGTCGAGAATTTTTTAAAATCGTCATTCAAATAATTGAAGAATTGAATTTGAAATATATGTTAATTGACGATTTTTCAAAATAATTGTATTCGTCCAAAGAATTTTATTACTTATAAAAATAATTCCATTCCTGCGACGAATTTTATTAAAATTTTTGAAAATAATTAAATTTTTTGCAGAAATTTATTAAAAAATGTATTGAAAATTATTGAATTCCTCCAAGAAACTTTATTTTTAATAACTAATTTCTTGTGAAGATTAAAAAATTTTATTTTTAATAATTCAATTGCTTGGAATAATTTCGTTAAAATAATTAAATTCGAATTAAGAAATTTTATTAAAACTGTATTCAAAATTATTAATTTCTAATAAAATTTCTCAAAATTTTTGAAAGTAATAAATTGAATTCCTGTAAAGGATTGTATTACTTATATGAAAATAATTGAATTTTTGTGGAGAATTCAATTATTTATGAAAATAATTGAATTCTCGCGAAGAATTAAATTAATATTTTAGAAAATAAATAATAATTAATTCGTTAGTAAAGAATTTTAAAAAATTTTGAATTTAAAGTCATTCAAATATTGTAGTAGATATTTGAAATCTTTTGCTTTTGATGGTAAAAAGTTTTAAGAAAAATAAAAAAGTATGAAGTAAATAAGTAAGCAATAAATAATAATAAAAGCAACGAACTGAATTTTCATTTACAATTTTTTTTTAGAATTTCATTCAGAATTTTTATTTTCATCTAAAATGGAATTTTCGTTTCTATGACACAAATTTGCAAAAAACTAGAAAAAAATATTATTGTCTCACAATAATCTAAAAAATTTCCTGTCAAAACGAATTTCACAAAGAGAAAATGAATTAACAGTAGATAATTATTTTATTAAAATCTCAATTAAAAAATAAAACTCACTTTGTTCCCAAAATTTTGATCGTTAAAATGTTAAATTTCAGTTTTTAATTTTTTTTTGCAATCAGTAATCTTTGAAAATAATTTCAATCAAGATTTTGTTCTCCGAACGTTCAAAATTTGTGCGGATCATAGAGTCATTTTTTTTTTTTTTGACAAAATTTTGTATGCCAAAATAGAAAAAAATTTCTTTTCTGTATTTAAGCGTATTTTTAAATATTAAATTTATAAAATATTTCTCTTCAAACATCAATTTAGAAAAAAAATCCAGAACACTTAAAGTTACCTAGGGGCCGTCCATAAATTACGTAACACGTTTAGGGGGGAGGGAGGGTTCGAGAAAATGTTATCATATGTTACATGGGAGGGGGGGGGGGGTCAATCATCATTGTTACGTAATATTTATAAGGAACTTAATCTCTTTATAATCGATAAATTTTTGAAAAGCTGTCCCTTGCCGCCACTTCAATATAAGTAAAAATCGAATCATTTCGCGAATCGATTCTTGGGAATAATATAAAATTTATTGTTAAAAAATCAATGTTATATTTTTGGTTGTTCAGTATGATTAATAAAATTATTCCTCTAAATGTTTTTTATATTTAACTTAATTTTGTATTGCTAATGTACGATATAAATACTAAAAATAACAGTAATAAACAAATTTGTTTCGAAAAACGTTAGTAAAAAAAATGATTTTAAAAATTACGTAACAATGATAGGGGGGGGGGTGTAAAACGATTTTGTTACAACTTGTTACATAGGGGGAGGGGGGGTTCTAAATTTCACTAAAAACGTGTTACGTAATTTATGGACGGCCCCCTATACGATTTCATAAAACAAATCAGAAAATTGTAATTCGATTATAAAATCTCTATTTTGGAACAGAAAAATTATTCATTCTTGAAAATTTATTGAAAAATGAAGATCTAAAATGAAATTTCCATTTCATACGAAAATAAAAAAGAATGTAAATAAAAATTCAAATTTTGTTTGCTGCTCTAATCAGGTCTACCAAATGGATGAGTCAAATTTAATTTGAAAATAAAATTCTTCACAGAATATTCAAAAATTCCTGTCAAAAAAAAAAATCCTTCAACTATTGATTTTGTCAAGAAGCATGAAATATTCAATGCTTCCCCTTTTAATATCCGAGATGAATTTTGATTGTACAAGAATATCATCCACTTGTGAAGACGATATATAATTCTCTTTCTTTTTTTTTTATTTTTCTTTCCTCTCCACTAGATTTATTCACGAGCTGAAAATATATTCTCTCTCATCCCTATATATATATGCCACGTGGAGGGTTTATTCCATCTGATATAATGATCGTATCGTATCGATTGTAGGTCATTTTTTTCTTATACGTAATACATTATATCAAGAAAAAGGGGATGAAATCTCTTGTGTATGTTATGCATACCGTGGTACGATCTTCATCTCTACATCCGGGTGAAAAGCTTCCGGGTGAAAATCTAAATTTATCCTCCCTACAGCCTCCGTTCGCTTGAATATTTTGCGTTGAATGATGATGATGATAATCATTATTATCAGGAAAGAATACGTTCTCCTTGCTATCGGTGTTGAGTAGTCTTCGCAATTTTGTTTGAAGTTGATCGCTTCCATTGCCAGCACTCGGCGGACCAGAAATTGTGCGACGCTGAGGAGCCGGTACCAATCGAGGGCTCTTCGGTGGCAGCGCAGGTGGCAGTGTTCGTTGAGGACTCAGTACACCGTCAGCTGAAGAATAGCAAAACAAATAAATGCTATTAATCCTTTTTTTTTTGGTATTGATAAATTAGTCAAAGAAAATAAGTACAGAAATGAGGAAATTTCGACAGCAAGAGAGGAAAAGGAAATTGTTTAACGATGAATTTGTAAATTTCTGTTTTCGCTTCGCTCAAGCCGCAATTTGCAATCTCATCGGAGAATTCTACTTTCCGCGAGTGATGCCTTTTTTGCAGGTCTTCTAAATAAATAAAAATATAAATCAACAAATAAATAAAGAATTTTTATACAAAAAAATTTGCTACTATCATAAGCTCTCCAAAATTTAATTATTTTCTACAATTTTAAACTAAAAATTCTTTTATAAATCAACTATTTTTTAAAATTTTCAAAAAGTTTTTCGAGAATTCAGTTATTTGAACACTGAAAATTATATTTGAAAAATGAATATAATTTCTTTCTCGCAGATGTTCGTCTCAGAAGCATAAAAAATTACTTCAAAAGAAGAAGAAGAAAAATCAGTTGAAATCATTCTCCACAAGTAAAATTCGATTTTTTTTCCAAGAAAATCCAAAGTGTCATAAGAATCGAAAGAAGTTATTTATCGACTTCTCTGATTTAATCTTCAGAAGTATACAATAAAAGGCCTCACAAGACTAGTTCAAAAGTATGTATGAGCATTCAATTGTCCCGCAAGGCAGATGCTCTCTCTCTCTTGTTGCGGGAAATGAATTAATTCCGTTGTTGTGTATAGTGTCACTTACGCTTGTCCTGTTCGTGGCACGTGGCCCAACAAGGCGGGGATATTGGACCTGTAGGCAGTTGCGGGGAAGTCTGTTGAATAGTACCGGTCACAGGATTTCCGCATTTTCTAAGAAGCCTCGGCGGTGCACCGGGAGCTGTCAACTGAGAAACCTGAAGGTGACCGCTGTTCTTCAACTCTTGCTTCCGGTCCAGTACAGTTTCACTCTTCACGTAGAAGGCCTTTGATTCCTGCAGCAACTCAACTGCACTCTTCCTCTTGCCTAGACAAAAAGAGAACAAAAAATTAGAATAAATTAAACGCATGTCATGAAAACTAGCTTCTTGTTATGCGTATGATAGTTAAGTGATACTTGTACACTACTCAAATGACTGTATATACAAATATATAATTTACTTCCTGTAACCAGACACATATCCTGCTTATGTATTATTATTACCTTTTCCAAAACGTTCTCATTACCGAAAAAACAAAACAAATGCGAGACAAAATTTTCATCTATTTTTAAAGAGGAAAAATTAAAATATTCGTAATTCAAATTTTTCTTGAAAACACTAATAAAATCCATGGAAAAATTACAAATAATTGCAGAAATTCAATTATTTTAAAGAGTGATAAAATCGATAATTGATTAATTGATTTAAAGAAGAATTTTAGAATATCTAGAAAATAATTGAATTCAAATTTCAAATAATATAATAATTTTGAAATAAATTTGAAGAAGTAACATAAGCAATTTTGAAAAATTATCCATTTTCAAAAAGCTCGAAATTCGAAACTTTTGAAAATCTTAATTCCCAATGGAAAATTGACAATAATGATTAAATATTTATTTAAAAAAAAAATAAAATTTATAGATATTTCAAATTTTTCTGTTAAACCAGAATATTCTTTTTCTAGTAAAAAAAAAAATAAAGAAATGAAATGAATAAAAATGGAAAAAGTGGTCTTCAATGATTAAGCATGAGGATAAAATAGAAATGGGAAAATAATTAATCGAAATAAATTCAGTCTAATGTATATAACGATTATTTATAATCTAATTTATATTGTTTTGTCCGGCTTGCAAATGTTGCACTATCGTTCTCAATTAAATAAATCATCGGATTTGACTATCGCGCGTTTAGATTTTAATTTTAAGTTTGCTAATTGTCTGGTCAGTGAATTATTGGCAAGCAGATGTACTGCGTGAATTGCACGATAATTATTATTTATATATATATGTGCATAAAGTTCACTGAGCGAGTGATAATATATGTTAATGAGAAGCGATAAAACTTTATAACGGTAATTCATGCACTTTTTAAATTTTTTTTTGTCTTTCTAAACCTAATTATACGTATATGTGAGTTATAAATATATAACAAGTCCCTTACAAATACAAAAAAGGGGGATATTCTTTATTATTTCCTAAAAGTCATTATAAACTATTGTCCATTCTTTACTAGAGCAATTTCAATGTGGAGTGGAATTTTATTTCAAAACGAATTTTATTTTTTTATTAAAGAATAGTGAAAAAATTATTGAGGTATATAGGTTTATTAACGCAGTCCTCGAATAGAGAGTGAAGTCGACTATACATGATTTTTTCGACTATTTTAAAAAAAAGAGACTTTTTTTATTTATTAAAATAAAATGCAAGTAACATTTTTGACTTTTCATTTACACATATTGTAACAAAATAGAAAATAAAAATTTTTTTGAATATAAAATGAGAATTTTTTTCATTTTTTTAATTGTGTGGAAAATGATTACAGGCAACAAAATTTTGTTACCCAGGTGAAAAAGTTCCCGGGAATTAGACCGAGAAAGTCCTGGGAGTCACTCTCGAGAAATTCTGGAGACTTTCCCCTGAAATTCAAACTCAAATCCCCGAAATTCAAAGAGTTACATTATTAAAATTTTTATAAACAACATTTAATTTCAAAAGATTTTAATAAATTGAAATTTAAGAAAATTTAATTTTAAATAATTTTAATTTAAAATTATTCTGAACAAATTAGTTTTTTTTAGATAATTCAATATTTCAAAAGATTAAATTAACAACTTTTGAGCATTTCAATTGCTGAAGAAGCTTAATAATAACATTAAATTGTTATTTAAAAAATATTATTAAACTATAGTACTTGAAGATCCGAACTCTCAATTAATGAAATTACTAAAAGTAAATAAATAATATGTAAAAATAATTTAGTTTCTTAAGAATTTTAGTTAAAAACTATATAGAAAAAATATTTCGTATATGAATTTTTAGAAAAAGGACAATCCTAAAAGTTTTTAAATTGAATTTTTAGAAAAAAATTAATTTTTAATAGTTTAAAAGTTTAAATTAAAAAATTTGCAAATCTTTGTTTTTTGAAAAAATTGCAATTCAAGTTTTTTTAAAATTATAAATGAAATTTTCAATGCCATTGTTTCTTTAAAAGATTTTTCTTTTTGAAATTTAATAAAAATTCTTCATTTCTTAAAAAATATAATTTTTCTAACAGTTTTCCTTTGAATTTAAAAAAAAAATGAAGAATTATTTGCACAACTTGTGTAGAAACCGCCAAGATATTTTTAACAACAACTTGAATGGAAGGTATTTTTTATTAAATAATTGAACTTTCGAGAACCACTAAAACAATTTTAGTAATAAAAGTTTAATTCTAAATGATAATTTAAAATTCAATTATTTTTAAATTTTCATTTAGAATTATTCAAGAATATACAATTATATTTCAAAATAATTTTTAAAAATAAACAAATAACATTCATCAAAACGTAAAATTTGTTTCAGTGAAATTTTAGGTAAAGAAATTGTTTACACGAATATCCAAAATTTAATTTTTTTTATAATTTTTTAATAAAATTATTTTCAACTTTAAGAATTTTTAAAGAAAAATAATGTTATTAATAATTTTTTAAAATAAAAATTTAAATATTTTTGCTTCCCTTTAATTTTTAAAGAATTTAATTTAAAAATGTTTTATGATTTATTTAAATCCTGTCATAACGCTTTAAATATTCAATTATTTACTAAAATTTTAGTTGAAATTTTTTTTAAATCAAAATTCCTATCAGAATTCAACTAGGTACGAGAATTGAATTATTTAAAATTTAAATAGAATATGTAATTTTTGTAAATTCGCAAGTAAAAATGATACTAAACGACATAATTGACTTAAATACAAATTAGAATTATTTCAATTTGAAGAAAATTGGATTAATTCGGAAACTTTTTGCGTTTGCTTTATACGTAAATGTGTATAAGCCTAGCTCTTGACGAAGATGAGGGTGTTAATGACAGACAACATCTGCTTCATGTATATATACAATCTTTTTTCTTCTCTTCTATTCTTTTTAACTCTTTTTATTCGATTTTCTTATGGCTCGAGAGAGTGCCCGTTGATTGATGACCCGCAGCGGCTGAGAGGTTTTTTTTTTCTCTTTTTTCCTCACAAAATATCACTTGAGTGATACTAGAAGCGATAAAGAAGCAGGTCAACAAAGATGATTTCGAAAGAGAATTTTCTGTTTCATTTACATTTTACACGTGTATTTGTATACAAATATGATATAATTTTTATATACCTACATGTATACTGTCGTCAAGTGCTTTTTTATCTCATCTGGTTTTTGATTTTTTTTTTTCTGAAAATTTAGTGAGAAACATTTTCTTTTATATATATATCCCTCTATCTCTCTCTTTCTATTCTATATAAAATGTGTTGGTATAGATATAATAGTCTGACTCTGAGGGTATGACCGTGTTTCCTCCAATTAAGGTTGTTGGAGCATTAACCTCCGAGTCATTCTATTACTCAAATTTCAATTTCCTGGATAAATGCACGAATTGAAATGTTACTTCTCTTTTATTTTCAAAGCTTTTATTTAATTTACATATGTATATAATCATTTTAAATTTAAACAAAACTTTCTTCTTTTTTTTGAATTTATTTAATTTTTTTTTTTTTGCAGTATATTTAAAAATATTGTCATCTCGAAAAAAATAACAGCCGGAGAAATTAAGAATAAAAGTGTTTTCAGTTCTTTAATTGTAACAAGGAAACAAAAATATAGTTTTATTTTTATTGCTTTCAGAAAACAGATGTCAAATAGAAAATCATTTTAGGACATATTGTTATTGTCGGTCGCGTGAAAAGTGAATTGTCATGTAAATAGATACATATCTAATGTAAACATCTATTGTACATAAAAACTTTTTAGGTGAAAATCTGAGTTCTTTATACAAATGTTGTTTTTCGATGTGTGAGAATATAACAAAGGGGCAAAAAATTTACTATATTGAAGCGCAGAAACAAAAATAGAGAACTATATTAGTTATGTGCGAAAATAAGTCGATTTTATGATTTATTATTATTATTATTATTATAAAAAATATTGAAAAAATTTGATTTAATTATTTAAAGTAAAATGTTAAGAAAAAAAAATTAGAAAAAAGAACTTTTCTTGCGGATATTGAACTTGACTGGAAAATGTAACATTACATAAGTTAATGTTTCCTCTTGTTTATTAAAAAACAAAGCTTATTTTAATTTTCAACAAAGTTTTCATTTATATAGAAAAAAGATTCTAAGAAAAGAAGTATATTGTAAGAATATATAGTATATAGCTTTGGGAAGTAGAGTAATTTCTTTGCTATAAGTGTATTGTTAGTTGTACAGTTTGGCACATGAGAATATCGAGCGACACAAAAGTTATTCAGGAAAGTACGCACACACATGACATTAATATACCCATATAGAATCGATTCGAAAATAATTTTTCTGTGAACAATTTTTTTGCAAACAAAAAACATTAAAATTGTTTTTAAAAAATACCTAAATCATTTTATTCACAATTTTCTTTGAAGCATCATATTGTTACTAAAGTGGATCAAATTGATGCTAAAAATTTGGAACAACTTTTGATTTGATCCAAATTTTTGGTATCAATTCGTTGCAATTTGATACTTTTAAGTTAACAGTGTTTTTATTTCATTGCAATCAATTCAAATTTTCAACAATTTTTATTTTTTAGAACGTAAAAAGAGAGAGAAAAGATTAAGAAAGAGAAGCTATTGCGAAAAATTTTATTAAAATGTTTAAAAAGAATTGAATTTCTGTGTAAAAATTTTCTTATTTTTGAAAATAATTAAATTCTTCATATAAGAATTTTATAAACATTGTTTTAAGTAATTTATTTTTTCGAAATATAATAAATAGGTATTATGAAAATTTTATTTTAAATAAATGAATTCTTGTGGAGAACTTTATTTGTGAAAATAATTGAATTTTTCAATAAATTAATTTAAAATGGTATTAAAAATAATTGAAATTTTGAGATTTATTTTTTATTATGATTTAAAACTTTTAAATAAAACATTTTATTTTTATTTTGTTTTTTAAATTTACTTCAGCGATATTTTCCTTTTTTGTTTTACAGTAGGAAGTGTTTGTTATATTTTCATAGGAAGGAAGTGGAAATAACAGGTCAAGAGAGAAGAATAAAAGAGAGGAATAGATGAAAATTGGAGAAAGATAATGCTCTTTAGTGGTTTTAATGTGAACGCATGTAAACAATGAATTAACAGCAGCTGAAGAGTAATTCAACGGACTTATCGTTTCACGCGACATGTAGAACACCAACGATGACATAAAAAAAGGATAAGACGAAAGAAGGTGAAAGAGAGAAAGAGAGAGAGAAAAAAGAAAAAAAGAGACAGAATTAAAGAAAGAGGCTTCTATTAAAAAGTGTTATTTGCCCAGCAAAATGGCGTTATACTGTTTTCACAGCTGCTTCAATAATTATTTTATCGCTCACGGTAATATCCCTCTCACAGCATATTTTTTTCTCTCCTCTCCTCCTTTTTTGCGCTTCAGTCTTTGAATTACGTCATTTTGTCATTATCAATTATAAGGGAATGAAGAAATGATGATGGTAGACAAAGAATTCTTAATTACGTTACTTACTTTTGAATTTAATGATTCACCTGCAATTTTGCAGGGAGTTAATTATTAGGAGGAGTCGTAATTATATGGAGTTAAATTAGTGATTAATGTTTGTTTGCCTATTTTCTTATATTTAAATTCGTTACACGTTATTTTACAGAGAAGCTTAGAATATTGTTCCTTCAATTCGAAAGCGTTCTCTAAACAATAAATTAACCATTAAATTTTTTGAGCGAATTTTATATTCTGTTTGCTAACAATTTTTGGTCACAAAATTTTTTCTGGTCCTGAACTATTACTAGAACAATGCCAATTAATATCCGGGTCATCACAATCAATTTTACTCACAATTAATAAAAATTAACCACAGCCGATAATCAGCAGAAGATGAAAAATTAATTTTTGAGCGAATTTTGTATTCTGTTTGCTAGCAGTTATTAGTCCCAAAATTTTTACAGGACCTAAACTATTGCTAGAAGAATTTCAATTAATATCTGGGTCATTAAAATTAATTTAATTCACAATTCACAAAAAGTAACCACAGCCGCCAATCAGCAGAAGATGGAAAAATAATTTTTGTGCGAATTGTATTAATTGAATGACAACAACAATTGTTAGTAAAAAAATTGTTTGCTGGTCCTGAACTATTGCTAGAACAATTCCAATAATTATCTAGGTCCTCAAAATTAATTTAATTCACAATTAATAAAAATTAACCACAGCCGATAATCAGCAGAAGATGAAAAATTATTTTTTGAGCGAATTTTGTATTCTGTTTGCTAGCAATTATTAGTCACAAAATTTTTACAGGTCCTAAACTATTACCAGTACATTTCCAATTAATATGCGGGTCATCAAAATCAATTTTACTCACAAATCATACAAAGTAACCACAGCCGATAATCAGCAGAAGATGCAAAATTATTTTTTAAACGAATTTTATATTCTGTTTGCTAACAGTTTTTGGTCACAAAATTTTTACTGATCCTAAACAATGCCGATAATCAGCAGAAGGTGAAAAATTATTTTTTGAGCGAACTTTAACTTAGCTTTACTAACATTTTTTAGTCATAAAATTTTTTATTACGTATTTTTGTCAGCTGAACACGATTCCAGGTTCCAAAATTGACTAGCACGTCAGGATTTTGAGAAAAGTGGGGGTAAAGAGTGGGTAAACAAACACCGTTTTCTGGGTCCTTATCCCCACTTTTCTCAAAACCCTGAAGTGCTAGGCAATTTTGAAACCCAGTATCGTGTTTAACGGATAGAAATTTTTCAAAACCCACTCCAATATCAAAAATGAAATAGTCGAATTCTCAAAAAACTTGATAAAAAAAAGTAAATAAAAAAATGGATAGAGAATAGATTTTTGAATTATATGGATGGAGAATAGTAAACTCACCGGAATAATCATGTTGACGATGATGATTCCTGACGTAGGGTGGCGCAGCTTGTTGTGGTTGCATATCCCAGTAGCCTCGGTTGTTATTAAAATTGTTGAGCTTTGGTTGTTGAGACGGCGAGGTTTGCTTGCAAGGCAACCTGGCCATGGCAGTCATCATTTTCTCGCCTCTTTGTCCTGAGCATTAAACAATCACTTTGCCGACCTGAACCTTAATTTATTGCGTCGACGCCTCAACCCCATTTCCTCGCTATTGTCCGCCCTCTGTTAAATAAGAAAGAAGAGAAAAGAAATAAATTAATTACATCATTAATAACATTCAAGTAGTTGATTCAATATTCTCATTCTTTTTTTTATTTATTACTCGACCTTCCGGTTCTCAATTGGCCAAATTTAACATTGCACTCGTGACTTTTTTACAATTTAATTTTTTTTATATGAATAAAACCATTAAGTTCTACTGTCTATTTGACCTATATTGACCTAATTCTTATTAGGCTCACATAAATTTATTTGGCCTAATTATTAGGCTTCTTAAACCATAAAGTTTTTCTTTCTTTTTGAGTGACCTATTTTGACCTAATTCTTATTAGAATATATATTTATTTAACCTGCTCCATATTTATTTCACCTGATTATTATTAAATAATTAAACAATTAAATAAATAAATATTATGCTAGTTAAGTAGGAATTAACGAACATTTTTGACCAAAAATCAGGCAAAATATGAATTAAAGTAAATAAATATTAAGCCATCTGGGAATTTGGAATTAAAATTAGTGTAAAGAAAAATTTTACCAAAAGAAAAATCAGTTTAAAATATTTGAGGCAAATAATTTTGGAGTATTTAAATATTAGGCCAAACTTAGGTATAGGTCAAACAAAAATTTGGGTAATTAAGCTAATTCAGAAATTAATTTAACGGAAATTAAGCCAAAAATAGGGTCTGATAAAAAGTGGGGTGAAGAAATATTAAACCAACTTAGAATTAGATCAAATATGGTCATATGGAGTTAAAAATAAAAAAAGGAAGAAAATTGATAAATATATACAAAAAAAATTCTACAATATTCAAGATTGTCTGTAATTTTTATATTTTCTTTTAGTTTCATCTCAAAATAAAAATTTAAAGATGTTCTTTTTATGTTTCAATATTCGAAACTAAATTTCACATCTCGAGAGAAATAATTTGAAAACTTCTCGTTTATATATATAGAAATATTATCAAAAAAAAGTTATACATATTTCCCCCTATAAATATATAGAGAAAAATATTTTACTGATCACGTCAGGGACCAGGATTCTCATTTCTTTATACATATACTCTTCGTGTGGTCTAGTCAGTTTTTTTCCATCTTCTTCTTTTTTTTTATTTCATCATCATATACATTATATATATATATATATATATATATATATATATATATATATATATACATCCCAATGGAAAGAAATTCTCTCTCAAGTTTTTCTCCTCTCTCTCTCTCTTTCTCGCGTTGAAAACGATCATTTATAAAAGCATATAATAGTTTCCTTGAATTCTTTGCGCCAAGCTTAGTCAATTCCCACCGTCAATGGAAAGAAGTAGAGTGTACTATATTTCCGATCCTTTTATGAATCTCTTTGGGTAAGAAGAAATGGGTAACGGTGTCAGCGTTTTGCAAGCGCAAAAAAAAAGAAGAAATGGGGATGGGAGAGAAACATTTAGGGAAAAAAATATTCTCTTCATTACAATCTAGATCTTTGCAAAACTTTAATAATATTACCTAACCAACATGAGTAGGGGATTGAAAAAAATAAAAAATTTCTTGAGACGAGTTTGAGAAAAAAAATGTTTTTTTCTGTTTTTTTAAATTGTACCGATTTTTTGTTTAGAGAAATTTTCATTCAGAAGAAATTTTATTTAAACAGATTTACTCAAATAGAAATTATGGTTCATTGGAAAATTACCTAAATGAAAGTTCGATCAAATAAAAAGTTTAGCTAAATAGAATTTTGTTAAAATAATATTCTTAGGTCAAATAATAACACATGAAAATTGAAAAATTGGTTATAAAAAATCGATTTAACTAAATTAACACTTAAATTAAATAAGGGAGCGTCCATATATACCACGTGGGCAGTTTTTCAAAGATTTTTACCCCCCCCCCTCCCTCTTGTGGACACAAAAATACATTGGATCGTGGACATTTTCTAACTTTTTTAAACCCCCCCTCCCCGAAAAGTGTCCACTTGGTATATGGACGACCCCTAAGTAGATAAATAGAAATTTAACTAAATGGAAATTCGGTTGAATTAAAGTTCAGCTTAATAGGATTTTCGTTAAATAAAAATTCGGTTTAATAATAATGCAGGTAAATCAGGGTTGACATAAAAAATTAATGTTGTTTTTCCCCAACTTCTCCCTGATTCCCACACAAAATTTTGACTTTTTCTCTGACCCTAAAGATTATTCTAATTCACTCTCAAAATTTAAATTTCCATAAAATTTTTCAAAACAAAATTAAACTATTTACAAAAATTTTTATAAAATCATTCGCAGGAATTCAATTATTTTTATAAGTAATACGTACAATTTTTCATATCAATTCAATTATTTGAAAAAATGTAATAAAATTCGTTGTAAGAATTCAATTATTATCATAAATAATAAAATTCGTTGCAAAAATTCAATTATTTTCATAAATAATAATATTCTTCACAGGATTTCAATTATTTAGAAAAAATTGTAATAAAAATTAGTTGCAACATTTCAATTATTTTTATAAATAATAAAATTCTTTGCAAAATTCAATTATCTTCAAAAGTAAGAAAATTCTTGTCAGAAATTAAATTATTTACAAAATTTTTTTTAAAATTCTTCTTAAAATTTCAATTATATTTATAAATATCAAAATTCTTCTCTGAAATTCCATTATTTGCAAATATTTTAATAAAATTCTTGTCAAAATTTCAATTATCTTTATAAATAATAAAATTCATCCTAGAAATTAAATTATTTGCAAAGAATTTTAATAAAATTCGCATCAAAATTTTATTTATCTTATTCATAAATAATAAAATTCATACTGGAAATTAAATTATTTTCAAAAGTTCTGAATAAAATTCTTTGTAAAATTCAATTATCTTCAAAAGTAAGAAAATTCTTCGCAGAAATTCAATTATTTTCAAAATTTTTTTTTAAATTCTCCTCAAAATTTCAATTATCTTTGTAAATATCAAAATTCTTCTCTGAAATTCCATTATTTGCAAATATTTTAATAAAATTCTTGTCAAAAGTTCAATTATCTTTATAAATAATAAAATTCATCCTAGAAATTAAATTATTTGCAAAGAATTTTAATAAAATTCGCATTAAAATTTTATTTATCTTCATAAATAATAAAATTCATATTGGAAATTAAATTATTTTCAAAAGTTCTGAATAAAATTCTTTGTAAAATTCAATTATCTTCAAAAGTAAGAAAATTCTTCGCAGAAATTAAATTATTTTCAAATTTTTTTTTTAAATTCTCCTCAAAATTTCAATTATTTTTGTAAATATCAAAATTCAATTTTATTTACTAATGTTTTATAAATTTCTTCCCAATAATTCAATTATTTTCATAAAAAATAATTAAAATTTTTTTTTTTATAAAGTCTTATAATATAAAATAATGATTTTATCACTCGGTCATCTTTAATTATTATAAAACATGAAGACATCGATTGCTCCGAGTCAAAGACTCGGAGTGATCGATTTCTTCATGTTTTATAAGAATTTTTGATAAGTTATTTAATTTCAAAAAAGTTTGAATTTAAATCTTTTGAAGAATTTTTGATTTCCTATGGAAAAATAATAATTAAATATTTATGTAAAAAAGAAGTTATTGATGTTTTCGAAAAATTTGAAAGTTTTTTGTAAATAAATGTAACAGAATATTTTTTTGACTCAAACTTTTTCCTTTAAATTTAAAAAAAAAATTTAAATTAGTCGCAGTTTTTCACAAAAAAGTCGAAAAAGTCGCACAATCCGAGTCCTGATATTAGATAAATTTATTTTTCAGCCATCAGTGATTGACTTTAACGGTTTTCATTAGCCAAGAAAGTCAATAGATTGAAGTGAATGAGAAGCAAAAGCATTGGTAAAGCGGTATTTTCTTGAAAGAAGCAAGACCGTTCAACTTTATACTTGAACAAAAAAAAGAAGGTGTGAGTCTTCTTTGAAGACCAAGTACATATACATATAAGTATATATGTGGGCATATGAGTTTGTGATTGTACACAGTCTCTTATGCAATGATACACTTGTATGTTGGACTATACGGGAGCAAAAAGAAAGAGAGAGAGATGATATCAAGTGTGGCAAAAGTTTCAATGTGTTCGATAAACGGGATCTCGAGGCACGTACACACATAAGTGTCTCTCCATCTCTCTATCTCTCTTTCTCTCTTAAATACAAAAAGATCCGGCATTCTGGTCTCAAGTGTTCATCGCTCAAGTGGGATCGCGACACCGGAAGTACTCAGCAATCAGTATTGCTAAAGAGTTCGTTTTGGGCACGTGTTCCCATGCATTTTCGTAGCACGTCGAGACACAAGACGAACACTTCCGCTTTTGTTATACATCCGACTAATCTACACCTATTGTCGCTTTAGTTGAAAAAATAATTTTATTTCTTGCAAATAAATATTTCTTTCTTCCAAATAAATAAACATAAATATTTATTTGTAAGAAAGAAATATTTATTTGTAAGAAATAAATATTTATTTGTAAGAAATAAATATTTATTTGTAAGAAATAAATATTTATTTGTAAGAAATAAATATTTATTTGTATTAATTAATACATATAAATATTTATTTCCTAAAAATAAACATTTATTTTAAACAAATATTTATTTCAGACAAGTATTATTTTATTTCCCTCAAACAAATTTTTACTTATATTTCATACAAATATTTATCAGTGTTACCGCATTCAATAAATCAGAAGCGTATTCTAGAAAATTTTTAATTATTACCCAAAATAGAAATTTGTCCTAATATAATAAAATCATTGTCATAAAACAAAAATTGTACATGCAACATCTATTTCCATATGTATTGTGTAAATAACTGTTCATCCGTCGACAGCTAATTAAAATATAAGCAACGGTAATATAACTTTACAGAGTCTGAATGAATGAAAAGTGAAAGTACATTATTAAAAAATATCTATTATATTGAACTATACTCGAATAAAAGTCATTGGAAATCATTTCTCTTGACAAATCATAGAAAAA